TATAAACATTTCTTGTCTATCGATTTCTCATATATCTTTTATTTTTAAATGTATTTAGTCCTTTCTGTTTAAGGTAGCAAAGACGCAAGTTTTTTTCGACTTAAGTTTTTAATTGAAGTTTTATATAATTACAGATCCTGTCTTCTTGATAGCGATAAAGTTGCCCATTGCACTCGGTTATAGCAAGTAAGTCTTTATTTCTTTATGTGCAATAAAGGATCAAGTAGCAAATATTTTTATCTATAAACTGACAATTTCATGTTCAAAAGAACAATCTTTTCACTTCTATTGTGTTTTAATATTTTTATCACGTCTTACATAAGGAATAGAGTACGTTGACATTTAGTGTATGTTAGAATGTTTCTATATACGTATAGTTGCGCGTGAGTCAAACTAAATTCCGCGCATATTTCAATATAAGTTGAGACTGGCAACTTAATACTAATATTATTGGGCCCAATAAATAACAAAAAAAATATGAAAAAATATATTGTTATAAACCATCTTATTTTGTCAAATTCGTATTTTTAATTTGTCAAAACTCAACTCAAAAGTCTTTACAAAAGTAACGGCACGAACCTTTTAAATTGTGAGTCAATTTAATATTATTATTGTTAGTTTCATATTTCTAGTTGTTTTTTCGTGAATAACTTATGTAGGTATATATGTTTCGATAATAATAATGTATACGATGAACTTTATATGGTTGCCCAAAGACCTTGACATTTTTATGTATTGACGCTTCGATGACATTTAAAATGGCGGGAAAAGAATTTCTAGAGAACTCAAGGCTTTTTTCGCGACTTCAGCCAAAAGTAAGCATCGGTAATTTTATTAAAATTAAACAAAAGTCTTTATAAATAACCAAAATTCCCTTGTAAACCACAGATAGAAAAACTTTTTACCAATTATAACACCCGCTTATAAAACACAGGTGGGCAATAGTTGCTTATATGTACTTTATTCATACATAACGTTGATTAGTTTGTGAATAGTTGGCAAAGACCTTGACTGACCGACTTTTAGACATTGATAAGAAATGTAATCAAATTTCGTGTTCTTTATCTGTGGCGTAATAAATATATTTCCGTCCATAGATAAAAAAAGCCTTAATAATATAAAGCAATATAACCATGTCCTGCGGTGTTACCTGAAATAAAATTTTTTTTATAAGAAATAAAATACTTATTTGAAGTAATAAGCCGAACGATAGACGGTATATCCTGATCAAAGTTCTTAGCCGTTTATAGCGAACTACTCTTAAGTCATCAATTATAAGTTGTCGCTGACCTTTTTAAGAACACTAAAATCGGATCGCAAGGCATCTGACACGTAGCGAAGTAGCTACGAATAAAAAAGTAATATTATGTACTTATATATTTTACGTGTTGTAATCTGTATTCTAATGTCTTTTGTCTTCTTGCGAAAACTACAGAATAAAATGCAACAACAATTCTATGATTAAATACTGTCTGTATTTTACGCGAGTGGTATACATTTAAATAAAACACTAACGGTTTAAAACGCGATATAGGGATATTAGTTAAGCATATTAGAAATTTATTTTAACTACGGCCCGACGTTTCCCCGTGACCACGGCTGCTGCAAAGCATCCGAAATATCGAGCCGTAGTTAGAATAATTTTATACATAAGTTTAACTAATATATACCCATCGCGTTTTAAACCGTGAAAGTGTTTTATTGAAATATTATATCACATTCAGTTCCTTCAACTATTTAATCCGTTCAACCAAAAAGGTTCAGTGCGCTTGTAGCGGGTTCAATACCTAGCCCAGGGCATTTTATTGAATCTCTGTACAAACACCTTCAGCCTTATATATCGTCAGCATGTTTTGCCTACCAATTGAGGTACCGAGTCCGTGGTAGAGCAACAGCACGGAACGCTGAAGTTCAAGTCCCCGAGTGCCCGAGTCGAAAATTTTTTCAATTTATTTTCGTTTTTTGAATTATCACTATAGTAAACCTTCAGGCACAATAACATGTAAAAAATAATACATTTTTCAAACCTTCAGCCTTGTAAAAACAATCCTAAAATCTAGATCAAGTATTCCGCAAAATTATTAACGATAAGTCACAAGTGTCTTTGATTGTTAAAAAGATTAAATTTATCAATTCTCGCAAAATCAATAATTGATTTCTTTGTCCGCATTACAAACAAATTGTTCTGATAAGATACTAACGGTTGTTGACGGGTTGTTGACGAAGGTTAGGAAACGTAATTGAAGGTTTGAAAAAGCAACTTGAAGTATCTCACTCAAAATAAGGTTTATTAAAATCAAAATACAGCCTAACCTCCAGAGAGCATTGTGAAATTGCGTAGTAAATGGAATTTCATTTACCCATATAAATGTTATACCGCCATTCCTGCTTTGAATATATTATTTGTCTACAATAGTCACGAAAACTTCAAAACTAAAAAAAGTCACTTGCTAATGATTTCTTACTTCAATCACCATTATAAAATATCAAATGTTAGTATATGTGCTGTCTAACAGCAGGGTATTGCTGAAAATCAGTAAAGCATAACTATGTTGCAACTTATGCTAACGCAGGGCGCTTTTGGCATTTGTTTTTTGTCAAATTTTGACAAAAAGCATTAAGTTTAGTCGCATTTCCGTGTCAGTTTGTTGATCTTCGAATATTCAAAGCCAAATTAGATCGACAACGGTTCTTGTTTAGTTGTTATATAGCTGTGTCCGTCTTACTCTATCTTAAAAAAGCAGCGCAGATCACCCCTGGTGGTGGTGGTGGTTTTTGTTATAACAACAAAGAACTAACAAAATAGAATGTTCATTCAATTCCGCGTGCGCAAAGGTTATTTACTTTCAAAAAGCGAGGTCGTCCACTGCGCAACTCCTTTCCTTGTCAATGCACCCGCCACAGATCATAAATGATAGGTATATTCTTAGGAGGTTTTTGTTATATTTATAAGACTGAAAAAAGACGAGGTTCGTGGCGTAAAACCATGAGCCGGGGAAACCTCCATTTTTCGATGACAGAAAGATAGACAAACATAGTCTACTTGACGGAGGGCGAAATATCCCAGCCATATAAGGCCGCTAGAGGCAGAGTAGCCTAACTGCTATTTTATGACTTCAGCTATTTATATTTTATTTGCCTAAAAATGTTAATCTACAAGAGCACAGTGACAGAAAGGTGTTATTATAATTTTTACACAAATTAATTTTTGCCTAAGTTTAGTTTCCAAAAATTTCCCTCTTAATAAAAATCATATTTTTTTGTTATTAGTTCGTTCTGACTCTAGAGTCTAGCAGCTTCATATCATCTTTATAAGATTCATTGTCTACAATATTCAGCTTTGGACTTTGAAAAAAGGACTTCGGAAACAATCGTGACGCAGAAGAAATTTCGAATCCTACCCATGTAATATTCGGGTTTTCAAGGCGAAGTCAACAGATTGGACCCAGTGGGAATAGAACCTGCAACCCGTTGAGTATTCCTACCATTAGACAGAAAATCTCAGTATTTTCTCTCAAATTGCTTTCATACAGATTGTAATTAAAACCCTTAAACATACACAACACACTCTAAGTCTCTAAAAAGTTCCAGTCCCGTCTGTGTATTTTTAAAGACTGTATTTATGTGACTAAAATCGTAAACTGCTAGACCGATCTTGATGGAACTTTCACGAACAAATTACTTATATGATATAGATGGGGTGACTAGAAAAATGCAATTAAATGTGTGTGTGTATACGCGGCGGATAGAGTATGCGGAACTACTTAAACTTGTTACGTGATAAATTACGATTATGTAAATAAAAAGTACATAATACCTACCTTACATGTTATTAGATAAAATTCACATGTTGTAAAATTGCTTGATTAAAAAAGATCTTTATCTAAATAAAAATGAAGGTATTTGTTTTCCGAATACCTATAGAACAGCTTGGCCAATATTTATGAATTTTGCTAGGCTAAGTATAGATTGGTTTTGAAATAAATTTCGTTCGTTGCCTTAAACATATTGTGAAAATTGCCTTTATTAACTACAAGGGATATTATAAAAGTGTCTAAGCAAAACTCCTGTTGATAACGTACACTGGCACTCTATTGAATTTCCAGTAGTTACCATAATCGGTGACTAGAGAGAGACATATTAAAATGAAATTTTCTATATATATTACAATAAATAATCACATAATTATGTATTTTATCATATTAATTTAAAATCACGTTTTGTAAAGTACAAGTGGTGCTATCTGTATTTTTCATATTGCAACTTATTAAAAACATTATTTAACAATAGTTTTAAACTCTTAATTGCTTATTCTTCTCAAACTCCTATAAAGAAAGAGAACAGGAAAAATATAAAAAAGCAAAACCGTTTATCTAAATATAGACAGATGTTAGGTGTTACAACTTGTCGATACTTCATTTACCTCACATGCGCTTATCAAACCTTATATAATACGACTTATTTTAGATACACTACGCGGCTTAAAATCATTCATAAACTGGTACATTTTTATTTTATCGCATATTCAATATTCCTCTTACCTCTCTCTTTCGCACTAGCATAATATCTATCTATCTCTCTCACACGATACACAGTTTCGTTCAACTGCATTTGATTAATGGCTACTTGTAATTTTGACAGATCTTCGTATCCGCTGAAAATGGTTGAAATTTCGCGTATTTATTAATTTAGTTTCCGTTTCATTAAATAAAAGATGTCTGTTTATTAAAACGCGACACCGTAAGTGTTTTTCAATTCAAGTGATGTCTGTTTATTTTTATCTCGCGCCCTTAATATTAAGCCGAGCGAAAGATTAGTTTGTTGATTCGTTTGTTTTTTTAATTAAAAAGTTATGAGTGGTTTAATTGTGATGCTGTTGTATCACTGTTGCGTCTGTGAGTGGATAAAACGTGAATAAAATGGATGAATAAACGTTTTGTGCGACATTAATATGGAAGAATAGATTTTCCAATATTTTTGACGGGTGCAAAATTGAAAAAATGGTTACTATGAATTCAAATGAGAAGGCTGCTCCAAAGGCCTGCCAGCAGGGGTCTTCAAGGTACGTACCCCGTGATATCTAAGTCATCATAAATGTTAAGGAACTCCTATTTCCTTAGGAGTTCTTACTCCTTAACCACCACTCATTTCTCAAAACTCAAGAGCTTGCACGAACTTTGCTTATGTAAGCTCTACAAAATAAGCATACACTAGCATTTATAAAACTTAGCACTGGTTGACAGTTGGGCATTCAGGTTAAACACACAAAATTTACATTTATATAATTCTTTAACGAAACAAATGTAAGTGAGCAGAGTGTAGTCCCCTACTGCACTAATAACACAAAAGTCTTTTACACTGATAACAGATTAGTGTAAAAGACTTCACTATTAATGCTACTTGTGAATTTACATACTGTTTATCTCACAGAGATGTAACTAAGTCAAGCAAAGAAGAGAAAGAGAATGAAAAGAAAGAAAGAAAAGAGAGGGAGAATCTCATAGCTAATTTGCCTCCAAGCGTGCAGGCTTTGATGGCAACAATACCATCACCGGAGGAGTCGCCCAACTATCTTGCTTATAAAAAGGTGAGTTCATGGTAGGTTATATAACCTTTAACTGTCCCTACAACACATAGCCCATGGACCATGGCATTTGGGAAAATAGTCAGGAAAAGTATTGGAAAAATAAACAATCTACGCGTAATATTATATATATGCATTTTGTGACACAAAAATATACACTCTAGCTGGGGGCATATCTAAAAAAACATTATAAAATAGTTGGTTAAGCTGCAAGAAGAACAATGAATGCTTGTGATACTTATAAATAATTATATAAGAGCCAAATGAAAAAAAATATTTCCTCAAGTTTCAAACCCAGGACCTTGTGTGCTCAACACAATTTTAGGTAACTCATTAATCATTCAGTGAGACCACCAAATAAAAGATACACACACACGTAATTCTTGCAGATGGAAGCAATCATTGAGAAAATGCAAGACGAGAATACTGGTGTTCCAGTCAGGACTGTCAAAAGTTTTATGAGCAAAATACCTTCGGTGAGTGTTGGATTGTGTAGGCATTGGTTCCAAGCCTGGCTAATTCATAAATTTTCCGTCTTTTAAAATCACATATTTATGCAAAATATGCTGGAAATTTTAGCCTAATATTATTATATAACATTACAGTTTCTCCAAAATTCAAACCAAGTACCTTTTGCTTGACATAATGCTAGGCACAATGTTTAACTAAACATAACTTCTTACTACTTTCTACACTTTTACTACATACACTTACTTATTATATGCTTACTCTTTAATTTAAAGGTCTTCACTGGATCAGAGCTGGTAGCTTGGCTGGGCCGACATCTGAACTTGGAAGACAGCTGGGAAGCATTGCATCTGTCTCATCTACTGGCTGCACATGGCTATCTCTTTCCAATAGACGACCACTGCTTGACTGTTAAGAATGATAACACATATTATCGGTGAGGCTTGAAGCTAAGCTGGCATTTAAGTTTGCATATTAAAAGTTTTAGTTTACTAACTATACTTTCTTTTACAGATTTCAAACTCCATATTTTTGGCCATCAAACCAATGGGAACCGGAAAATACTGATTATGGTGAGATAGGCTTTCCAAAATTCGTTACAGATTTACTCTAAAATGACTAAACTGATTTGAAATATAAGGTCTGGCTATTGGCACAGATTGTAATTCTGACACCACAACATGATAAATAATTTGTCAGAAATGTAATTTACTGTGTGGCAGAATTACAATATATTTTACGACACTTACATCCTTTGTTAATGAGAGACTTTAAGTTCATGAAAATATCTTAAATCTGCCCCAAAATGAAACAGCGTGCATTGCTCTACCGTTCCAGCCGTATACCTCTGTAAGCGCACTATGCAGAACAAAGCACGCCTGGAATTGGCAGACTACGAAGCGGAGTCCTTGGCGCGGCTCCAGAAGATGTTCAGCAGGAAGTGGGAGTTCATCTTCATGCAGGCTGAAGCACAGAGTAAGGTGGGTAAGGTGTTAGGATTCTACAAAGAAACCGGAAGGTCTGAAGGGACACAGTGATAGTCGGATAATCCACTGACCTCCGTAGAGGGGAAATGGGTAAAGTGACCACTTAATGGCGTGGACTGATCACCCGGCCTAAAGTACATCTTATGATGTATAGTAATTTAAACATTTTTAAATTCGTAGTTTTTAAGCAGTAAATGCTAATAAAAGGACGTGTTTGTCCAGGTTGACAAGAAGAGGGATAAACTTGAAAGGAAAGTGCTGGACAGCCAGGAGCGGGCATTCTGGGACCTGCATAGACCTATGGTAAGATTTATCCACACTAAACCCAGGTTATTTCGATAGAGGAGGACAGACAAGTATGTAGTTTACTGGAAGGAACGAGAACAACCTCTGCCATATATTATTTCGACAAGACTTTGGCATCGTATATTTCGAAATTCATAGACTGACTGCGAAACGTAACTGAACTTCACGGCTTTTCCATCTGTCGACGGTGGTTCGATGAAGTCCAACGTGTTTCTGAAAATATATTTTAATGAGAGACCGACGTTATTTCAAAATAACAAGTTGTCAATGACATTCAGTCATCTCTCAATGACAGTTTGTCAACCGTCAATGAGAATGGGTAGTCCTTTTTCATATATATATTATTTATATTTATAGCCGGGCTGTGTGAATACTACAGAGCTCGACCCGAAGAAGTTGTCCAGGATTAATGCCTTGAAGCAGAAGCGGCTGCAGCAGTGCCAGGAGTTGATAATGCAACACAATCTTAAAGTAAGTCCCTTTGATCATCCATAATACTATGGACCATACTCAGATGGGTACACCACTTTGGTATGTCTTATTTTACGCGAGTAGTATTTTAAATTAAACAACCTTTAACAGTTTAAAACGTGGTATTAGTGATCACAACAGACAAACCGGAAAAGGACTTGAAACTTCGTACGAAACATTTTAGTTTATATTTCGCGTTTTAAATTCTTAAAGAGTCTTATTCCAATTATCGATGATACGGGTCTGTTTTTAAATTACTAAATAAGCTATGAAAGACAGTATAACTTCACAGTTAATTAAGTAAAATCCTGTTTCCCCCTGTGGGGCATACGGCGAATATAAGTCTGTGTCCGTTAAAAATAATTTTACGTACCGACTAGTAATTGAATATAATATGCCCTTCCCGACCGACGCAATTTATTGATTTATTCTTCGAACCCTAGCAGAATATTTTAGTGTTACAACTTTTTTTTTTCAGAACAATCCAATAGTGACGATAACAAATGCGCAAGAGAGCGAAGAAGAGATTCAAAAGAATTCGGAGATTGTAAAGGAAAATGGTGAGGAATTGTTTTGGCATTTATACCATTTTTTTTATTATTTGTGAATGAAGATTTTATTTGTTCGAAAACTAACAAAGATCTCTCAAAATTTTCCATAATCTAAATAAATTTTAGATTTAATTTATATTCTGTGTGTTCAAATACATTTTATAGTTTCTTGAACCGTTTTCGCAGCGCACGCAATGGTAGCTCAAAGATGAATAATTTTCCTACATTTATTTTTTATTTTTTGCTGCCTCATAATATATACGCCTTCAGCCGTCCAAACTACACAGAAATAATTTTTCAATTCCTACCAGTAGTACCTGAGATTAGCGCGTTCAAAAAAACAAACGCGTTATAATATTAGTATAAATATATAAAACAAGATACTCATAAATTTAAAATATGTTAACAATTCTTAAATAATACAATTTATAATAATTATTGTCTAACATCATCATAACAACAAATGTGAGCAGTATTTTCCCAAATTTCAGGCGAATGCTCCCGCACCGAACTGGCAACACTGGAGGACGATAAGCCGAGTATAGAATCGCAGATCGAAGCGGCGAAAAGGCAAGTGGCTGTGCTGAAGGCGAGACTGGAAAGAAGGAATGTACGAGTCAGCAAGGTGGCTGAGATGTAAGTGTATACTGTATATATAATACTATATCTTTATTACTTAGAATCGTTAAGTTCACCAGTAACAATTCGAAGCAGTCGTAGTCACGGGGGTCATAAATAAAAAAAATAGATTTAGGCTATAACATCACGCTGCACTCGACTGCGTTTCAAAAGTCAAGAGTTTGATAGATGTGACATTTTCAGGTTCATATCTTACTGCGAGCAGTACGGCGAGTACGATGCCTTCCTCACACCACCCGAATGGCCGAACCCCTGGATAAGCGATACGACGGAGTTGTGGGACCAGGAGAAACAGTGGTCAGTGTTCTTCTTTTACAATCTCTTAAAGTAGTTGGTAGTAGTTGTGGAGATGAAGTGAAATAATGCTTTAAAATGATTGATGAATTGAAGACGTCACCGGTGTTGTGCAGAAGCCGTGGTCACTTGAGACTATATGGCGGATAAAACATTGGATTTTCTTAAAATGTATATAATTATGTAAATATTTAATTTTAGTACAAAATTTTAATCTCTTCATTACATTCGTAGGGATTTAGTCTCATTTCAGAAATTTATCAAGGTGCTCCTTTGGCTTTGTAAATAATTGGTACCATACGAACTCAAGAGTTTCTGTTACAGCAAAGAACCGCTTCCGTTGCGGCGCGTGCGTCGCTGGTCGTTCAGTCTCCGCGAATTGCTGCGCGACCCCCCCGGAAGGGAACACTTCGCCAAGTTCCTCAGCAAGGAATTCAGTGGGGAGAATCTTAAGTTCGTATAAACTTTGCTATTTTTCATATATTTTTTATAATTTTTTTTTTTTTAAGATATCGCCAGCTGAGTAGCACACATACAACTAGGATTCGAATAAGAGTTTTTTTTTAATGATAGCGGAAGGATATACAAATAAACAAGATGTGCTGTTAATCTAGCCTCGATTTGCATATTCGGAAATTTACAGACTGAAACCGAAACATAACCCACGTTGGACTGTTTCAGAAAAATTATAAATTAATTAGAAAAATGTTGAAGCGGATGGGTTTTGAACCCACGACCCTTGTACTATTAGCCGTACATTGCTACCATTGTGAAATCCACAGATTCTGGTTGGCGGTGCAGGATTTGAAGGCGTTACCCATATGTCGTGTCGCGTCGTGCGCAAAAGACATATGGAAGGAGTTCTTGGACTCGAACGCGCCGTCGCCGGTCAATATCGACGCCGCGAGCAGGTAACGACGGACACACTTCTGTGTCCTTTTCTAATTTCAATTTATTTGTATCCCACTGCTGGACAACGGTCTCCTCTCAAAGAGAAGGTTATCTTAGACCCGTTACTTCAATTTGTGTTGGTGGGACGTCATGAGTACCAGCTATAAATTAAAGCTCACTTCGAGATATGTGAATGAGGACACACCTTCCAAACTCTGGATAACTTTATCTTCTTCTTCCAATACCGAAAAGTTCTAGATATCGAAGCAAAATTTCACCCGATTCAAAATTAGAACCAAGGAGCAAAGCCAACGAGGCTGGTCCCACTTTTATAATGATTGGTTTTATGGTATTAGTAAAAATGCAAACTTTTTCTTTTGGGTGTGGTTTTATTAATATAGTGAACGATAGACAACACGGGGTTTAATTGATGCTAGATAAAATACCCCAGCCATATAACATATGATCAAGATGTGCTTTCGGCCTATTTTGGCTTCAGTCTTACGTTATATTGTTTTCTTCTTTCAGGGAACTAACTCGAGTCAGAGTCGAGTCTGGGAAACCGGATCGTTACTGCTTCGATCAGGCGCAGGTATGAATATCAGAATAACATATTTCCTTCAAAGTAAAGTCTGCTTACCCTAAGTGGAGATTCATACTGAAAAAAAATTTTCTCGTACGAAATCCGTTATTTATACGCTGTTCATGCCTTAGTCTCAAGGTTCAAATTCCCAGGAAAGATTATTTCATTCATATATGTGGGAGAATTTTATTTTTTAACTGTCAAACACTTGACTGATTGCCAACTGTCAAAGTTGACAATCTGTCAAGTGAAGTCACTATAATGTGTCAAAGAGTCGGGGTGATTGCGTTCAAATGTCGCCTGCGCCGGGCGTACGCACTGACTATACGTCCACGAGGACGCTCATCCATTTGCATCTCCGTCATATATATGTTATTTTCAGGCCCACGTGTATCACCTAATGAAATCTGACAGTTACTCGCGGTACTTACGCTCGGAGATGTACAAGGACATCTTGAATGGTTCCAAGAAAAAGGTGAATTTTTCTATTTCATTTAAATTTACCATATCGAGAAGAGTAGTGAAGATCATTTATTTCACCGTATAATACAATATCTTTTAATAATCTAAATTAACACCTGAACAGTCTGAGCTACTTTTTAATCTAACCCTTATAGTACGATAACATGGCTGAAACTAAATATGTGAAAACAATATTTTAGCTATTTTGGGTGTAAGGTCTAGTTATAGATTTCCTATAATTTCATACGTTTTATTATTAGATTACTATTTGCTGTATTAATAACGATTTTTTTTACAGACATCAGTAAAAGGCATAAGGTCTATCGTCTCGTTCACCGGAAGGAAGGAAACGTCATCAAATTAAAGAGTACTCTTCCCTACAATACTCTGAAGCTGTTATAATATTCTTCTTAATACTGAAAAATAAGAAAGAATGACTGGAATATACCAAAGAATATAACAATCCTGTAGTCTATCACCAGAACGAGTTAATATGGAAAGAGAAGTTGACGCCCACTGATCGTTCTCTGTCCTTGTTCTTGTAGGGACGTGTGGGAAAGAGACAGCGCTCTATTAACTTGTTTTGGTGAATGGGTACGAATTTGGTTAGTGTTAGATACATTGGTTGTAAAACGGACTAGTTCGAAAGGAAACGGTTGCTTCAAATTACATTGGTGTTAATAGGTTTAGAGAATTAGTACGTTTTAGTAAGGTATTGAGAGTCATTTGGCAATTTAAAAAATATAGATGCTATCTCTGTCTTCAAAATTTAAAAAAAATAATAATTTGATGAGAAAATGAAAAATAGGTAAGATTTTTTTCATGGTGTTATTTTTTTATTACTTTTGCAATTATTATTATTGTGATTGTAAACTTAAGTTTTTTTCTCGTTAAATATTATTTCTGACCATTGAGAATCTCGTTACATCGTGCACTCATAAGAATGTCATAGGACGTTAGCACATAACCCACCATTGTTAATATCTATTCATAGTTAAGTAGGAACGACACAGCTTGGTGGGTTCTATCGCTGTCGTGGTACAGTTGTTACCACGGCTCTTGTTATTAAACTGTATAGGTGCAAAAACTTTCATAAATTAAACTTAATCACTTAACAGTTTAAAACGGGAACTATATAAATAAACTTCTTTTTAACTGTGGCCCGACGTTGTAAAGTGTCGGGTCATAGTTAAATATAAGACGCGTTTTAAACTGTAACTGTGTAAAATTAGTTTCTCTTAGTTGTATATCACTCGCGTCAGCCACAGATAATACTGTAGCAATTGTCAAAACCAAAGTGTCAAAGACTGTCCAACCTAACTGCCTTTTGTATGATTTTAAGCCTTTTACTTTACCGACGCACGGAAAATTTGGAAAATGCTAGGGATTTTTCTATGTACATTTCTCTGTGTATAGAAAAGCTAAGGAAAAAGTTAGTTTAGGTCTCATATTGATATTATTAATAATATTGTTAGCAGCAAGAGCAACGTCGAAAATTGTCCAATGAAAGACAATTCAAAATGGCGTAGTGTATACTGTCCGTAGTTTATGCGAGTAGTACACATTTAAATAAAAATCTTTTACCGGTTCAAAACGCGATATTTATCAGTTAAACTAATTAGAACATTATTTAAACTACGGTTCGATGTTTACTACGTACGTGACCAGCTAGTCTTCCGTAACCACGTGGCTGCTTCAAAGCATCGAATCCTCGGGACGTAGTTAAAATAATTTTCAAATGAGTTTAACTAATAAATCTCGCGTTTTTAAACCGATATAAGCGTTTTATATATATACTGTTAGTTGTGTACTTGGGTTTTCGTCATAAAAAAATTAAGTTAATATTTGAATTTTGTTATGGCACTATTGTCTTTCATAGCATAATTTTCTCTTATTTAGTGTCTTTCAAATTCTCTTTGTGGAAAAAACTAGAATATCTTTGGAGTGAAGGTATATTTATAGAATGGTATAAACTCTAATATTATTTATATTCTTATCTTCAATCAGATTGTATTGCTATCGTTTATAGATTTAGATTTATATATGTATATATTAATATGTTTTTCTCAATTTCGGTTATTTGAAAGGCACAAAATATTAACTCAAATGTAAATAAAAATGTTTTAGACGTATTATTGTATTTATAATTGTGTTTTAAGCTATACTTCATACCGCCTTGGAAAGTTCTGGGAGTTCATAAATACATTCTCTGGGGGTGTGGGGGGGGGGGGGTGTTTCTGATGATCTATGTGCTAAAAAACAATCAAAAAAACGAACAAAGACTTGTATCTGCCCCATGAGGGACTTTAGTAACTTGTATGCTATTTGTTTGTACATTTATCACATAAGTCAGTACAGCCAGAAAATTTATAAAAAAAAAATATTGATCGAAGAAAATCTTCTGTTTCACCTATTTATAGTTCTATCTCTTTTTAAAGGCATACGCTTATAACACAATTATAAACGCCATTTTGTTGTTATACGTACTTAGTTTACGTAGTAAGTGAAGCAGATCCCTCAACGTGTACGTCCATTACCCCAAATGGGGCCATGGGACCTGAAGTGGATCAGTCAAAGTCTGTGTATTTCGCGCAATACCATTCCTTCGTGCCCACCAAATAATTATGTATCACTTGGCACAAATTTATTTATAAGAAAGGGGAGGGTAGTTGGAAATTTTACTATTTAAATTAAAAAGTAAGTCAATTCAATAGTATTAAAAGTTACTTTATTTTAGGTTACTTTCTGTACTTGGAATGTTCCCAAATTGTGTACAATTTTGTACACAAATACTAAAACCTACGTTTACCTAGTCATTGGTACGGAATTCTTGGTGACAGACTCCGACTCGCACGTAACCTTTTTTTTAAATTCTACGTTCGACGCCTTTTGAGCACTGGCCTCTGAATTTAACCTCAAAAATGTAACTAAACACTGATTCTAAAACTACCCTCTGCTTTCTTTGTCCCATACAAATAATACTCTAGTCGTAATCTTCCATGACTTTGTAATGTAGGTGTCTAAATGTATATATAGCTGTACATAGATCTAAGTCAAAAAAAAGCTGAACTCATTTTGATGCTTCTAATAAAGATGTTCGTTGGGCGTAACGCATTTTGATAGCATTTGAAGCGTGCTGAGGCACTACAAACGGTCATTTAATTTTTTCTCTATTACAAGTTAAGGCTATGCCGACCGAGCAACTTTTAATGAATTTTTTATAGTCAGCTCGTTTTCTCGATCGGCAGATCTAAATGTGTTACGTGCAACGAATTTCTACAATCGTATAGTTCCTTAAAGACATCTCTCGGAATGTACCAAAGGTATAAGTGAGGGCACGAAGCTTGACGTCATTTGCTTCTCCATATACCCAAGAGGGCGAAGGGGGGGGGGGGGGTGTCTTTCCACAGACCAACTGCATCCTAACCTAACCTTACAGGTGAGACACCCTCCAAAGCCTCCATTTTAGGATATTGGTAGCGACCTTGGTTGGGACCTCAAGATTCGTGTCTTCGTCTAATAATGTTAGTGTTACTCTTGTTAATTTTGATCTAAGACGGTATCTGCTCTGTAACCGTTTTTAAAGACACATTTCTGTTATGAACTGTCAGATCCTAGTATGTGTTCTAGCATTCCTATATAAAAATACTAGCTGTGCCATCGACTTCGTATTTTAGTTATTTTGGGCGTCGAAATTTGTCTTTGCAAACTTATCTTTATAAATTGTAACTGTTATCCACGACGTTGTTCGTGCCCCGTCGTTCTTGCTAAGTAATCTTAAAAGATAGACATATACTGTCGCGGACATTTTTTAAGATCGTTTAATGAGAAATCATTCTTTCATACATTTTTAAGGTATCTCGAATCGTTTTCGCAGCGCATGCGACGGAAAATCTTAAAGATTAATAATTTCCCCGTTTTTGTCACGTTTCTTGCTGTTTCTTGGCTCCTATTGGTCGCAGCAGTCAATAAATGTTCTAGCCAAAACAAAAATAATTTTTCAATTCAAATTCCTAAGTTTAGCGTTCAGAAAACAAACTCTTCAGCTTCGATAAAACACACAATCACACACACGACGTTTTTCTGACATAATGATAAACTTGTTTTGGAGTTGTGTTCTGTGTAAACAGTTCAGAGGAGTTTATGTTTTAATGACAACATTCTTGTATAGTTATACGCATTCTAGGATCTTTAATTGTTTAAAATTTTCTATAAACAGGGTGTAGACATCAAAACAAACTTGGTTTTACCTAAATCCGCTGACTAGTTTGCTATTTACAGCCTGTGTATATTTTTGGTTTAAGTTTACTATTGTTACATATATTTACTATTCAAATTATGTATGCTAAATATTGTAAATATTGGACTTCGACCGGGAGAAGGAGACAATAGATCATTTTCAATTCAATGAGCTGTCTCTTTCGCACATTGCCTATTTATTAGATTTTGAATTTAAATCTAAGCAGGAGCGTCTTAAGGTCAAAAGTGCTTTACATCGTACACTGTCTATATTTGGTTCAACCTGTGTCTTCGTGTTTGTTTCAATCCTTCTGTCAATTTCAACAATAATTCTAAAAATAACGATTGTCGAAGTGCAATATAAAAAGGAATATTCCTAAGGAATTGAATTTTATGTTGTTTTCTTGTAAGACTGGATCGTGCTGATTCTAAATATCTTGTATCAATGTAATTTAAAAAATACATTTTTCGTTATCTTTTAGATGCAGGTAATCAGGTACGTCGCAGGTGCCTTAGTTGGGGGGAAGGCATCATTCTACAAAGCCTTTATATTACTGAATTCAAATATTTAGAATCAGTGTGGCCGATTAGAAATACTCACCTGTTCCAGCCAAAGATGGCGACATTTAGAATTTCAATTATTACAATTTGTGTCAAATTAGTTTGATGTATTACAAAAATACAATATATTGTTTTATTTATAGATAAACCTCCTCTGAGGCTTTCACGAGATATTGACTTCATTTTAAATTCTGACGTATTTTACTACTTTTAAACGATTATTTTTCTTGGAGTTTCCATATATCCATTTATTTTTGTATCTTTATCTATTTTACATAGAAACCGTGCAGCTGTATAACGTAAAAATAAATGTTACTTGCTAGTTAAACCCAGATAGAAAATACAAGGAAATGAACAGGTTAATTTAAAAATAAGTCGAAATAGAAAATCAATGATTTATTCTGTTCGTTTACAAATATTACTTTATGACTTAATTCAAACATAGTGCTTAAAGTGTGTTCACACTGGCCAGTTTATGGGTAGTTCAACCGACTTCAAAAGAACGCAATTATTGAAAAATCTTTATGTACCCCATAAGCGAACGACGTTTTGGATGCCTCCCAGCAGCCGTGGTAATAGGGGGACGTGTGAAGGTAAAATAAATATCTTCTACCTTTTACTGTTCTGGTAAGAAAGTAATTGAAGTCGGTTCGTTAGATTATTTAGCAATTGCTAAACCCAAATACTGCAACCAGTGTGAATTAAAAAATGTGATTTCGAAAATTCCTTGACAATTTACTATATTACCGATTGTTTTATTGTCAATAGACGTTTACAAAACTGACATCTCTAATCAAGTGTCTTCGATTGGCGATAAGCTCAAATTGGGTTAGATTAAGTTTCAGGTTTGATCACATAATCGGCTAATAATAAAAAAGACCTGGAAAAAGTTTACATTTTCCAAGATAAAAAAAAACACTGAAGCCAACCCTTTGAACCTTAACACGTAGATGTTAAGATTAAAATTACATCACACAAAAGATACATGTAGAACAGACTATTCCTGTACATATGAGACGCTAGAGGCAGAGTGGCCTAACTGCAATTTTAAGACTATTTAATTATATTTTCGTAGTCTGAAAATGTGCAAGAGCACAGTGACCGATAATTGCTCACATAATTCTTACACAAATAATAGTACAAATTGCGCATTTTTTGTTTGCTCTCTGTTGAAAATCATGTTTTTTGTTATTAGGCCACCCTGACTTTAGCAGCCTTATACTGTTTATGAATTACAAGACCAATCGAAGATACCAAGATTTGTATTAGTAGCTTTCCTGTTGCGTCACAAATACAACTTCTACTTCAAACATTAACACTTTGTGACGTCATAAACGGTGTATCTATAGAATCCTCTGTGAGTACACAATGTCCCAACTTAATACCGCAACACTCGGTTACAGGGGTGAACAACCTTTATCGAGCAACGTTGAAAGAACACTGAGCTAAGGTTTTTAAGTCGGAGGAATAGACACAATTTATTAGACGTAAATAATACCCTATATATGTGTTTAAAAGCCAACTGGTGTCGTCGCGGATCTTCACTTCAGTGAGATGGGAACAAGAAATTTAAACTAGTCTCGTTACTCACGTTATTAGCTAACGGATTCATAAATATTGTGGAATTTCATTTAAAAAAGCCGCCAAAGGTTGTTCGCTCCTGCAGTAGGACACCCTGTACATTGCAATATGAAAATCACGCAAAACAAGCCATAATTCTTTACTGTAAGTCGTAATTAAAAAAATCTCTAACAAAACATCTTTGGCTAATCAACAAATGTTCGTTTACAAAAAACCGATAAAACTTAAAAATAAATCTTAACAATATGACTGACACGAGTGAATTAAAAAAAAGTTAATCTTGATTTCGGGGCACTTTTCCACGCGACTGTATAAGTACAATAAACTTAACTAATAAAAAAGTGAGTCAACATTTCAAAATAATTAAAAAAGCAAATAAGTTAGAATAATTTCACGATTTGTGTAAACCAGTAATGACTATGTTCATATAAAATTAACAGCAAATATAATGCTTATCTGTCAAATTATATAATACAAAAACTACGCTATACTTTGTCTAATGTAGGATGATAATTTTGACGGCCGTCAACAACGTCTAGTAGTCAAAAATAAATTAACTAATGTCTATCACGTGTAAACCCGTCAAGTGTTCCCTTAGGGCGCACAACTCGCGTTAACTACAGAAAAAAATATAATCAAACATTTAATCGATTTAAATTGCTATTTAATATTATGTAAATAATCGAATCACTATCGATTATAACCTCGGCACTCTTGACATTTGACAGCTGTCAAATTATCATCTTAGACAAAGTGTAGTTATTTAAAATTATTCGTTATATATTTATTCTTTATATATATTATTAGGACGACAGACACTGCAATTCCTTATTTCGCTAAAAATCTATTTTACTTCGTTATTAAACCATTTTTGACAGTTTAAATGCGTTTGTGATCTATGCACACTGTTTTTAAAAACATTTCAAACGCAAACTTGTTTTTATTTTTAATAGCTAAGTAGTTTTTGTCCCTTTCAATCATATTTATTAAAAAAAAAACGATTTAAAGCTGAAAGTTGCAAACACTATTTGTCTCTTTCCATCATATGACAAAAATATTGAAGATGCTTTCTTAAAGAGACCATTTTTACCTTAATTTTAGGCGTCATGAATGAAGACGCTTCTGAGTTTGCTGTTTAAGGGGGTATTCCCCCCCAAAAAGAACCAAAAATGATGAGCTAGCTACGAAGCGTCAAAATTGTATAAAAAACCGGTCACTTCTTACAGTCAAATATTAATATCCACTTTTGAAACTTTTCTTTTAACTACTTAACCCAGAAGCTTCTCCAAGCATCGTTGACAGTGTTTTTCGTGTGAATTTGTGACAGACATACAAAAATTATTATATTCTAGAAACAAAGGAAGCCTTTTTCATTCTATCACTAAAGTTTCATAAATATTCATCACATCAACCCTCTTTCTAAGGCAAAAGTCAAGAGGAACAACCGAATTTGATATTTATCTAGATTTTACTAAAATAATTATGAAGGTATTCAATGACGTCATTTGAGAGTCCGTAGTGGACACAGAATTCATCATTGCGACATGGTGGGTATTTGTTATTACTGTCACTACATTTGTGATGATAACCGGAATGAAATATCGAAATTATATTTAGCCCGATCCAAGATTCAAGCACGGGAAACTAACGGGACTAAATATACGTTTAAAATGCGCATGCGCAGTTTGAAAATTTCAGTTGCATTTTAATTAATCTCGGGTCCACTTCCTCAATTATTTATGAAACTTCACCAAGCAACACTCGTGGCAAAATATAATATAGAAAAGTCCATATTATGTCAGAGCCATTTTAGTTTACGTAAAGTAGAAATATTTTCTCATTTGCCGTCCCACTTTGGTCATGTTTGTGCACATTTCTTGATCTCTGAAAATGAAAAGAATTGCTAATAAACTATACTGAACTGTTTGTTTGTTAAAGTGTGTGTGAAAATCCCATATCCCCGGGGGCATCGAGTAAACTGTCTGGTGTTTCTGTCACAGCTAGGTTTTATACACAGGCGAGTTATTTAAGATACGTTATTGCCTAACCCGACCGAAACAATATATTATTTCGCCTGGATTCGAACCTACCATTAAGCAACAGAGGTGAAATTGTTTGTTTAAGAATTAATATTCAATTAAAATTAAGGACGGACAAGTTTGGCGTCCACTTCATGAAATCCAAACAATCTAGTTTTTATTATTATCATTACTTCATAGGTAGGTAGTTATAAAAATGGGAGAGAACTATTAGATTTGCGAGCTTTCGTGCATAAGTGTACATCAAAATGACAAAATTGTTTGTTTAAAAGCAGATGTCTGTCTTAAAAGGTTGGCTAATATTCTTATAACATTAGCCCAATGAATTAAGCTAGGCTTACTAAGTAAAGATCCGTTTTCTATCCTTTTAGACAACCGACATAATTTAAACGAATTCAATGCAAATGTTTACACTAACTTATCTTATGCCCTTCTACCCCTTTGCGTTGTGCCAAGTGCCACTTACCGTATATCACCCCACCCGCCGTTCCCCTTCGTCAGTTTCTTGTTGTGCTTCGCCCCACCAGCTGTTATGGTCGCCATTATTCGTGACGGGAACATATACTGTTTCGCGTTCTGCAGCAACTTTTGCACTTTGCTGATAACCGTGGACGCGTTGCAGTTCGATTTCTTGTGATGGATGCCGCTGCAAAGATATTAATTATTGAACTTTTGAAAACAATATGAATGTTTGGCTTTTTAACGCCCGAATGGCAAGACTGTTATAAAATCAAGTTCCAATTTAACTACTTAACATAAACACAACTACTTCTTTAACGTCGGGTCTCCACATATAATCTGCCTTTTGATCCGTTAAAATTGTTTTAATTAATACTATTAATTCCAAAAATTATTTAAATATTTATGATGCTGATCATGTATAGTTTGTAGTTTATGCAAGTAGTACAAATTAAAACAGATGTCGCTAGCATAGCAGATTTGACTTTGACATTAGGGTCACTCCATCTTCAGTTCTTTTGTGGCCGCAGCTGGTGCAAATCATCCAAAACGACGGAGTCGTAGTTAAAATGACTACTGTTTTTCACGTTTTAAACCGTTAATAGTGGTTTAATTTAGATTTATCTAATTGCTATGATGGCAAGTGGAGTACATAAGCAATTTTCGTCTAATCCACCTTTACAAACTCACCATTCACCAATATGAAAGACCCTCGGTCCTTTGCACAAGATGACTTTGAACTTTTCCCTTCCAGGTCGGTTCTGCGACAAATGCAACAACGAATAGTCCCAGTTGTAATCGTCGTACGCGCAGAACTCCTGTTCCAGTTCCATTATGGAGTTCCAGACCGTCTTATTGAAGACCATGCCCATGTTATGCATGCTGGAGTGCCAGGGCGTTATTTCCACCTGGAAAATTCTTATGCTTAGTAAGAAAATGACACGAGCGTGGGTCGAACCCGCACACCTTCATGTCATAATTTCCATGGTGGTTAAAAATGTTTTAACAATATATACAGTTAAAATAAGAAGTCAAACTTATAAAACCCGACATTCCCGTAAATAACTTACCAGCGCTATCTGTTATTCCCTCTGTTAAAGTTAAGCTTAGTTTTTTTTACCATGTAGCTAAATTTAAAAAAAGGAGTTTTATACCTTCAAAGTGTTACATTGATTTCTGGATCATTAAAAAATTCTCTTTTATATAAACTAACGTGCATTTACAAAGCTTCTAGTTAAAAATCACATATTTAGAGATAGGACCCATTTCCCCTACGAGGGGTATGGGGCAAATATTTCTGCGTTTCCACTAATTGATTTTATTTAATGATCTATTCTCGGGATTCAAATCCGAATACAGAAGGCGATATTTACAAAGCTTAAGTGTAAAAATCTACTTAACGTCTAAACTAACTTAAAATAAATAAAACAGACATATTATTGTATCTCTTTATATGTCAATAATTCATCTACATAATTGACCCTGTTACGTCTACAATTGACAAGCGCAAAGCGAATGTGTAGATATAAAATGACCGACTACTTAAAATTTATTAAGTTGTTTGGTAGTAATTCTTAAACAAGCATGCATACATGCCTTATAATGGTATTACTTTAGTTATATAAAAATGTCTGATTAAGGTTTAACATTTTGTGGGTTTGGCTCCTATTTACGTCGAAATTAAGCAAACGTTCTTGATTATTTTATATTATACTGTATTAGTTAAGGGACGGAGAGTAGACGGGTTCTTGTTTCAAATAAGTTTAAAATTTCACTAATTTAAGTTAAATGCTGTATGTAACACACTTAAATAAAACACTTTAACGGTTTTCAACGCGATATATATTGATACCCGTGACCGCGGCTGCTGCGAAGCATTTGAAACGTTTGGCCGTAGTTAAAATCGTTTTCAAATAAGTTTATCTAATAAATATCGCGTTTTAAAAAATATTTAAATAAAAAAAAAAAAATTTTTATTTTTTTTTTTTTTTTTTTTTTTTTTTTTTTTTTTTTTTTTTAATTTTTTTTTTTTTTTTTTTTTTTTTTTTTTTTTTTTTTTTTTTATTTTTTTTTTTTTTATTTTAAATAAAAAAACCCCCCCCCCCCCCCCCCCCCCCCCCCCGGGCGGGGGAGGAAAAAAAAAAAAAAAAAAAAAAAAAATAATATTTTTTTTTTTTTTGTTGGGGGGGGGGGGGGAAAAAAAAAAAAATTTTTTTTTCTTTTAAATAAAAAAAAAACCCCCCCGGGGGAATTTTTTTTTTTTTAAAAAAAAATTTGTTGGTTTGGAGAGGGGGGGGGGGGGGGGGAAACCCCCCCCCCCCCCCCAAAAAAAAAAAAAAAATATTTTTTTGTTAAGGGGATATAAAATTTTAAAAAAAAAAAAAATTTTTTTTTTAAAAAAAACCCCGGGGGGGGAAAACCCCCCCCCCCCCGGGTTTAAAAAAAAAAAATTTTTCTTTTTTAAAATTTTTTTTTTTTTTAAAAAAAATTTTTTTCACCAAAAAAACCAAAAATTTGGGGGGGGGGAGGGGGTTAATAAAAATAACAAAATAGTAATATAAGTTGCTTTGTTTGTTTGTATGTGTATCTAAAGATTCAAAATTATTGTACATGTTTGATCTTTTGGGCTCTTATCTATTTGAGTTTTTAAAATAGATGTTAATATCTACCCTTCTCCTTTATTTATCGTAACGAATAAAATATTTCAATCAAAGCATTCAGCATTCCGGAAACTCTAACAGCTCGAATGTCGCTAAACTAAGAAATTAGTGGCAAGCTATAACTTATCATGCTGTTAACCAAGCTGTAACCTTTTGGGTAGACGAATACAAGTTGGGATAGACTTGGTAGTTCCACTGGGTCTCTTGCAGTCTCTTTCTCCTTTCCTCGTTCGCCGCGCGCACTTGTTGAATGTAATTTAAATTGAATTGTTTCCGTCTCTGCGTGGAGATTGACACTTTAGTAGACTACTCCGGAGTAAAGACGCCATCGGTGGCAGCACGTATTAATAGTGAGTGCGTTTTACTCTGATTACTTACTTGTGTAAACAAAAGAAAAACTAATTTTATTTCTTACATTCTATTAAATTGTATTTAATTTAAATTTTGTCATATGCTTTTAACAACATTTCAATTGCTCGAGCGTTGTCTGTGGTTTGTAAGTAGTGTACATTTTGATAAAACACTTAACAGTTTAAAACGCTAAATATATTCGCTGATTTATATGACGGAGTAAAGTTAACTTATATATTTCGCGTTTCAAACCGTTAACAGTGTTTTATTAAAATGGTAATGACATTTGATGAATCAATTTAGAATTTAATTGTTCTTTAAATTGAATAACGCTTTCGCGTAAATTGCTCCAAAACGCAAGAAGTTTTGATTTTTTGTGATTTTGTTAGCCTTCTAGAAAAATATCATCTTTAAAATTACACTGAAAAACATTGTTTTGTATTTAGACGAAATGGTATTAGCCAATATAGTAATAATATTTTAATCCCAAATCCTTGCCTCGTGGCTTTTATGTTGTAAGTAATTGTAAGAAAGTCTACATTTAATATATAAAGACATATTAAATGTAGACTTTCTTACAATTACTTACAACATATTCCAATTTTTTTTTAGTTTTTTTAAATGTTCCAATCCACTTCAGTAAATAAAAAAGAAATAAAAAATTAAGAGACTATAGATGGTAAGTAAAGCATACTTAAAGCTTAGCTTTTCGGAAAGCTGCTTAAAATGTAATCATTAATATAAGTAAATTTGAAACCTGCGTTTTTCATAACTGACTATATATTTTCATAACCTAAATAAACACAAACGACACTTTTACAAGTGTTTTGCAACAAAAGTGATATTAAAAGAAATATGCGATTGGAAATAGCAGGATAGGCCGTTCAAGTACTATGTGAGCATATCAGCGCTTCAAACTTCCAAACACATGGTATTCCAGGCCAAGGCTTCCATTGGGGAACCGTTGTTCTAGCTACAAACACGGTTAGTTTTAAAGTCGATCTAGGTAATGAACGCGGTGTATTATAGAAATTACAACAGCGACGGTTACCTATTTAATACTTTAATATTAAACAGTTTTTAGTTCAAATAAATATAAAAGCCATTAAACAGTTTATATAAAATCAATCTTTTCAAGATAATATATTGACGATTTTGTAAACTTTTTTAACGAAATGTATCGTCTTATAATTACTGTTGTAAAAATGTTCACAGTAAAATTAGATTTATATTATTTTAAACGCTAAATTAATTGTTTCATTAAACAAACAAAACTTGATTTGCATCCAACTAGTGGCGCCATCTGTTGGCAATTTTTGTAACCATGTAAAAAAAGAAGTTTATTTATAAAACAAATTCATGTAAATAAATTGTTTATTTATGTTAAATTTATCGTAATACTAATTTAAAATATTGAACTACATTTTAGGATTTAGTGTAGTTACCTACTACTTTAGATTGTTTTAAAAGAAGTCGTGTGCGAAAACAGTTGCCTAAGAATATTATCTTTGCTGTAAAATATGGTTCACTCGAAATTTTGCTGATAAGTAGTTAAATAAAAAAATCACATACTACTTGAATGACCTTGAAAACAACATTTGCTCAACAAAACAACAACAGTGCTGTGGGGTAGACAACTTCCACAACTTACCTTATCCGTGTTGCTGTGGTACTGGTAAGTCTTCAAGTAAGTCCCGAGACATAGTATCTCGCATTGTGGACAAGTTTTGTCGGCCGTGCTTCGCAATAAGTTTAGCATGTGGATGAAGTCTTCCGCTACATAGTGGTCTTCTTCCAGGAAAACCACCATCCCTGAAAATGTAAAACATTTCAAAGTTCAACGATTCGGTAGCTCAATTGGTATAGCAACAGCACGGAACGCTGACGATGCCGGTTCGAGTCCTGCCCGAGTCGACAATTTATTTTCCACACTTAATCTATAATTGTGGATAATCAGGTAACGGCAAATGTGTGTCAGATTGTCAATATGAGTATAGTGTATTTTTTTGAAAAAATATACTTATTTAACGACTTTTCTCTTTCTAACTGTACCTATGCCGAGGCTGTCCATGATTAATTTATTCGCGTTTTGAACCGTTAAAAGTTTCTTTTTATACACATAGATCTATAGTTGATTTAGTAGACTTTGTTCCTATAAAGTCTACATAAATATTGTCTGCAGTTTTTAAAACGCGAAATATATTAACTTATTTTAACTAGGGCAGGACATTTAGTGACTTAAACGCAAACGAGGGGCCTATAAATATTTCGCGTTTTAAACCGTCAAAGGTGTTTTATTTAGTGTAGTCTAGTTTTTCACTTACCAGTATGCCCAGATGTACTCTGTAGTTGATTGAAGATCCTGTTGGCTTTCCACCACCAGTGGTGCTTGGTCTGCGTGTACTTGGCTTCCCGGTAGTGGCCGTGCAGATCCGGGTGAAGAGCGTTGTTGCATTTGAGTTTTAAAGCTCTGAAACACATATAACGATAGTTAGTGCGCGCGGTAAACCTTTTTCGAAAAAGAAAGTCTAAAAGACCAATAAACTAAACAAAATTTTTAAATAACAGACTTATAACGGTTTCAAATCGAGAATAAATTAGTAAATCGCTAAAGTCGAAGTGCAAAAGCATAAGTGTAAGTACTTTACTCTATCCTTAAAAAAAATAATTTAAGTATCATATATCGGTTATTTAACAATAGTTACGACCCATTAATGTCCCCCCCACCCACTGTTGGGCACATCTCGCATAAGAGACTTCAAAAGCTCAGACCCACCACGCTAACCCTGTGCTTTTAACCACTACTCACACAACCAGTATTCATGATAAATTTGAATGATTAAAAAAAAACTAATGTCAATGTCAGTTCACACAATTCGAACCTGAGACCTCATGAAGATTAAAAAATGATATTGCTGTTTTGTTCGTCGGTTCGATTTCCACTGTTTAAAAAAAAATGTGGTAAAATAATTCTTTGATATATTTTTCGGTTACATCTAAATTGCCATTGTTTTTCTTTCCCAACAATGTTTTTCTTACTTACTTACTCGACAATACTTACTGTTCCAATTTGGCGTCCCGGGGACAGTCGTTCGGGTCCATCCCGGGAAACTCGTTTGGATGCGTTTGTATTGAATACGGGTAGAATATTTGCATTACCTGAAAGATAGATTTTACAATAGAATAGTAAGTAACGACTAAACAAATTGCTTTTGATAAGTAATACATACAAGCATATACAATAACATATAAGCTTTGATTTGCATCGATAGCGCATTTTGTTTCCCGTAATGTTCGCTTAATGGAAAATGAAATATCCAAGCCATTGAATTTTATACGCACTTTAGTAAAATCTATGCTCCTAACTAAACTATTGATCTCCTCATCGAAGTAGTCGTGGGAGAAGACCAGCAACGTCCTGTCTATGTCCTTCGCCTGCGCCAGGGACACAATTAAATGTCTCAAATACGTGAGACGAGTGTGCACCTGAAAAACGAGATATATTTTTAGATATGTATGATTTTTATCATATAATTGTACTTTACGGTTTATCTTAATTGATATATTCAGTTTCTGAAAGAGTTGGAACAATAAACAAACATATAAAAGTGTTTGTCCTGAGTCACACGTAAGCGGAACGGATTTTCTCATTTCCATACTATAGAACAAATTTATTATTTATTGACAAAGGCGTTTGGTTCTTATTAAGCGCGCCTGTGTCGCCTCGAAATTGAGCTTGGCATGTTCCGAGCAAATTTGCAAAATTCTATTAAAATTGGTCTAGTCATTTAGACGCCTGATTGGTTTATCGAATTAGCAAAAAAAAAACCTATTTATAGTTTAAACCGTTAAAATTATCTTATTCAAATGTACACTACATGTGTAAACTACAGACGACACCTAGTTAGTCTAGAGTCGTTGATGACATGACATGGTCGTCATTGACAGTTTTTTATAATATTTATGGAACAATTTACGTTCCTGTTAATCATCGATTAATCAATTAACATGGGTGAAGAAAAGGTGAGAACTGAAATAGAACACTTTAACGGTTTAAAACGCGACATTAGTTAAACTATTTGAAAATTATTTTTAACCGTTATTTTTAAACGTCCCGCCGTTTCGGATATGTTGCAGCAGCCGTGGTCACGAGGAGACAAATAAGTTTAACCAATATACATCGCGTTTTAAACCGTTAAAGTGTTTTATTGAAATGTGTGCTACTCGCGTAAGCTACAGACAGTGTTTTGTCGTGGCTTGAAATTATATAGTCTGGGCGGAGTCTACAATTACAGCTTCAACCATTTCCTTAGTCAAGATACGCTCAACAGCTTCTGAAGATGTCGTACTCGTTCTAATTCTTGTTGTTATAGAAACACCACAAAACCAAGAAGTTGAAGATTCCAAGGCGGGAGCTATCTGTGGTAGTACCACCACAGCAGCCGGTTTATACCACGCCAGACAAAACCACGTGCGCTGAATGCGTGTGCTTTCCGAAAGACCCATATGTTAAAAAGAAGTTAGTGCTATCTATCACCTCCCACCGAGTGAACCATATGGTTGTTTGTCCTCAGCTATATTAAAAAAGACGCTGCGACAAATAGGAGCGAACAAACAGTGGGAAAAGTGGAAAAAACGAGGAAAATTATTCATCTTTGTGAATTTTTTTAAATGATTTCTGTAAAATTTTGATCGAAATATTTATGTTTGCTAGATCAGCGAGTACTAATAATTCTAGTAGATTAAAAGGTATTATTATTAAAAAAACACTTTAATCGTTTCAAAACGCGATATATTAGTTAAACTTATTTGTAAATGATTTTTAACTTCGGCCCGACGTTTCGGATGCTTTGCAGCAGCCGTGGTCACGGGAGACTAATTTATCGCGTTTTAAACCGTTAAAGTGTTTTATTTAAATGTGTACTACTCGCGTAAGACAGTATAGACAGTATTTAGTGATTATTATTACTATTAATAATCAGACATCCGCAGGCGACTGTTGCCATGCCTAAAAACACCAGCAACGCTCTACGAATTGACAACGAGGGTAGTGGATGCACTGTCTTTTCCCACCGCTTTGGGTTGGTCTAAAAATGTTGTGGGAGAGTGGATTGAGATGATGGGATTCCCAGAATATAAGGTATACATAAGTATTTTCCGTAGTTATGTTTTCCTGGACTCTACTTTACACCCGAAATACGCGAAATGTATTTGTGAGTTACTTCTGTAAGCACCCAGCTTCTCCAAATACCAACAAGACAGATGGCGCTAGCGCAGAACATTTGACTTTGACAATAGTTAAGATAGAGAATTTTAGCAGCCTTTGTATTTTATATTATACTTATATTCTAAATTAATGTTGCGATTTTATCGAGGACTTGAATTTATGGAGACTTTAGCAATCCGTCTCCATGCCTCATCCAGGCATGCCAGGCAGGCCTCATGCCATCCAGGACCACTCGCAACATACAGCATGTTGCGAGTGGTCCTCGATTCGATTTCTGAGAGTTCGGTTGGTCTGATAAACTACCTGCCTGAAGGTTCATCGGACAGATTTCTTTCAGGAATGCTTTATGAAGAATGAAGTGGACGGAGTGCGTCTACTAATGTTTGAGGATCCTTCGAAATTACCAGAAATTAGCGTGCGCAATTTCGCACACATCAAGGTATCTTATATATACTATATATTTTGTTTGTTCGATCACGATTATCTCAGAAACGACTAAACTGTATGTCATTAAATGTTTCTTGTCATCCGCCCTTTCAACAGCTGAGACTTGGGAAAACTTCTAATAACTAGCTCAGTAGATTGCGCCTTCATTGAAGAAGAACTTTTGGTGCACGGCTGGGAATTGAACTCCCGACCCTAAGAAATGAAGTCGGGTGCTTCTAACTAGTAGCCAAGAGACCATATACCCTCTTAACACACTGATGTCTCTTATTACATTGATCATTATATAAAAGTTTGCGAATTAAGTAATATTTTCAGATAATAACGAAAACAATAAGACAACTATACGGCACGGATTTCATCAGGTTCGCCAGAAGCATCGGCTTGCCTCCCAGGAAACCCTTGACGCACTGCACTTGGTTCAAATCTAGGACGGGTCCCACCTGGGGCGTTCGCGTGAACTGGTCGAGGTAATTTTAGTGATATTTTCTTGCTGTGACTTTCAAAGCTGAGAATTAGCAATGTGTAAGCACTGTTACTGTTGTATCAATACTAATGTATAAAGCTGAAGAGTTTGTTTGTTTAATCTCAGGGACCACTGGTTGGAATTGAAAATTATTTTTGTGTTGGTTAGAGCATTTATCGAAGAAGGCTTTAGGCTAAAACCATACGATGCAACCAATAGAAGCGAAGATACAGAGGGAAATGTGGAAGAAAAGGGGAAAATTATTCATCTTTGAGGGTTTCCGTTACGTGCGCAGTTAAAACATCGCCAAAACATCTATGATGATAATGACTCCTCTTTTAATAATCTAAAAAATGTTCCCGACAATATATCTATCTATCTTTTGAGTTATAATTAAAAAAGATGAGGTTTTCAAAAACAAATTCTGATCCCAAAACAACTAATTTATGCGGACGAAGTCGCTGACACAGCTAGTTTGCCATATACAGGAAAGTATATTAATTTAAGAGCTAGGTCCAATATCCAATAGTAACCTGGGTAGTCCAAGTAAGTTTCCCGTTATATACATTCTGTATATAATCGCTCTGTGTGCGGTTAGACAAAGAGTGACCAAGGATAGACGTCAGCTTGGATCAACACAGTACGTGTGAGATTGAAGAGGTGGATGAACGCTCACTCGGCTCCAGAGGGGCAGGGGTCTGAGGTGGTACACGAGTCTCATGTCGTTGTCTTTATTTGTCCGCTTACAGATGTGACGTTTTACGCTGGATGAAGATTTTGATGCCAGAACCGGTTAACATGGATCATTGGGACCTGCTTTGGTATGTTTTATTCCACCCATTGTTTCACTGTTGGGCCCAGGTCTTCTTTATAATTAGGATTAAGAGGATAAAGGTTGGCTACACTGCTTCAATACCGGTTGGTGGGCTTTAACGACTATTGGCACTTTAGTGGCGACAGCCGGGACCTACGCCTTGCGTGTTCCGTGTGACACCTACTATTTCTACGAGTTCATACTGAAATTGAATTCTGGCATATACTAACAATATCTAACTTCGAACGAGATCTTTAGAAATTGTACGAATTAAATGGTAGTGAGAAATGTTTTGACCTGGGATGACCTAGCCTTGGTTCGTTGACGAGTTTTTGAACATCAACGATGAAACATACGATCAATGACCAATTTATAATAAAATCAATTTCACAGTGAAAAGTTATTTCAACACATATTGAGATGTTTATCAAAATTGTATATTACTTTATCTTTTTAACTTTTTAAGCTTGAAATCGTTAAATGTATGAATTCCTAGAACATAACCTTGGTGTCCACATACACGTTTTTAATAAAAGAACATTAATAAATCAACTCAATGTTTATGCAGGTATCAAAAACCAGACTTTCCGAGAGTTTTAATAGCTCGGATCAAGATAGACCTTGGCAAAGTTCATATTCCGATATACAAGCCCCAATTGGATTTCTGCAGAGAATACAAGGCAAGTGTATACAAAGAAGAATAGTGGACCTTGATTACTCATTTTAACAAAATTTATTATATATTCATTAAAAAGCTGAAGAGTTTTTGCAAAACAACGTTTTTGTTTGTTTAAAATGTAACAATGACAGTAAATAGTAAAATATAACTACCTTCAGATAGTTCGCAAGTTCCGTTTCGACACCACGATACCGGAAGAGGAACAATACATTTGGATGGAGGAGAGAGAACCACCCAAGAAGAAAGAAATAAAGAAAAAGAAGAAAGAAAAGAAAGTGACTCTACCGAAAGAGACGAAACTATATCCAGAAAAGATAAGTCTGAATGGACTCAAAGGAGAAGACTTGATATTAGCTAGACGGAAAATGGCGAAACCAAAGTTCCTAGCATAACCAACTTTGGAGAAATTGAACTGGAGTAAAAGATGTCGGTATTGGGTATCGGTTTTGATAATAAACATCTTTTATATCTGTATATGTTCATTGTTAGAAATAATTATTGGAAAACGTTTTGCATTTATTTTCACTTTAAAGATGACGGCAAAGACGAAATATTTTGGTAAATTCAAAATTAAGAATATCGCCATCTTTTGGCAGTCACCTTTTAGTTAAGTTAATGTAAGAATAAGTTCTGCTGTCACGCTTTTATTACTGTTTTCATTTCCACCCCGGTTATGTGGGAGAGATAGCTATTTAGTTATAAAGCCGTCATTTGTCCCTAGTTTATTTTGTGTTATGTTTTGTTTCTTGTATTGTTACAGACTATATTTGTCTTAGTTACCTGTATTGCGATAATGATTGTGTCGTTCTGGACCGGACCGTAGATGTCTTCGTTGTATATGGTCTGTGCATCGTTCACCATTTCTATTGCTCTGCGTATATCCGACGTATTCTTTGGTGTAGTTCTGTCTGTCGCGTTAACTAGAACACAAACAAATATAATAAGATTGTTAAGTACAGTCTGTAGTTTACCCGAGTAGTACACATTTAAATAAAACATTTTTACTGTTTGGAACGCGAGATATATACGGATGCTTTGCAGCAGCCGTAGCCTGCCCGTGACCACGGCTACTGCTAAGTATCCGAAACTTCGGGCCGTAGTTAAAATCATTTGTAAATAAGTTCACCTAATATATTTCGCGTTTTAAACCGTTAAAGTGTTATTTAAATAAGAATGTTTCTGGAAAGTTGCCGGTTGAGGTGAGAACTATACACCATGGATTGTGTAAAGATTTTGCGGCGACTTAAGCACTGACGACCGCCGCTGGCAACTCTCAGCGCCACCACGCTACGGGATTCGCCGAGTAACCTGGAAGACTGACGACCAAGTACGTAAGCACGGATTTAAACCACAGTAAGTTACAGTCGCCGGCGACCAGTCGACAGTGCGTAATAGCGCGCGTAAGTGCCTACATTGACAGTTTTGTATGTTTATCTGCTCCCAAAAGTGAGGGCGCAATTTTAAGTTATATGATGTTTTTAAGTACTCACCACTAACATTCTTGGAGTGGACAGTGAGATACTTGTGCAACTCGGGAGGCACCAGCGCCAGGACTTGTTCTGATGTATCATTATAATTCATCAGCTCTTCTGTAATTGAGAATTTCGATTCATAGATGGCGCTTCAGTTTTGTATGTTGTGGTTATAGATGGCTCTTAATTTTGTTATTTACAATGTGCAACTCTAAGTAATCCAAAATTAACTTCAAAAGAAGTATATTTTTGTTAGGTCAGGCGTATATAATTAATATTTTTTTTTTAATAATTATAAAACATCACATCAAATTTGATATTTAAAGAAATAGTACGCTAATGTATAGAGCCACTTAATTTTTTTTCTTTGCTTTTGTTTATCTATATCACAGATCAAACTTCCATCGATAAATTAAAAAAAAATCTCAATAAATTTATTTTTTTATTTTTATTTTATTTGGAATTTAATTGATAAGTGAAGTTCATCTGAACAACAAAATTATGTATTTAGGTATACTAGGGTACAAACAGAAAGCCTGTTCCCTCTGTAGGTCTTGAGGAAAACACAATTCTATGTTTACTTTTCTGGTAGATGTTGTTCGCAAACAAGCAGTTGATCAGACTTCGGTGTTCGGGCTGACCAAAGGAAAAATCCGCGGGCTACGAACCCACAACCTTTCACGCTTAACACAATGCTACGGCATATGATCATTTAACCATTGAGCTATGAATATTAATAAAGATGTTTTACATAAACATGTCTACAGTTAATGTTATACATGTAGGTATTGTATGTAGTTTACGCGAGTAGTACACATTTAAATAAAACACTTTAACGGTTTATAACGCGAAATATATAAGTTAACTAGTCCTCTTCGTGACCGCGACAGATGAAGTTAAATTGTAATAATACTAATCTATTTCAATAATCGTTTTAAACCGTTAAGTGCTTTATTTAAATGTAGGTATTTGCTCTAGACGATACGAAACGATACTCTATCTCGCTAACACCTAGTATAAACGATATATGTATCAAATTGATATAAGTTGATAAGGAATAACTGACCCAGAACTTTGATAAGATTACCTACATTCGTACATCGATTCTAGACTTCAAGAACAAATACGATAAAGAAAGAAAGGTAATATCCCCAAATCTAACTACTATAAGATTCGCTAGGACCTGTATCGTTGATAAGTATCCCGACTTGAACCGACATCCACAGCGGTTTGCGCTGTTGCTGTAACCAATTGGATCAACGACTTGGTAGTTGGATTGGTTAGAGCAACAGCATGGAACGTTGGGGATGCCGGTTCAAGTCCTGCCCGAGTCGAAATTTTTTTTCAATTATCGAATTGAATTCATAATATAGTGCCATCATGTGAAAAATAATAAAGTTTACAAATTTAGATTTCTGTGAATCGTGTTTCGTAAAGTTAAAACTGTGCAAATTGATTGTTGAGCTAGTAAAAAAGCCACCTCTGAACAAACAAATAATGATAAATAAAGAACATCCCCTTTGAAGTAAGAAAGAGCGGGGGTAGATTTTATTTGTACAAAAAATATCACAACACAAGACAAATAATTAGAAACGACATATGTACACAGACGCCCCAAAACAAATAGGAATATTAAAAAAATCAACCTGCATAAAAGTCTATAGTTATTGGGTTAGCATTTTCCAAAAGCTGGGTTAGATCTGAAAATAATAAAACAACATTTTTGCTATACAAAACGTCTGCAGTTTACGCGTTTAATAAAATACCCTCTCAAAATATAATTAGTTAACTGACGTATGACTTTAATCAGCTCTATATAGGACTCTGTTACTTTCTGCAAAATACGACAAAACAGATGGCGCTAGCGTAGCAATTTTGGCAAATAAAAGAGTGGCATTATAACCGTTAAAAGTGTCTTATTTGAATGACCGGATATTTTGATATGAAGTAAATCAAACCTAGATCAATCAACGACAGATATCAACATCGACGGATTTAAGGGGAATGATCAATGGATATTCCTAGTGAATTATTGTATAGAGATTATAATCGACCGGATATTGATAAGACCAAAAAAATTATCTATTGTTTATACTAATATTGTAATGTTGATTTTGTCTGTTTGAACTTGCTCGTTTGAAGTCTTCGGCAATGTATATCCGCTTAATAAGAAACCAAGTTTTAAATACAATATTTAAAGTAAAAATACCTACTACGTAATAAAAAAGCCCGTACTTACGCGTAGAATTTTCATTTAAATATATTTCACAAACCTTACAACAAAATAGATATTTTCTCGATATATTGTTCTAGGTATCTCTTAAAAACCATAGTCAATCATTGTTTCGGAAAATAATGTTTTTTTCTTAAATAAAACACTTTTAACGATTAAAAACACGAAATGTGTCAATTAAACTTATTTACAAATTATACTAATTACGGCTCGATGTGTCAGACGCTTTGAATAATTTTCAAATAAGTTTAACTAATAGGTTTCGCGTTTCAAACCGTTAAAAGTGTTTTATTTAATTGTGTACTACTGTTAAACTGCTGATAGTATTTATTTCGGTACTGTGAAACATAAAAGTGGTTTCGGATTCGGATTTTATCCGTATCTGGTGAGCCCTGTGGCTAGACCAAGGGTTCCCCACGAAGACAGTCGCCCTCAGGTTGCACCATCAGTGGGTGAAATTTCTATATTTGTTCGTTTATAAGCCTCGTATAAGCGAATGTAATACAATCTTTATTGTCATAATCTTTACAATTACGTCAATAGAGTTTTATTAACGAAGTTAAAGAGTATTAAAGTACGAAGTTTAGTTGTAGAGCTCAATTATTAGAGGTACGACCCGGTACGTTTACGGTCGTGGGTTCGAGAAATATTGTATACTAGTGTTACTTCTATTATCAATTATTATTGTCAATCTCCATCTTCAAGGTTGCTTGGAAGAAATCGCTTTTTAGCGATAAGGCCGCATTTCCTCGCAACATATTGTGGAATTTCTTCAAATATTTCTTTAATCTTATTTTATAATAATGTGGTGACAATAAAGTATTTTTGTTTTTAAATAAATAAAAAAAAATAGAGTACTTTGATCGATTTTATAAATTTGATGCGCCAACGCCGTAATAAATTATGCCTCGTACCAATTTAAATTTAGAAAGTAGAGATTTTTAACAACTTACCGCCATCTTTATCCATAGACATACTAGACGCGGACAGCATTATCTGTACCCAGAGACATAGTAATCCCAATATAACGAACACACGAAGTATCGATCCATATTTAAGCCGTGGCATCGCTTCAGTATATTCTCATTTTCGGCGGGAGATGCCGCTGTTCTCAAAGCCCCGATTCGCGTTTTCGATAACAAATGGCGCTCTTCATGGCTTGAAGTTTAACTGAAAAAGGTGAAAATAACTTTAAAAATAGATGTCTCCAGAAACATACACCTTTTCATAACAAAAGAAACTATTTAATTACGTTACATTAGTACAAAAAGTAAAAAGTGGATGTTTTTTATATATATGTAATCTATACTAATACATATATAAAGCTGAAGAGGTTATTGTGTTTTGATGCCCAAAATAACGATTCTCGCGAACGAAGTCGCTGCCACAGCTAGTATGTGTATATGAATACCTTAACTTAGCGTTTGAATAAAAGGTATTCAAACAACCCAGCCCAGTTCAAAAATGTCAACGCACTAAAACAGAATTGATCTTATACCGAGAATTCACAAGGCAAACACATTTTTTCGTAAAATCTAAACAAACAAATATTGATTGAATGTAAACGTTTGGTGGTACATGTGAATTAAAAAAAAATAAGGTACAATACAGATAGCATAGTACATACAGGAGTACTTTATTTGTTTGGTAGGCTGCATGTCTCTCCGTGACCACGGTGGCTTCAAAGCGCCCGAAACGTCCACGTCGAGCCGTAGTTAAAATAAATCGTAAAGTTACCACGCATTTTCGTATTCGATATAATTTATAGAGCTGGGATGGTTGTTTGAAGAAATAATAAAGGTGCCCAAAATAACTATATCACGCGGACGAAGTCGCTGGCACAGCAAGTATTTAATAAAACCTAATAAAGCAATCAAACCATTTTTTTCATAAATCATTGCGTTAAATAGTTCAACCGTAGATACTTTTTTAATATAATTTAATTAAAATCAATAGAGTGATCAATGTTTTGTTCCATCGACCTTAATTCGTGTAACCTTTACAAAGCGCGTAAAACCTTAGATAAGCCTCTCTCTTGGCTTCGCTGTCGTCTAAAATGGCAACCAACTAATTTATAACACCAGCTTTAAACACAGACCATACAAACTAACATCTACACGACTAATTTACCTACATATATCGCGCGATGAAGGGATATTTTTGACCGAAGCCGAATAATCGGCTTTAAACAAAAATTCGATTAAATGCAACAAAAGACCTTTTTAACCTCTTTAGAAGTTTTCTTTTCACAATAAGCGTACAGAGTCCATTTAACATGCCTCCAATGGCCTTTTAAGTAGCCATGTAAATATGGCATTGAATTATGTAAGTCCGTCAGTTTTAGACGAAAAAGACTCCGCTTATTGGTCTTCCAGGGGGCATCTGTTGTACTCCCTTGCCCCCATCTCCCCCGAGTGTATAACCAGAGCCCGAGTATATCCTCGTGGCTCTGGTTATACACTGTGAATTGGTATTATAAGCTTGAATGCTGTCTGTAGTTTACGCGAGTAGAACACATTTAAATAAAACACTAACGATTAAAAACGCGTTGTTTATTAGGAATGTTCGGCTTCGGCTTGGTTGGTGGAAAGCTGGTATCCGAAGCCGACGCTACCGTCAACCACTACAAAATAACGACACGCCTAAAATGTCAGCGTTAATTAATTTTAAACACTAATTACTTTCTATTTCGTCATTAAAACTTGAATTTTAATTTACACATATCGCAAAAGTTAATTTATTCACACTTATGTTAGAAGTGTCATGTATGACCGTTTCCTTGACTGAAGAACTCAATCTACTAGGACTACTGGTGGAACTACTGGTTCAAATTGAAAAAATATCTTTGTGCCGGTTAGAGTATTTTTTTGAAATGTAAATAAAAGCGAGGAAAATTTTAAAACTTTGTGGGTTTCCCTTGCGTAAGCTGAGAGAACGGTTGAAGATATCCAAAAGATATGTAAGGAAAAAATGATTCCTCTTTAAATGATCTAAAAAAAAAAGTCCGCAATATATGTCTTTATTTTAAGATTAAATTGCAACAACGACGGGACACGACGGAAGTGGTGGGTAACGGTTATGCCTAAAATAACTATTCTCCGCGGACGAAGTCGCTGACACAGCTAGTGCCTGGTTTCAAATTACGCGGAGAAATAATATGTATAGCTTCGGTCGGCCAGGGCATAAATGTAATGATGATGTGCAGGAAGTAATTTAGTCACACAATGACCCATAATTTTTCATGTCGTTTTCATAATTTTGTCACAATTATAAAAGGTCGAATGGTTCAAATTATTAAACCGATGGTTCCGTAACGTTACAGCCTGTAATACTATGGTAATAAGCAGTATAATGATAAAAAAAAAACAAGTAATTACAATATGATTTACCGAGTCCTCGGTAGCTCAATTGGTTGAAGCAACAGCACGAAACATTGAGGACGGTTCAAGTCATGCCCGAGTCGTGCATTTTTCAAATTTATTATCGATTTAAATAAAACACTAACGGTTTAAAACGTGATATATTGTAGGTTAAACTTGTTTGAAAATTATTTTTAACTACGGCCCGACGTACGGCTGCTAACTAATATACATCGCGTTTTAAACCGATAAATTGTTTTATTTAAATGTGTACTACTCGCGTAAACTATAGACATTTGCAAACATATACAAATTTGGTTTTTTAAACCTTTATAAGACGACAACCCCCGACGTCGATCGCGTCCCGTCGTTCTTGCAAGTTAATCTTAAAAGATAGACATATAATGTAACCTAAAATTTTTAGATCATTTACTTATAGAAGAATCATTCTTACATCCATATTTTTTGGCTATCAAAGATGAATATTTTCTTGCGCAGTTTAGAGATATCACTTAACATTTTTAACCAACTTAAAGAAGGAGTTTCACATTCGACCAAGCTTATTTCACGTCTCGAACTCCGAACCTCTTGCGCAACCATTTTGTAATGGAGGTGGGCCGTATTGATCAATACAGCAAATATGAAAGGTCGTGCGCGGGTTGTTATTGTTTGTGTGCATCGTTATCAATTAACGCACTTAGTGTAACCTTGATTTGAATGCAATAACGTTAAAAGATGAGTTTTTCAGCACACGTGACCATTTTCAAATAAGTTTAACTAACATATCGCGTTTTAAATCGTTAAAGTGTTTTATTTAAATTTGTATGCCCAAATGTATGTACCTATTCTACGCGGACGAAGTAACTGACACAGCTACTTAGTAAGAATTATAATTATAATTTCCCTTCTGGTGTGTTTCTTTATCTAGACACCCTTATATCTGTTTCACTAATTGCTTTTATCCTCACGTAATATCTTGAAATGATATATTGCCCGACAGAGATTCGTTGGAACTCACATAATAAAATTATAAGGATTTCCGTATGTTGATGGTATAAAAAAATCGACTGAAAATAGCATAATTGCTTTATCCTAATCTTCGTTATTGCTTAATCGTTAATTTTTAATGACTCCATTCCGCAGTAAAGGCTGTATAACAGATCATACTAATTAAAAACTGCCTCCTTGATCTAGTGGTTAGTAACTGCAGATCACGAGGTCTCAGGTTTGTAACCCGAGCCTGGGAAAAAATTAGTACAGCATTTGAAAAAAAATCTACTGGTTAACTGTCCACTTGAGTTAAGTTGCAGTTGGTACTTTATTTAGTGGCTATATTCCTTAATTTCGCCTTAATCTTTGTCTATGCTAAACTCTTTCTTTAATTTAAAACGAGGACCCAGTAAGAAACTATTAAGGTAAAACAACGAATATTATAAATGTGACTTTGTAAGAATGGGCATTTATTATTCTGTCACACACATAGTTTGACCCTTGATCCTGGAATACTTTTCCTGTTAGAAATTCATATAACGAAAAATATATAAATATAAAACAATGAAAAACCCATTTACCCTGTACAGCATGACCTTTGTTATTAATAAGTGAGATTGAATATGATGACTTCTGTGCTCTGCTCAACCTATGCTATTTATTGTATCCGCGAGATTCAAACCCACAACATCTTATGCTCAATGCTAGGTAACAAGCTTTACCATTGAGCTGAAAAGCTATTCATAATTAATCAGCTTATTACAATCTCAGGAAGTAATTATGTTATTATTAAGATAACATTTTTAATCTAATCTTAATTCTAAGAGAAGAATTTATGTGTCATATTTGATATATAATCTCTTAATTGTCATCATCATATTGGGATTATATATAATACTATAATGGATTAGATTCAATAATAATTTTAATTTTAATCCACCTTTTGTAGAGATGATTTAGAGGTTTTAATCCACCAATATCTCCAAATATAATAAAATAACATAAATAATATAAAATATATGTTTAAGTAGGTAAAATTAATTGAAAGTTATCCTGTGTCACAATACTTAGAAAACAATGAATAGTTTTGATTGTAAGAAGTCAGAACAAATTCGTGTCTGTAAATGAAATAAATCAAATAAGCGACAAGAGTGTCTGCCAAATGCCCTAGAAAATGGTATTCAACTTTTCTTATATTCACCGTGAAGGTCAAACACGCATGAAGCTGAACATAGTTGTCAAAAGTACAGTATTATTACCATAAATTAACATAACAAATCGTTAACAGTATATAGAATAACAGTTTTCTATGTCTTTCAATAGAATATTGTAAATAAGACACAACTGCAACTTCTTTTAATAATTATTGGATACTAGCTGTGTCAGCGACTTCGTCCACGAGAATCATTATTTTGGGCATCCAAATTCGTTTTTGCAAACCATCTCCATTATCTTTATGAATTTAAGCTGAATTCAACATGAACTCTTCGTTTTTCTACATTTCCCAATGTTTCTTTGCTCCTATTAATCGCATTGTGATGTTATATAATTATAGCCTACCTCGATAACTGCTTTATTAAAAACATATACCTCTTGCATATCAAACATACATTTAGAAGGAGGCATATTTCATTTTGAGACACAGGTCAAGCAGTTATTTACTGTCAGTTAATAATTTCGGTACTCAAAACTCAAGATTCTTGTTTAATTTTAAATATATAGAGTTAGTTTTTAGTCCCATTGACGTATGGGAATCTTTCGCGTTAAGAAATATTCTTTAGTGGAAGCTGTTTCAAAACTTTGACTAACGTTCGTATTTATAATATAAGTAGAATATATTAAATTAATTAATAATTAAGATTCATGCTTTGTATACTAGTATTCTACAAAGAAAACAAGGTTTCAATATGTTTATGGCCAGTAACTGAATACATAGATGAGACATACATTTACGTAGAGAAGATTACTAACTAAACGGTATTTCGAAACATGTGTGATATTATAAAAAGTTACACGAATTATGTAATTATTTGTTTACAAATTACACTCACCAAATGTTAGTCCGTCTAAATATCACAGAATTAGCACCACACACTTCAACTAATTATATCGAGTTAATTTAAGATTATTAATGTATGCATTGCGTGCATACACGATAAATTAATTCAAATATTTCATATATGTAGGCCGCGGTGAAGTTTTACATGATTTCTTATAACCAAAAAACAATCTATTTTAAATAAAATTATGATGCGAATAAACAATTCGATTGAAAAAATTTCAAAGCTTTTATCTACTAAACACTGCAGTATTTCGTCCTATTCGGAATCGAAAATTGAATTATTTTTGACATTTCATCCGGGGTACCGTAAACAGACAGTTAACTAACAGTATTGCTATAGTGTAAAAAAATGTAGAAAAAAAATTAAGGGTATTTACACATGAAGCAACTGTAAGCGATTAAGCATGTTAACAAACTGTTACTTTAATTTATTAAAAATATATAATCCAATAAAATGGCAGAGATAAAGAAGCAACGAGAGAGAGCTTAGAGATTCAAAGATAATACGAATATCCAAAGCCAAAATACAACAGTTCGACAGCGCATTTCGTTTAGATGTTATATGGCTGGGGTCAACTTCCATTCAGGTCCTCCCATGCTAAAAACGCTTTTATGCTTACTGTATTTGAAAAAAGAAATGGAAAAACTACAAAATAAAATTGAATAAAAAAGCAGCTTTTAACTTTCCATTACAGATTGTATTTTTACCAGTCCTATATAAATTTAACTACTATTGAGTTTATGTGGCTGCAAAATAAATAATTTAATTACTAGAATTACTTTTAATCTAATAGTTAAATGACGAGCTAAATTTATTTGAATTGCATCATTGATAGGTCGACTAAATATTATTATATTTTTTGTTGGTAGCAACTGGAAACGTCAACTAAATATATCAAATGACAGTTCAACTCGTTAATCGTTATCAGGTGTCAAATAAGATCAAAACATAAGTTTTAATATTCAATTTCTTTACAGAATAATAACATTATTAGATTTAATAATAGTTAGACATTCACCGTTATCTTTTAATAATTAAAATACATTACAACAAGTTGGGTACTTTCTACATAACCTTACTATATTCTACTTTACTTGACGAAAAGGTGTGTTAAATCTCTTTATTTAATAATACATTTGTAAATAGCCTTTCGTTACTCGTAATGTTAAGCTTATCTTACTAAACTCTAACTCAAACAGTAATTTTTGACTGTGTAATCTGTTGAATAAAGAGCTATAAATATAATGTAGATATTACAAAATGTATGTTCCTATATTTATTACATCTCATGAATAAATAGCAATAATAAGCCAAGGTCTGTGTTTGAGAAACAAATTTTTATTTTATATCGCGATAGGAACTTCCTTTACAAAAAATACTCTTACAGATAAACAAAGTTAATTTATTTTTCACTTAGCTAATATTTAGTGCAACACTGTTGTATGTGTAAACTACATTTAAATAAAACACTTTAACGGTTTAAAACGCGATATATTAGTTAAACTTATTTGAAAATGATTTTTAACTTCGGCCCGATGTTTCGAATGCTTTGCAGCTGCGGCTTTCTGCAGCAGATGATTGATAGCAGCTGTGGTCACAGGGAGACTCATTTTCAAATAAGTTTAACTAATATATCGCGTTTTAAACCGTTAAAGTGTTTTATTTAAATGTGTACTACTTGCTTAAACTATAGACAGTATTTTATGTAAACTACAGTTTAGAATACAAGTTATATTTACAGTAAAAATTTAACACTATTTGACAATAGGAGCTATTGTATAAGTACAATAGCTCAGAGGTATATTTTTTACAGTAAATTGTTTGAGATAAATAAATAAATTTAAACCCAACACTTTTTCAGACAATGGATGAAGAACTTAACTCATCGGAACTAGGAACACAATCATACTGGCAAGATACATACAGTAAGGAGTTAGTCAATTTTGAAAACAATGGTGATATTGGCGATGTTTGGTTTGGTGAAGATAGTGCATTAAGGGTTATAAAATGGATAACTCAGTGTGGAGTGGACAAGAACACAGCAGTTATTGATTTAGGTTTGTTCTTTTGATGACTGTCTAATAAAAATGAAGAGGTCAGACAATCGTGGGATTCACTGGATTGTAAATGCCCCCAGACTTTCAATAACTGTAGTTGAAGTATTGTTGACCTATTTTGACCATAGACATATAGATAACCACAGACTTAAATTGAATTTGCAGATCTTGGCTTTTGACATGTAGCAAACTTATTAACGACTTAACAAAATTTCAATATGCCATTTATTGTCCAGGTTTTCCAAGTGGTAATATAAAGAATTGAGGTCTTTGTCAGTCACAATTGAAAAATTCCCATAATATTACACAATCACAAGTTGATGACAATAGAAGGTCTTACGTGTTCCTTCATTGAGGGAAAGATATTCACTTTTGGGCGAAAGATTAAAATAATTAAAGAAAGAGCCCACAACCTCTGGCTTATTAGCCCATACATTAGACCAATGAGATACTTATAAGGCTGATTTGTAACAGAGCATTATTGAACCTTTCAGGATGTGGCAATGGTTATACACTATTGGAACTGGCCAAAGACGGATTCACAAATCTTTTGGGCATTGACTACTGCGACCAAGCAATTGAATTAGCAGAGAGAGTTAATAAGGAATTTCGCGCAATAAAGTTTAAGGTATGTTAAAGGACTGCCTCTGTAGTTCATACTTTAGGTCTGATAGGTCACTAAAGAGTACTTGTCTTGAAATAAGGATTAGTCTAACAAAACCAGATATGTGTCCATGATCCAATAGTGCAACATTAACAATGCGGTAGTCCAAGCTCAGGCTACGGTGGTCCTCTTGGAGTAATTTTGGCTTTTTGAAAGATCTCCAGCTACATATGTACAATCTGTCAGAAAATAAGTTATATTTTGAGTGAATACTGCATGTCCTACATTAATGTTTATTATTTAGAACATGCAGTATTCTACAGCTGGGACCTTCTTCCTTGAAGTGAACTCTGGGCCTGTTAGTATTGCCATAAAAACTCCAATCTCCTGGGTGTTTCGGGATAAATTGATAATCATTTAAATATATTCTTTCAGGTCTTTGATATAATTAACGATGATATCAGCAATCTTGGTAAATTCGGAATTATTAACGATAAAGGTACATATGACGCAATTTGTTTGAATACATCTGCGAAGGAATATAGACCCAAATATATAGATCAGGTATTCAATATGATGGAAGATGGTGGTAAGTTTGAAAAATAATGCAAAGGCGACCTACATTAGACAGCACATTTAAAATTCAGAAACCGAAACGCGATTACGCATTTATTTTTCCATCTATTGGACAAATGAGGTCGTTTCAAAACTACTGTGGCAATATGCAAAAAATCTCATTTGCTTAGCATTAAAATTTTGTAAAACGACTCAGAATGTCAACTTTGCAAGAGGTGATCTATATTTTTAGCTATAGTTTCATCAAAATCAGTACAATATTTTGTATACGAAGAAATCTGGTGAACCATGAGGCTAGAGGCAGAGTGGCCTAATAACAAAAAACATGACTTAATAAGGAGAACATAAAAAGGCGCAATAACTTAGGCGAAAGTTAATTTGTACTATTATTAGAGGTAGAATTATGTTAACAATTTTCGGTGACTGTGCTCTTGTAGATTAACATTTTGAGACTATGCTACTCTGGCTCTAGCATCTTTAATTATATATGATTTAATATTTTTCTAGGTCTATTCGTTATCACATCTTGCAATTGGACGGAGTCTGAACTAATTCAACATTTCTCGGAAAAAATGAAGATGAAATGCATCATCCCGACGCCGCAGTTTAAATTTGGCGGGAAAGTTGGTAGCGTTGTGTCGTCTGTGGTTTTTGAAAAGAAATAAATATTATGTTGTATCTGTGTGTTTTTATTACAGAACCAGGGGAGGTTTTAGTAAACATTGAGTACGGTATTTTAGACATACCTTTTCAAATTTTGCCCATCTTAATCTGAAATCAAATGATGTATTTACAAAGAACATAATTCTTTAACCATCCGAACGAAACCTTAGCTCGAATCTAGGGGAAACTTCACAGTGTGAACATCCTTAAGAATAGTAAAATTACCAAATTAATCTAGATTATTCTTTATCAACAAGATAATATATTGCACAATTTCATGAGTTGGACTATATTGAAGAATATCTTATCTTAAATTAGAATATTTTTTTCAACATTGCGTAAAACATTAATGTTATTTTTCACGTCCCGTTCGTGTTGTAAAAATTTTCAATTTTGTCGGTCTAATGGTAGCAATTTATGGCGAATAACCAGGAGGATTCGACGACCAGTTTTCCAATCAATTTATAATTTTCTGAAACATCCTGAGACTCCGGAAAATTTAATTTTAAAATCCACTACCACCACCCAGGTGTATCGTGTTTGCGTTTCAGAATATCCAAGGCTAAAAGGCACATCTTGTTTGAATGTTATCTGGTTAGGATTTGACCTTCTATCAAGCAACCTCATGCTTGTCTGTCTACCTGTATTATAAAAAATCATAAAGTTCGTGCGTTTATTAATTTTAAAAATCCTGGATATTCGATACGCCCGTTACAAACACTTTTCTAATATTAAACTCAAATAAAACAACATGTTCTCCACATACCTTTTATTAATATCTCAAATCATTTATAACAATAACAGTGTGTTGTCACCATTTATAATTTTCTTGTGTTCTATCTCGTTCGCTCACTATTAATATAAAAGAGATAACCTTTTGGGTACAAGACAGTTATGATTTAGAATTTCCATTTATCGTAAACAAAATAACTAGTGGAACGTTCTGTCTGTTTCACTTATCGATTTTTATTTAGAAGCTAAGCATTCAATCCTGCGCACTGCCCGAAACACTTTTACTGGGATTTAAACCCAAGACTATGAACTGCCTTCAATTAGCCTTTTACGTTATTGCCAGTAAAATGTTTCAAATAAGAAGAGTTAGTTTCGTGGAAATCCTGGAAGGGCTTTGCCTCTCTTTGATTTACAAGTGTGGCGCACTCATGACAAAAAAGAAGTGGTACCTCCAACTCCACAATAAAATAACCATCATGCTTATCAGTAATTTTAATAATTTATTGTGAAACCAAATAGACTTTTAGTATTTAACAAACATATAAATATAATCGAAAACAAGCAAGCTTGAAAAAGTTTATCGTTATTGGGGGGGCTCCCTTTTTGTGTTAACACCCCACTTTCCCCTCTAAATTAGGTCCTCTTCCCCTCGGATAACTTATTGATGAAACTAACGCACCCCCAAACAAACTTTGATGTAATTATGTCAACGTTATTTACTTATTATTATTATTAATTGATTACAAACAATTTAAAAAAAACATGTACAACTACCATGTATCACTCATCTGTCTATCTGCACATTAATATAATTAAATAGAATTGTCGATTACATAATATCTAATATCAAAAATGATTTGTACATTAAAAGCTAATAATTACAAAACTATAAATGCTATTCGGTAAACAAAGATTAGGTAAGAACTTAACTACAAAAATAAACATAATAAATTCTAATTTTACTCCAATTGTGTGTGCACACTAAATTCACATAATCCTTTTTTACTTTTATGTAAAAATATATGTATATGTATATACATATTATAAAGCTAGTTTCCCATATACCATATACCTACTACAAATATTCGCGACATTGTCTGTTTTTTTTTTTTTTTAATTTAACGGTTAAAACGCGTCCCTCCCCCTTTTTACCACCCTACATGCAGTGTCTCCGCGAAAATAAAATTATTTTTAATAAGTTTAACTAAAAAACCGTAGAAGGTACCCAATTCTTTAAAAGGAAACGCCAATTTCATTTTTTTGTAAGTTATTTTCAGGTAAACAATGACTTATCTAGAATTACTTTTATACAGTATAAATATGTAACATATTTGTATAACTTTTTAACTAAAATTCGACAAATTTATTTGACGACAACATTATTGACAAGGAGTGGGGTGTGGTAAACCTTTATTAAGATTATTTGTAAGATATGACTGCTTGATTTGCTGGGCTAACTCAAAATGTATCATTATTTTCACGAATACGAATGAATAAGGCATTTAAATAAAACATTTCATCGTTGAAATCGCAAGATTCAACTTGTTTACAAATCTTTACGGCCCGGAGAAAACCCGTAACCACGACTGCTGTAAGGGAACCGAAACATCGGGTCGTAGTTAAATATTTTGTAAAAGAGTTTAACATATATATTTCGCGTTTTAAACAGAGATTTAATAGAGCATTGTTTTCTTCCCACAATTTCTTATGAAGGACAAGGGCATAAAGTTATTACAGAAAAAGGATGTCCTTTTTCTGTAATAACTTGTGGATTGTTTGACTATCAAATTCATCTAATTAAATATGCTCACAATACCTATCCTCATAGGTATTCATAAACACGAGATAACCTAGAACAACGGCGACCACAGACATAATTAAAGTAAGAAACTGGAACATCTTCATCCTCTCCACTTGCTTATGAAGTACTTCGTAATTCATCTGAAGATTATTCAGTGCATTACTCACCGAATCATACTTATCCTGCTTTTCCAGAACATTACCATTTTTCACTTCCTTAACTGGAAACTGACACTTCAGACGGTACTCATCCACTTTGTTACCTGAACTGTTGTGCCATATATCACTCAATTCCTTCACCGATAGATCGGTCTTCGGCACTTGCATGCACATCACTAGGAACATATCCTTTGTCACTTGTTTCTGGAATCCAGGTTGGACCACTATCATCACAGTTTGATTAGTGCCTATAGACAGAACACCTGAGCTGGGCCGCACTCGGAATTTCTCTGGTGATGTTGTCCTGATCTTGAAGGACACAGGAGTATTTTCGTTATTCGTGATGGTGAACTGGCCAGTTAGGTCATCATTATCACTTTTAAACATTATTAGATTGTTCGGTTGTATTTTAAGCATATCGCCAGCTTGTACATCATTCTGCTGTGCAAATGTCACTTTTTTTGGTGTGTGTTCAGGTGTTTTATTTTCGGGTATAAACTCATATACATAACCATCCAGTCCGCCCCAACATGTCAAAGCCTGTTCTGCACTAACATAGTTCTTGAGTGAATCACGGTTTACATTTTTCAACTTCTCAATTGCTTGAGCTGGGAGAAGAGATTTGACAATTTTAAAAGCAGCTGACAGAACCCATGGCATTTGAAATATGATGATGTAGTTTAGAAAATAGGGATAGTAATGTTTAAAGAGTGATATAAGGTATTGAATTAATTCCATGTCCATATTACTGAGTCCACAGCCATCCATGTCAAAAAAAAGGGAAATCTTGTTGCCATTCTCCTCTCTTTCCATTCGATCAAACCAGTATATAATTATTTTCTTTATCTCCTCAAAGTCCTTGGTACCTTTGACATGTTTCTTGGACTTTATGATGAGTAGCAGGCAGCCGTCAACATCGCGACTGTGAGGGAATATTATACCTGAAAGGAGGAATATATATTTTTAATAATTAAGTACTATACAAGCTTTACTTTGAGAGGTAATCTTGTATTATATATTCAATTATTTTAGAAATCCAATAATTGCAAGCAGACTACTTTTTCAGAAACGAAGAAGTATAAGTTATTTAATTCCTACCTTCATCAACATATTCCATCTTTATCGTCTTCTCGTTAATGTCATTCGCTCCGACGGTCTTCCGCCACGTAAATATATCCCACAGCATATTGAACGCTTCCTTCGGGTCCTCTTCATTATGTTTAAGGACCCTACGTAAGTATTTATCGTCCTTAACTCTATCCAAATCTAACTGGTGAAAACCATGATCAGGATTTTCGCTTAATTTCGCCTGAAACAACGTCCGAACTTCCGCTATAGGCATCGTAGAGGCGTGCTAGAAGTTACACCACTGCTTTGTCTATCTATCCAACTTATACACAGGACGTGTTGATTAAAATCAATAAAATTATGAAATACACTTATAAGCGCTACAAGGTACATGGAATGTTTTGACGTCCGTGACATTATTATCAGCTGAGTCCTGACGTTTCGTAATTCTGTCTGTCAACTGTCAAACGTGTTTTTGACAGCTACATCGAATCGTAACAGACTTACTAATTTACTATACAATATACATACGCATATGTGTACAATTGTCGTAAGGTCGTTCCGCTTAGTAATTACAAATAAAATATTATTTTAAATACATAAAAACAAGTGGAAAGGCCAAACTTACCATGTTATGTACTAAACACTTGTGTATAGAACTTTTCTGAGATGCAACGAATTTATTTTCCAATAAATATAATGCAAAAAAAAACAAGCATTTGCCTAGCATTGCGTTAAGCGTGAGAGGTCCTGGGTTCGAATCCCAGGGAAACATAAAATTGTTTCGGTCGGGCAGAGCCCAGAAGTCTGATCAACTACGTGCTCGTCGTCAAAGAAATGTGTTCGCCCCATGCCCCGCGAGGGGAAACGGGTTTTCACTTTTATACACGACTATCGACTGAGCCATTATTGGGACCGCGTAAGAGTTACAAGGACTATTTAATACTTAACATTCAAATAGTAATAACTGTCATTATAAATATAAATAACTTTATGACAATGTGTGAATTTACATAAATATTTCTTGAAGTTTTCCGCGGAATTTGTACCAAAGACCATTCGCGCTTCATGATGTCTTTAAAAACTGCATTTGTATCTGCTTATTAGTTCTGAAAGACTGAAGAATATAGGAGATCTATCCATGGATTATTGCTAGACATTTTATAAAAAATAGACAAGCCTTTTACATAATTTAATGATACCTTTACACCCTGTTTAAGCAACCAGTCTTTATCTACCTTTGACTTATAACTAATTAATAACCATCTTTAAAATAAGTATATAAATGAAAAATGCACCACAAATATTTATCCTATAACTATATGCTTTAAGAAGCTAATATATCACAAACACTAAGAAATATTATAGTCCAATTTAACAAAGACATTTACAACAACAAACAATTAAACTGACTTTTTTGGTTAACAAACAGCACAGAATGCTGTAGATGTCAGTTTAAGTCCTGTCTGTGTTATTATTTCTTGACTAATCTAAATAGAATGTTAATTTAGTAGGAAACTGTTATATTAGTTTCTTCAATAATTTTATTTTGTTCCGAGTACAATGACAAAAAAAATCATATCACATACAACTTTGGCTTAATAAACATCTTTAAATTCCAATTCTTTCAGAAAGGTTCTGAACCTTTTGTAAATTAATATATGTATATAAGTTATATCTACAAGCAACAACCATAGACATTTTAATCTCAAAAGCATCAATGTTTAAACAAATACCTTCAACCCACTAACCATATGACAATTATTCTTTGTAATTAGAACAATTGACTTTATTCAAAACCATGTAGCTAAGAAGACAAGTTGCCAGTGTCAGAAAGAATATAACTATTTGAAAAGTATGCAACATATCCAAGCGATGATGAATTTTTTGGTACTCATTGCTTAATTTTATAAAATTATCGTTAATATTTTTTGTTTCATCTACTGTTATCTTTTCAACTTTAGCACAGTTGAGTCTATATTCATCTATGTGGCTTCCCGCTGATTTCCAAATCTTCGATAGCTCACTCTGGGATGTAAGCAAGTTGGGAATGTTTACTGCTACGATTAAAAACCTATCCTTCTCAATCGAATCTATATTAAAACCAGGTTGAGCGGTGATTTCTATTCTCTGTGACACATGCTTGGCAAGAATGCCATTATTTGGACGTACCCAATACTTTTCTGGAGCTGTAGTGCGGATTTTGAATGCAATGATACCTTCGTCCATATTGGTTATAATCAATGATGCTGTTATCTTTCTACCCTCAACATTAAAGAGCAATGTTTTAGGTGGCTTAAGCTTCAAAAGCTCACCAGGAGAATAATTATCATCTTCTGTAGTCACTACAGTGCGATGTTCAGATAAAAATTTAAATTCATAGCTATCCTTACCACCCCAACTAACAAGCGCCTGCTCAGGTGCTACTAGATCCTTAAGCTTATCCTTATTAATAATTCGCAATCTCTCAATCGCCGGAGCTGGCAACATTTCCTTGACAATTTTAAAGCCAGCGGAGAGTATCCATGGCATTTGAAAAATAATGATGTAATTTATAAAATTTGGGTAAAAACTTTTCAACACATTGATCATGTAGCTTATTAAATTAAGGTTCATATTGTTTATACCGCAACCGTCCATATCGAAAAATAGTGTTATTTTTTTTCCACCTTCTTCACGTTCTAAGCGTTCTAGCCAGTATATAAAAACTTTTTTCACCGCCTCTACATCTCTTTGCCCTTTGACATATGCTTTAGAGTTCATGATGAAGAGAAGGCAGCTGTCGATGTCCCGACCGCGGGTGTAATACAGACCATCTCTCAAAATGTCCTTATCAACTGAATCTTCTGTGATATCATTGGTATTATTAGCTTTTCGCCATACCATTATGTTGTATAGCATATCTGCGGCGTGCTGCACATTATTTTGACAGTGTTCCAATACTCTGTATAAGTATATATCACTTTTAACCCGATCTAAATCCCGATTATCGAACACAGGAGCTGGTACCGTTTCCTTGATTTTCGCTTCGTACAACAACCTTATTTCGGCTAATTTAGACATTGTTAAAAACGCACGCCACGGCAATTAATTATAAGAATTGAATAATGCAAAAATTTAATCTTAAATTTCTATTCTTCTTAACTAAATGAAAGTTAACAAAGTTTTGAACTTTTTCCAAGTAACCGGTTCTTTAACAACTGTCAAATCATATCGAACGTCACATGACAGTTGACAAAAATTCCTAAAATGTTTTTTATATACATTACAAATAATTATATATATTGAATCGTTATAAGGATATAAATATTTTACATTAATTTTACATGATATTTGTAAATTAGTTAAAACATTCTTACCAAACTTAAATCATACATTGCCTTACAGATGATAACAATATTTTAAACTAGCAACACAAATTGGAAAAACATTTTAATAATGGAGTTAAATAAAATTCAACATGAACAAAAACATTTAATAAATAAAACTTTGTACAAATACAATAATACTCCGTAAATTAACCCAATGTTTTGCAACATTACAATGATCATTCATTTGCAGAAGCTGCGCACTGACTATGTGTTAACCCAAATGAACAAACACCTTGTTTCCACTTAAGATTCTTTGATGTAAGCCTTCATAGCCTCGATGCGACATAGTCAGGCTGAAAAATAAAAAATAAACATATCTATAATTATAATGTATGTATTATTCATTTTCTTGTATTTAATATTGTTTATTAATTTTTGTTTGTTTTTAAGTCTTATCAAGCTTAACAGTGTCATTTAGGTGCTCAACTAGTTGTATCAAACTCACCGAAACAAACCAGTAGGAATCCTTCTTAAATATCATTTTTCCTAAAAATCCCATTTCACTCTCTGGAGCTATGGTATGCAGATGAAGATGTTTAACACTCCTGAACGGAGGCCAATGATACCCAAACCTTGCATCTTCTATAGAATAGTTGTTTTTCAACAGCATCTCTTTAGCTACAGTCAGCATTTTTTCAACTAAAAATTATAAAATGAGTTATGAACCACAAGTTAAAGTTATTTATTCCATTGCTATTATATGCTTATCCCGTTGTACTATGCATCTTGTTAAGACATTAAAAGAAAATTACTTAGAGCTATGCCGAAGATAATAATGAGACTGGAATGTTAAACTTGTTCACAGCTATGCGAATAATTGTACTGGTCAAAGTAATAAAAAACTCTTTGAAGTCCGAGTTTTCCGGCATAAGAAGCAGGGGTGTGGTGCCTGGCTTCACAGTCCAGCAGTAACGCCCGGTAATCCAAGCCGAGACGATACAATCAAGCTAGGTGTCGCACCTAAGCTACAGAGGCGATCGCTGATAGCTGAATTAAGATAATACCTAGTTCTTTGTCGTTTGGAGTTAGGCATCTCGCGTCCTCTATATGTCGCTTAGGCACCGTCAATATGTGATATCTGCTCGCCGGTTTAATATCTTTGAACACACAAACGAAGTCATCCTCGTACAGTATCTCAGTGTCCTCCAATTTATTTACGATATTGCAAAAAATACAAGCAGATTTCTGGCCGGGAGCGGTCATTTTCAACGAAGCAACAGATGTCAACGACTTTGACAGTTTGAGTAGGTTCCTAAACATGGTTATCTCTTAATTTGCGCGATAAACTGATTCGTGATTTGTAAAATTAGTATCGTTTTATTGCTGTTAAATTTCATTTCGTAATTTAATTGCTTTTTTAAGTACAAAGTCCGAATTATAGAAATTTACTTTTTATTGGTTAAAGTGCCATCTATCGACAAACCGTAGTAAAGACTTATGTAGTATGAATGTTTAACGAAGCTTAAAAATTACTTGCGTAGAATGCGTTGAATTTAACGATATTAAGACTAATACTTTTCCGCTAAAGGAAAATATTTTTCTCTTCTACAAAACCTTATCGATTATTCAATTATTATTGAATAGATATTTTTAATAAATGTATAAAATTATAGGAAATGTATGCTGCCTGTTATGTCTTTTAGTAGTTGTAGATAATATTATCTTACTTTACACTCAAAATAGCTAAAATATTGTGTTGTATTCGCAGATTTAGTTTTAGGCACATTATGGTCCTGTAAGTTTTAAAATATGTTTTAATACCGCCGGAAGTGCTTTGTTTTATAATAGAAAATAAACCGTATAATTTATCATTTAAATGTAAACGATTATTAAATATGGTTCTTTGATTATTTTCTGTAATCACAATTGTTATTTTGTAGATAATAAATGTTTTCTGACTTGCCTTTTCTATTGGTTGACAATTAATTGCATTGTAAAACACAATTGTTTTAAATACACAAGTTTACGTGTTATTGCTACCAGATGTAAATGGTTTAACTAATGCGATCGGCGTTAACGATTTTCTAAACAAAAACTATAAGGGCACGTGCCCTCAATTATAGCTCACAAAGGGCGGCTAATTGATTTATCATGCGCATAATTTGACACCAATTTGAAAATAGAACATCATGGCGGTAAACGGCCGTGTCGTTTCTTATTGCTGTTTTTCTAATTACCCTCAGCCGCGCAAAAAGTATGGTGATGTGAGACAGTTATACACAAAAAATTAATACGACTCAACATACTAATAGTTTGAAATTAACACACACAGTATACAGTAAAATTGTTGAAAGTATCCTTCGACTTAATAAAAAAGCAACCGTTTAATAATGTATTTATTTTAAAGATAACATTTAATAACAATTAATGACCCAAATTTAATCCTAACAAATTTGAATTTTTAGATTCTGTACCGGTCGAGTCTTTAGTGGCGCTACCTCCAGCTTTAATGTCTGCTGAAATTTTACCTCCATCTTTGGAGGTTACTTCACCAGTTGCATCGTTGGCACCATCAGCAACTCCGTTAGTAGAATTAGTATTACCACTACTGCCATTAGTACCGTCTCTATCAGAATCGTTTGCGTCACCATCAGCTAAATCCTCCGCTTTGACAGGAGCATCTTGAGGTGGCAAGGCACTGGTTTGGTCTGAAGAATTGTCACTTGATGTGGTAGGAGCTTCGGTCGTTGCAGTTGTACTAGTGTTGCCGGTAACAATTGTTTCATTTGTGCCTGTTTTTCCGTTATCAGTTCTAGGTGCTACGGTGGTACCTGGCTGGGCAAAACCATCACCCCCAGGTACCGACACAGTTGTGTCGGTGTGAGCAGTATTCTCACCTCCGGGTTCTTTAGTAGATATAGTTTTGGAGTCTTGTGAATTACTATTCGGCGTTAAAGCGGAGTCTTCAGATGTAAAGGTAGTGTTAGTAATGTCTGCATCTTTCGGCGCATTAGGGCTTTGTGGACTAACATTATCAAATCCTGGACCGAAATCTTTTAATTTATCCGAAAATCCACTGGGGAACACTAATCGATTCTCTGGCGACTTAATTGCTTTTAAGCAAGGTAAAGGCACGGACTTCCATCCAGACTCATCTTTGAAAGCGGGAATGAACGAGTTCAGCCATGCGGTACCATCGTTGCCCTTGCACTTGTCAAAAGCCTTTTTACAAGTAGGAATGAAATTGTCAGGAAGGCCTTTGCATTTTCCAAATGAATCGAGACACTTCTGAAAGATGTCGTGTGTGATTCTTTCTTTGGCTCCGAATACCGAGAAAATAGCCTTCAGGAACACATCAACAGATATTCCTGAATCTCCTAAATTTGAATTCGGCAGGGTTTTATCTCCTAATCCCTTTATATCACCAAACCCTGGAATTAGACCTTTTAATTTATCACAAAATCCATTGGGGAACGCTCCTTGATTATCTGGAGACTGAATTGCTTTTAAGCAAGGTAGAGGAACGGACTTCCAACCACACTCATTCTTGAAAGCGGGAATAAATGAGTCCAGCGATGCAGTACCATCGTTGCCTTTGCACCTGTCGAAAGCCTTTTTACAAGTAGGAATGAAATTGTCAGGAAGGCCTTTGCATTTTCCAAATGAATCGAGACACTTCTGAAAGATGTCGTGTGTGATTTTTTCTTTGGCTCCGAACACCGAGAAAATAGCCTTCAGGAACACATCAACAGATATTTCTGAATCTCCTAAATTTGAATTCGGCAGGGTTTTATCTCCTAATCCCTTTATATCACCAAACCCTGGAATTAGACCTTTTAATTTATCACAAAATCCATTGGGGAACGCTCCTTGATTATCTGGAGACTGAATTGCTTTTAAGCAAGGTAGAGGAACGGACTTCCAACCACACTCATTCTTGAAAGCGGGAATAAATGAGTCCAGCGATGCAGTACCATCGTTGCCTTTGCACCTGTCGAAAGCCTTTTTACAAGTAGGAATGAAATTGTCAGGAAGGCCTTTGCATTTTCCAAATGAATCGAGACACTTCTGAAAGATGTCGTGTGTGATTTTTTCTTTGGCTCCGAACACCGAGAAAATAGCCTTCAGGAACACATCAACAGATATTCCTGAATCTCCTAAATTTAAATTCGGCAGGGTTTTATCTCCTAATCCCTTTATATCACCAAACCCTGGAATTAGACCTTTTAATTTATCACAAAATCCATTGGGGAACGCTCCTTGATTATCTGGAGACTGAATTGCTTTTAAACAAGGTAGAGGAACGGACTTCCATCCACACTCATTCTTGAAAGCGGGAATAAATGAGTCCAGCGATGCAGTGCCATCGTTGCCTTTGCACTTGTCGAAAGCCTTTTTACAAGTAGGAATGAAATTGTCAGGAAGGCCTTTGCATTTTCCAAATGAATCGAGACACTTCTGAAAGATGTCGTGTGTGATTCTTTCTTTGGCTCCGAATACCGAGAAAATAGCCTTCAGGAACACATCAACAGATATTCCTGAATCTCCTAAATTTGAATTCGGCAGGGTTTTATCTCCTAATCCCTTTATATCACCAAACCCTGGAATTAGACCTTTTAATTTATCACAAAATCCATTGGGGAACGCTCCTTGATTATCTGGAGACTGAATTGCTTTTAAGCAAGGTAGAGGAACGGACTTCCAACCACACTCATTCTTGAAAGCGGGAATAAATGAGTCCAGCGATGCAGTACCATCGTTGCCTTTGCACCTGTCGAAAGCCTTTTTACAAGTAGGAATGAAATTGTCAGGAAGGCCTTTGCATTTTCCAAATGAATCGAGACACTTCTGAAAGATGTCGTGTGTGATTTTTTCTTTGGCTCCGAACACCGAGAAAATAGCCTTCAGGAACACATCAACAGATATTTCTGAATCTCCTAAATTTGAATTCGGCAGGGTTTTATCTCCTAATCCCTTTATATCACCAAACCCTGGAATTAGACCTTTTAATTTATCACAAAATCCATTGGGGAACGCTCCTTGATTATCTGGAGACTGAATTGCTTTTAAGCAAGGTAGAGGAACGGACTTCCAACCACACTCATTCTTGAAAGCGGGAATAAATGAGTCCAGCGATGCAGTACCATCGTTGCCTTTGCACCTGTCGAAAGCCTTTTTACAAGTAGGAATGAAATTGTCAGGAAGGCCTTTGCATTTTCCAAATGAATCGAGACACTTCTGAAAGATGTCGTGTGTGATTTTTTCTTTGGCTCCGAACACCGAGAAAATAGCCTTCAGGAACACATCAACAGATATTCCTGAATCTCCTAAATTTGAATTCGGCAGGGTTTTATCTCCTAATCCCTTTATATCACCAAACCCTGGAATTAGACCTTTTAATTTATCACAAAATCCATTGGGGAACGCTCCTTGATTATCTGGAGACTGAATTGCTTTTAAACAAGGTAGAGGAACGGACTTCCATCCACACTCATTCTTGAAAGCGGGAATAAATGAGTCCAGCGATGCAGTGCCATCGTTGCCTTTGCACTTGTCGAAAGCCTTTTTACAAGTAGGAATGAAATTGTCAGGAAGGCCTTTGCATTTTCCAAATGAATCGAGACACTTCTGAAAGATGTCGTGTGTGATTCTTTCTTTGGCTCCGAATACCGAGAAAATAGCCTTCAGGAACACATCAACAGATATTCCTGAATCTCCTAAATTTGAATTCGGCAGGGTTTTATCTCCTAATCCCTTTATATCACCAAACCCTGGAATTAGACCTTTTAATTTATCACAAAATCCATTGGGGAACGCTCCTTGATTATCTGGAGACTGAATTGCTTTTAAGCAAGGTAGAGGAACGGACTTCCAACCACACTCATTCTTGAAAGCGGGAATAAATGAGTCCAGCGATGCAGTACCATCGTTGCCTTTGCACTTGTCAAAAGCCTTTTTACAAGTAGGAATGAAATTGTCAGGAAGGCCTTTGCATTTTCCAAATGAATCGAGACACTTCTGAAAGATGTCGTGTGTGATTCTTTCTTTGGCTCCGAACACCGAGAAAATAGCCTTCAGGAACACATCAACAGATATTCCTGAATCTCCTAAATTTGAATTCGGCAGGGTTTTATCTCCTAATCCCTTTATATCACCAAACCCTGGAATTAGACCTTTTAATTTATCACAAAATCCATTGGGGAACGCTCCTTGATTATCTGGAGACTGAATTGCTTTTAAACAAGGTAGAGGAACGGACTTCCATCCACACTCATTCTTGAAAGCGGGAATAAATGAGTCCAGCGATGCAGTGCCATCGTTGCCTTTGCACTTGTCGAAAGCCTTTTTACAAGTAGGAATGAAATTGTCAGGAAGGCCTTTGCATTTTCCAAATGAATCGAGACACTTCTGAAAGATGTCGTGTGTGATTCTTTCTTTGGCTCCGAATACCGAGAAAATAGCCTTCAGGAACACATCAACAGATATTCCTGAATCTCCTAAATTTGAATTCGGCAGGGTTTTATCTCCTAATCCCTTTATATCACCAAACCCTGGAATTAGACCTTTTAATTTATCACAAAATCCATTGGGGAACGCTCCTTGATTATCTGGAGACTGAATTGCTTTTAAGCAAGGTAGAGGAACGGACTTCCAACCACACTCATTCTTGAAAGCGGGAATAAATGAGTCCAGCGATGCAGTACCATCGTTGCCTTTGCACTTGTCGAAAGCCTTTTTACAAGTAGGAATGAAATTGTCAGGAAGGCCTTTGCATTTTCCAAATGAATCGAGACACTTATGAAAGATGTCGTGTGTGATTCTTTCTTTGGCTCCGAATGCCGAGAAAATAGCCTTCAGGAACACATCAACAGATATTCCTGAATCTCCTAAATTTGAATTCGGCAGGGTTTTATCTCCTAATCCCTTTATATCACCAAACCCTGGAATTAGACCTTTTAATTTATCACAAAATCCATTGGGGAACGCTCCTTGATTATCTGGAGACTGAATTGCTTTTAAGCAAGGTAGAGGAACGGACTTCCAACCACACTCATTCTTGAAAGCGGGAATAAATGAGTCCAGCGATGCAGTACCATCGTTGCCTTTGCACTTGTCGAAAGCCTTTTTACAAGTAGGAATGAAATTGTCAGGAAGGCCTTTGCATTTTCCAAATGAATCGAGACACTTCTGAAAGATGTCGTGTGTGATTCTTTCTTTGGCTCCGAATGCCGAGAAAATAGCCTTCAGGAACACATCAACAGATATTCCTGAATCTCCTAAATTTGAATTCGGCAGGGTTTTATCTCCTAATCCCTTTATATCACCAAACCCTGGAATTAGACCTTTTAATTTATCACAAAATCCATTGGGGAACGCTCCTTGATTATCTGGAGACTGAATTGCTTTTAAGCAAGGTAGAGGAACGGACTTCCAACCACACTCATTCTTGAAAGCGGGAATAAATGAGTCCAGCGATGCAGTACCATCGTTGCCTTTGCACTTGTCGAAAGCCTTTTTACAAGTAGGAATGAAATTGTCAGGAAGGCCTTTGCATTTTCCAAATGAATCGAGACACTTATGAAAGATGTCGTGTGTGATTCTTCTTTGGTCCGAATGCCGAGAAAATAGCCTTCAGGAACACATAAAGATATTCCTGAATTCTAAATTTGAATTAGGTTTTATTCCTAATCTTTATATACAATGAATAGACCTTTTAATTTATCACAAAATATTGGGGAAGTTTGATATTGGAATGAAGTTTTAAGAAGGTAGAGGAAGGACTTCCAACCAATCATTTTGAAAGGGGAATAAATGAGTAGGATGCAGTACCATCGTTGCTTTGACTTGTCGAAAGCCTTTTTACAAGTAGGAAGAAATAGGAAGGCCTTCATTTTCCAAATGAACGGACAATTCTGAAAGATGTCGTGTGTGATTTTTTCTTTGGCTCCGAATACCGAGAAAATAGCCTTCAGAAACACATCAACGGATATACCAGAACCTCCACTTATACCTCCAAGAGTTCCACCTGCATTCAAGCTCTTATTGAAAATGTCGAAGAAACCACCAGGTAACGCGCTCTTCTTGCTTCCAAGCGCTGATTTGAATGTCGTTAGAAAATTCGTGGGTAGCGTAGCGTCTTTGACATTACAAGTCCTCGCGGCAGACTTAAAGGCCTCTATACAAGTCTTTAACGCAAGGCCATCCTTCGCTTTCTTAGCTGCAAGAGCCGATTTGAATGCAGCTACGAAATCATCAGTGATGTATGATTTCTTGCAGTCGCAATTCTCTACGCTGTTTACAAAGGTCTTTGCCACTAGTTCAGATGCGCCGTCGTTACCACCGGAACCAAACGCTGAGAGAAGAGCGTTAGAGAGAACATCAAAAGAGATTCCATGGCCTCCTCCGAGTACGGCTAATATGTCACTCGTGAGACCGACGCCATGGCCAAGGGATCCTAGAGCTGAAACAGACTTAAAATTTTAATACTTTGATTTTTTTCACATGTATTGCAGATGGTGGCTTTTTATAAATTAGAAATCGATTTTAAATTTATATAAAAAATACGACACAGGTAGGAGGTTACTCTAACCTACACTTCGTACATATTTTTCGGATATCTTGAACTGTTTTTGCAGCGTCCGCAACGAAAATTATCCCATAAAATTAATTTTCCCATTTCTCTCTACATTTCGTGCTGTTTCTTCGCTCCAATCCAAATTATATCGCTGTGTTGACAGCGATATAATTTATTGCCTTCCGCAATAAATGCAAAAATATTTTTTCAATTCGAACCAGTAGTTCCTGAGATTAGCCCGTAGAGACAAGCCTACAAACTAACAAACTCTTCAGCTTTATCTATTAGTACTAGCTGTGTCAGCGACTTCGTCCGCGAGAATCGTATTTCGTATTTTGGGTATCCAAATTTGTTTTTGCAAACCCCTTCATCTTTATACACTTAAGCTGCTTCCCGTCGTTCTTGCAAGTTAAAAGATATACAAACAGCGTCGCGGACTTTTTTTTAGATCATTTAAAGAGGAATCATTTTTCCTACATATTTTTTGGTTATCTTGAACCGTTTTCGCAGTGTACGCAATGGAAAGCCACAAGGATCAATAATTTTTCTCGTTTTTTCGCCTATAGCCTACCTAAATAAATGCTTTAACTAACACAAAGAGGATTGTTCAATACGAACAAGTATTTCCTCAGCTTAGCGCGTTCAAACATACAAACAAACTCTTCAGCTATATATATAAGTACAGAGCATAAATAGATGATATACAAGAAATAACTTACTTGGGAACGCCTGTGTCGACAAAACACACTGAAAATAATAAGTATTATATTTAGATAGTCTTTTTTTTTTATTTCAAATCAACAGTTACACAGTCACAGAATAAATGTTGCAAAAATGTATGTTGTCTTAGTCATTAGTGTACTCGACTACACATCTTGATGTAGCGGGTTCGAATTTTGGGTCAAGCGAAATTTTACTTCGGTTATCGAAATCCTTGTGCCAAAATTCTAGTATCAGCCAGACTTCGCTGGAAGTAGATACTTCTCGAACGAGAAAACAGAAAACGAAGGTGGAACGACCTTTTTGTCGCCAGAAAAGTTTTTAATTGCCACTCAAATGTCTTACATACCTACTTATGAATTTGAAATCGAATATACATTGCAAAAAAAAATACGACACGGGCAGGACTTGAAGGAGGAAGAGGAATCCACAGCTTTCCGTGCTGTTGCTCTAACCAATTGAGCTACCATGTCCTACATGTCATCGACGACTTTTTTGATTTACTTACTATTACAAAAGTCAACTTACCGCCAAAAACGTAAGCCCTGCCAGTGCCATGATCTCAATGTAACTACTTTGTTCATTATTAGGCCTAATTTATATAATTACAACAAAGGAACATCTGTGCCAATATTAAGAAGGATGTTTGGTTTACATTTTAATTAGTCAACACTATGTTTGGCCCGCGACGTCGTTCTAGTTACGAGAAGAACGAAATATTAAACAGGCGAGATCGTATCCACAATCAGCGTTCTGCTGGGCAAAATATAGCAAATTCTAAACCTAAATTATAGGTACTGCTTGCGGCCATTTTGAAAAAATACTTGATGTCTGTAGTTTACGCGAGTAGTACACATTTAAATAAAACACATTAACGGTTTAAAACGCGATATATATCAGTTAAACTTGTTTGAATTTATTTTAACTACGTCACGACGTTTGTGGTCACGAAAAAATAATTAGTTAAAATAATTTCCGAAACGTCGGGCCGTAGTTAAAAAACCTTGCGTTTTCGAGCTGTTGAATCACGATGGCCGAACAGCTCGAAAAATAATTTTAAAATGAATTATTGAACGAAATAGTAGATATTAATAAATAATGTCTACCTAATTTTTGAACCCTTTAAACAGAAACAAAAAGTCTCCCTTTTTCGTTCATTTTCTAAAAATAATTTAGACAAATATAATTTTATAGCCAAAAATGGCAAACAATTTTAGTATTGAAAACATTAATATTTTTCACATGTATAGCACATGAAGGCACAATATAATTTAAAAATCGAAAATAAATTGAAAAAATTTTCGACCCGGGCAGGACTTGAACCGGCATCGTCAGCTTGCTGCCGATGCTGACGATGCCGGTTCAAGTCCTGCCCGAGTCGAAATTTTTTTTAATTTATTTTCGATTTTTAAATTTTAGTATTGCTACCACCAGCTCTCTCTTTCTCGATGGAGTTAACACTTTGAAGAATTATTTATTTATATAAACCACTTTAACGGTTTAAAACGCGGTATATATTACTTAAACTTGTTTGATAATTATTCTAACTACGACCCTATGTTTCGACGATAGAATGATTTATTTATAGACAAACGAAATTTTTCATATTACGGATGTGAATACATACATATATTTGCGCCTTTGGATATTATTTACTTTGCATATAATTAACTAAATACACATTTTCGAGTTGCATGCCCCAATTATAAAATATAAACATCAACGGCGATACCCAGAGCAAGGTAAAAATAAATTAATAGGAAAAGTAATTTATAATTAAGATTAAAATACCATACAGGTGATACGCGAACATAGATTACGGAAAATACGCCGATAACCTCATGTTTTTGTCATGTCATGTGTATCAGGTTATTGAAGGAGGGATAAAAAAACACTAGATATATGCTTTCGTTCAGGTATGTGTTTTCAATGACCCCATATTCCTAGAATCTAAATAAAAACTGCACAAAAAAAATTCGATAAGCATTTGAAAGGTCTATTTATGAAATACTATGGTCCTTTCCAGAAATATTTGTTATCAATTAAAAGAAAACAGTATTTCTCTCTAAGATTATCAGTCCGAAAATTTCTAAAGATATTTGTGTCTAATTCACTTGTAAACCACCACCGATTTCAATAATATTTGGTTTTAATAAGTTCCTTGTATTAGAAAAAAATACATTTTAAGACAATTTACATAACAATAGACAAAAGCTAGAAGTAGAGCATCCGAAACGTCGGGCTGTTGTTAAAATAATTTCCAAATCGCCTTAAACTGTTAAAGTGTTTTATTTAATTACTTTAGACTTTTTTTTTGTTAAGTAGAAACTGACAGTGAGTGGCGACCTCATTGAAGGAATGTTTCAAATTAAGGGATTCCCCAATATTTTGCGGTTCTATAAATAGTTAGCAAGTTATGTTAATTATCCAAAGCCAAAACAGTGTTCGTATTTGTTTACTTGAACTAGCATGCAAACTTTCCGAACTACATTTGGCACTTTACTATACAGGCTGTATTTTTTATACATGGTGTAGCTGAAAATGTCTTATGTATTTGGAGGGTATATAAAATATGTTTAGTGCATAACACCGTCAAAAAAAATGTCTCACCAAAATAGCTACTACAATAATTACTTAAACAGACAAAAGAAGTACAAAAATTATGATTATTAAATTTTTCTATGTATATATTTGTAATATAATTAATAAACGCAAACAGTGTGAAAACTTGATATGATAAACAAAGCCACCGATCATTATTTTATAATCTGCAGTAATCCAATATGCACCCTCCGCTATCTAATAATTGCATTAATATCTTTATTATCTGTGCCACACGACTCCATTCCCGCCCTTTTGTTTGTCACGTATTTTGACACACCGCCATTCTGATGACTGAAATGATTGGAGATAATTATTATTTATTATCGTTTATTTTATTGCATTAACGGAAATACGATGATCGATTTTATAAAAATCTAAAATAAAACGTTGTAAATGTGGGGGTTATTGTCATATAAGTATAAAACTTGCCAAGATCTGAGCATGGAAAATATTATAGGTAAGTAACATGGTTTTTTTAAAGTAACACAGCTTCAATGTTTCAAAATAATTTCAAGAATACATACGTAAAATAAAATATGTGTTTACACAATTGCTGTATAATATGATTATTATGCAAATCGACATAAAAATAATATTCAAAATTCTTTAGTGAGAATGCGTCATTCCTTTTGTGAGATTTGTAATTCCATCCATTTAGATTCAAAAATTTGATGACACGGGCGGAACCTGAACCTGCATCAACTGCAATCCGTCCTGCTGCTCTATCTTATCCTCGCATTTCTCCAAACCATTTTGGACCTCTCTCACAATGTAATTACAACATTAGCGTTTACGTATTGAAGTTAATGTTTGTTTTAAGAATAACACCTTGTTTTTATGTTGTGTGGTTCACATTCCACCTAATAGTACAGAAAATGATTATTCGCTGTTGTTTAAAGTACTTGAGGATTTATGTATATAAAGAAATAATTATTGTCGTCGATTGGCTGTGACCAATAAAAGCGAAGATACAGCGGGAAAGGTGAACGAAACGGTGAAAATTTTTCATCATTAGAGGCTTCCGATGCTTATGCTGCAAAAGCGGTTCGAGATTCCAAAAAAATGTATGAAAAAATTATTCCTCTTTAGCTGATCTAAAAAAAGTCCGCGACGCTATATATGTCTATCTTTAAAGATTAACTTTCAAGAACGATGGGAAGGGACCCGACCGACGTCGTTTCAATGATAAGTCAATTTAATTATTTTTCACTTAAATTTATTTATGTCTGGTAAATGCTTATCTATACTAATATATAAAGCTGAAGAGTTTGTTTGTTTGTTTGATCGCCCTAATCTCAGGAACTATGGGTTCGAATTGAAAAAAATATTTTTGTGTTAGAGCATTTATCGAGGAGGCTATACTATTATTATAAATGCTAAAGTAACTCCGTCTGTCTGTCCGGCTTTAACGCCAAAACTTCTAAACCGATTTGAATGAAATTTAGTACACAGATATTTTAGAAGCTGAGAAATGACATAAGCTTTTTAATGCCAAAAAAGGGTTGTTAGAGGATGAATAGGGGAATGAAAGTTTGCATGAAATTCGTGATTTTTGAAGCTAAAGCAATGAAACTTTCTTGTTCGCCCTTTTGGGAATAGGAGTGGGAGTGGGAGTGGCGCAGCTAGTAATTTTATATACGGAACCCTTGTTAAGCGAGTCAAAGTCGAATTTGACTCTTTTTTAAAATTAACAATGAGAGGTCATTGATCAACCTCTACTTATTATTGATTTATTTTTATTTAAACAGTTTGCATGTTTTTGTTTAAGTCTGTATAAAAGCGCATCTTTTAGTTCGTTTTCTCTGAGAGTGAACTAAGAGCTTAGTCTTACAACCATTATGAAGATTGCAGTGTTGTGCCTTTTTGTGGTAAGTCAATAGTAATTGTAAATGTAACTGTCAAATTTGTCTAGTGAAAATAACATTTGTATGTATTTTACTTTTAAAAATAATACGTATTCCTCCCCGTGACCGCCCAACCACCAACCAGTGAAACGTTAAAATAAGTTTAACTAATATATATCGCGTTTTAAACTGTAAAAGTGTTTGATGTAAATACACTTCGTGTTTGAAAAAATATAGCTTGTTGTGCATGTAGTTCAAATATTAAGCGGAATTTTTATCACAAACAGTTCAGCCGTTTGGACGTGAAAGAGAATTATAATATTATAAAATTGTGAAACATTTCAACAAAACACTCTAAATGGTTTTAAATGCATAATATTAACTAAGACCCGACCGTGGTCACGGTGGATAAAGGATAAAAATCTATAATTAATTATGTTCTACCTATATTTGAATAGTGTTTATAATTTACGCGAAATTCTATATATATACGTACTCTAGATTCTTAGATCTAAGTATATTTTTTACTTTGTTTTAGTTTTCGTTCGTCGCTGTGAATTCAGCACCGAATTTTGGTAAGTAAAAATTGAAGTTTATACGAGACTTAAAATTTAAGTAACGTATAGACATGACAGATGCGATGGTCGTTTTTTGAAAAAATTTTATCGACATTTTGCTATCAGAAGTTGATGACATCATCCGATGTTTATAGGCTCGGTGGTTTAATGGTAGTAATTTATTGCTTATCATCGACGGGTCGTGGGTTTGAATCGCACCGAATCCAACAATTTTCTAATCAATTTACAGTTTTTCCGAAACATCCCGGACTTCGTATCTTAGTCTGGATATTAATTGGAATGGTAGGAATATCGAAATTCCGTTCGGGTCACGAACCGTCCACAAATGAAAAAGCCGTCAGGTTCAATCGCATCTCGGCTTCAGTCTGTGGATTTCCGCATCTCCAAAGCCGAAATAGGCCGACAGCGCATCTTGTTTAGATGTTATTTCGGTTTAGGGGTATTACACCTACCACCAGGTGAATCTTATGCTTGTCGGCGCTCCTCCTTAATAATCTGAAATAAATTGTAAAATTCAGGAGTTAATTTTTAAGTGATTTACGTTCTTAACTTAGGGCCGAAGAAAAAATAATTTTCAAATAAGTTTAACTGATATATCGCTTTTTAAACCGTTAAAGTGTATTTTAATATTTACCTCCTTTTTCAGACTGCCTGAAGGATTTACGTGAGTACTAGAAAAAGTTTTGATTTACTTAATCCTTTAAAAATCGATTGAGAAAAATTCAAGACTCAGACAGGGCAACCATGGCGTCGTATTTTTTTATTTATACAGTGCCATCATGTGAAAAATGCTAGTATTTTAAATGATATATTTATTTGTACAATTTATCTTCACTCTATCTATAACGTTTTACACTATTACAATTTATTATACATTAGATAAATCTAATAATGTGATAAAATTAATTGTGTTTTTAGGACTATAAATGAAATAAATATCGATTAGATCAATTTTAATATATTTCTAATTTTACAGCCGATTGCGAAGACCTTCTTCATCCAAAATGTGATGGTAAGTAACATGAAAATTAAGGTTAAATAACGTAGGTTAAATTGGTTTAAAACCCGATATATACTAATTGATTCTTTTTTAACTACGATATAGATCATAATTAAAAATTTATCAGTAAAAGTAATCAGAAGGGTGTGTGCAATAGCCGTTGTCACTTGATCACCAGTAACAGATATAAATCGCGTTTCAAACCGTTAAAATTGTTTTGTTTAAATATACAGCGTTCTTTAGAACAATTTGCTTTTAGATGACTGCGACGATCAAAAACCAAAACCTCAACCAACACCAAAACCAGAAGGTGAGTTTAAACATTAACTATAGATTACGAGAGTAGTATACGGTTAAATAAAACCCTAATAACAGTTTCATTGGTGAAGTATATTGGTTAACTTTTTTTACTAATACATTTCGCGTTTTAAACCGTTAAAATGTTTTACCTAGTGTCGGTACTACTCGCCTTACAGACAGTATTTACCTGTTACAAACTTATAGTATAAACACGCAAATTTCAAATCAATTTTATTCTTGAAGTTCTCCAACTCTCCAACAGTCAAGGCAAATCTTTTCAAATTACTGCGGTCGGGTTATGGAATACATTACCCGACTCCATTGGTATGGCGTCGTCTCTCATATCTTTTAAAAGACTCCAAGCACTGCTCTACTGAATAAATTGCTCTACCTAATCCTAAGACCCAAGAAAGAATCAGACCCGTCTTCCCCACTTTAGCATGGCTTGCATTAATTGACCTCCAAAATTATAATTAGCAATATTTTTAACAAGAACGTTAAAAAATCCTTTTCTTTTACGCTTATAATATGTTCTCAAGGGTAAGTTTAGAGGGCCCCTAAGTTCCGTTTCATAAGCTTCTGGGCCCTGGTGTACTGCACCTCCGGGGCCTACGATAGCTACGCAACTAACTAATCATTGTCTCGCGTATTCCTTATTTAGATTTAATTTCCCTAGATAAGTTAAGTAATTTGTGTGTATATTTTGTTTCGCCCACCTCATCTTGGGTTCCTTAGAAGAGATTGCTTGTTAGCGATAAGGCCGCCCATTGCACTCCTATTTTTAGTGGATAAGTCTATATATACTAATATTATAAACGCGAAAGTAACTCTGTCTGTCTGTCCCGCTTTAACTCCGAAACTACTGAACTGATTTAAATGAAATTTGGTATATAGATATTTTAGAGCTTGATTAAGGACCAAAAAAGGGTTGATAGGGGTTGAAAAGGGGGATGAAAGATTGTATGGAAATTCGTGGTTTTTGAAGCTAGAACAATGAAATTCTCTTCTCTGGGTATTTTGGGAATAGGAGTGGGAGTGGGAGGGGGAGTGAGAGTGGCAGTTAGAGTGTTGCGGCAAAGTAGCACTATTAAATGAATAAACGGACTAAATGATTAAAAATTGTACCACAAGTCACCATTCCACGCGGACGAAGTCGCGGGCATAGCTAGTAATAAATAAATGAATTTTAAGCGTGGTCCATCAAAATAGAGATCAATCATAAAAACTAAACTAAATTATTTGTTTTTAATTACAGATGACTGCGATGAACAACCGCACAAACCAAAATATGGTAAATCAATATACATTAGGTCTGCATCGAATTGTATAGACTTTGACGTCCTCGATGGTCTAATAGGCGCAATGAATGGCTAATCAACGGGTCGTGGGTTCGGACCCCGTCGGGTCCAACGCGTTTTTAATTTTACAAAGTTTCTGAAACTTGCTATACCTCGTCTTGAAATCTGGATATTAAACGGTTCACAAATTAAAATAAAATTACTTAAATTCTAGTAACTGAAGAGGTGAAAATATTTAATGAATTTCTTATTAACTATAAATTAAGTATTCGGTATTCGGCCGAATATTCGTCGAAAGCCGAATAATAATATCTTCGAAATTGCTTTTGTAATAGACGGGATTTGAACCTGCGTCCTTGCTCTACCACCCCGAGGGTCCAGTCAGCCGGGCTAAAGAAGTTTTTGCACTAAATCGTTTCGAAGTTTTCATTAAGAATTAAATATTTTTTTTACACTTTCAGATGACTGCGACGAGCCAAAGCGAGATCCTTGTGGTATGTATTTTTGTCACGTGATATGCCCTTTTTTTAACTGATGGTGCGAATGCCTAATGCACGCCCACGTCGGGCAAGTGTGACGTGGGGAGTTTGGTAAATCGTATAGCCGACCAGAACCACTAAACATACCACTGGCCCTCTACGGTGCTTAGAGGGAGCCCTGGGAAAACGTTTGTACGACTCCAAAGCTCCCAGCACCAATTACGTGATATGCCCTAACATTATACTTAAGAAAGATGCTTTAAAATTCGGTAATTTAATCTAATTTCGATATACCCAAGAGAGAATTCTATATTGAAATTTAAGAAAATTCTATATACCTAAGATTTTGGGTCTATCATGATTAGAAAACTATATATGCTTAAGTGGGAATCGAACCCGTCGATTAGCTTATTGATTTATCCATTCATAGACCATAATTATGATATAATTGATTATAATTATGCACACGCAAGAGGTCCTAGTAAAAACAAATATTGTGTTATAAAAACGCAAACCTTCGTGATTCCTATGGGGCATGGGGCGAACAAATTTCTGTGTCCGTTTCAGTGATAAATTTTATCTACAAGCTTACTCGGAAAACACACTTGCATAGTTGATCAGACTTCTGTCTACCGGACTGAAACTTATTCTTATCTCAGGATTCGAGCTCAGGACTTCCGGTGCTCAACGCAACGTATGTGTGTCTAAACATTTAGTTAATTTTCAGATGACAAGCACAAAGGCGGACACCACACCGGTGAGTGCGACTGCTAATGTCATTTATGAAGGTTTGTGAATACGATAAAAGTATAATGTCCTTAATTTGATTTTAAGTCCCCATCCACCCGAAACGGCTTCTTTGTCGCGCTCGTTGGTGCAACGGTAGCAATGTACGGCTGGTAATCAACGCGTCGTGGGTTTGATACCCACTTCACCACCCCCCACAAACACTTCATCGGTTTAAAACGCGATGTATTAGTTAAAGTTATTCGAAAATGGTTTTGAACTGCGGCCCGACGTTTCATGACAATTTAAAATTTCTGAAACATGTTGGACTTCATTTGGATATTAAATGGATCATAGGAAAATTCCGTTCGGGTCCACAGATGAAATGCCGTCAAGTTAAGTCGCGTGTCGGTTACAGTCCGTGGATTTCCGAATGTCCAAAGCCAAAAATAGGACAGCGTTTAGGTGGGTTATTTGTAGGCCAATAGCTGACAGTACATTCTCTTACAGAGAGCCAAGCTGGTGCCCGCTCTGGCGCAGGTGACTTCGGCAGTTTCTCGGATGCGTTTGCGCATTCTAAAAGCTTTCAATAGTTGTAAAATTATGTGTAGCTCTTGAATAATTCTCACTCAAAATCAAATACTACCTACATGCGTAATCTTTTACTCGTGTAGGTAGCTTGATACATTTATACAGTTAAGAATTAAAACTTACTACCAGTCTTCAAAATAAATGGCGTAGAAGGAAAGAGAAGAATTGGCAACAAACTCGCCGCCACTCCTATTGCCAAGTTTTTGTTACAATCCTTACGCACTTAATGTCTACATCTTCTTTCTTGTTGTGTCCGTTTCGAGGCTGTAAAACAAATGTTAAACAAAGTCTAGCTGATCTGTCCCAACGGTGTTTCAATTATTCATAGGCTAAAATTTTTATTGCTATCTGTGTGTCATATTTATTTATTATTTGTCTTGTAAGAAATTATATTTTACAAATTACGTAAAATTTGTACTTAATATTGTGTTGGAATTAAATAAATGTTTAAAAAAAAAGGTTTTATTCTTTTGTGCAAAGAAATATATTTCATTGAAAAAAAAATACCTTTCCCACAATGGTTAGGGAACCATCGGTAAAAACAACATTTTGTGTTATTATTAACTAAAAGTTCACGATTGTTAAAAAGATACTAGTAATATTAATTATATTAAATAAGATTTGTATCTTACAAACTTAACTCACACAAATTAAAATACAGGTCTTTGAAGCAATATTTTAAGTAATATGTATTTATATTATACTTAAAATAGCAGTAACACTTATTTACATACGACACTATTAACGGTTTACAGCGCGAAATTTATTATTAAAGTTATTTTCGAACTGTGTACTTTAATTATTGATTTTGGGAATCTACCTAATTCTACATGTATCTATTATTCCACTAAAAGATTAAGAAGCACAGAAATATCTAAAGGGGCGGCTTCAAGTTATCAAACACCTGGGATGCCATATTAAAAAACTCTGGATTCCAAAAAACAGCACACCGGCAAACGCGTAAACACTCTTAGTCAATTCTGCAAGGACCCGGCCAGTTTCGCTAATAAGAACTTCGACGCAACAGATAGCGTAGCAGTTTTGACTTTGACATTAGAGACACCCTACATCTTTAGTGTCCCCGTGACCACGGCTGCTGCAAAGCATTCGAAACTTCGAGCTGTAGTTAAAATTATTTGTAAACAAGTTTAACTAATATATTTTGTGTGTTTAAAGTATACTGTTTAAAGTGCTTTATTTAAATGTGTAAATGTACTTAATTATGACAGTATGATACAAGTGAAGTAATAATAAAACAAAACAACATTTCTATTGCAAAGTTTGCCACAATCCAGACTGCCAGCACGAAAAATAATAGGTAAGTGTAAATTTAATAAGTTAAGTTATCTATTTCGCGTTTTAAACCGCTAAAAATGAACATAGTCAATTGTCAGTGCTACGAAAATATTGTAATTGTCATAGTATCTTTTATTTAAGTTTATTATAGTATAAATTTATAACAACTTCTATACGATGTAACCAATGACTATTGCAATAGTAATAGGTTTTTGAGACAGCTAATGGTAGGAGGATACCCTGATGTAAAATGTGATGATCACCATAATTACGCGTTGCGTAACAATAAGGCGTGTCGTGTGGGTGTCTCGACGCTTAAAGATATGGTGTTTATTATGCATGTGGTTGACGAAGAGAAGTCAAGGGCGCGGCAAGAGCGGCGCCTGGGTGGCTCATCTATCTCGGCCACTTGAAACGTTTCGGTCTTTGAAAACCACTAAGCATTGTTACGTTTAAAACAAATACAAATCAATAATCTTTCGTTATGTATTGAGTTTTTTGTTTTATTATATTTTTCCACCAGTTACTGGTTTGTGTATATTTACGTAGACCGTATTTGTATTTGAACTCAAGTGAAATTAGATCTGTAAGTATTATACATATAAGTAATAATTATTTTGTTTAATGCGTTCAAACTTTTTAATTTTCTTTCCAGCCAAACACTACTTAGTACATAGACACGTAAATAATGAGGAATAAATTATTTACCAGGTTTGATGCCATTATACATATAAAGCTTTATCTGCAGAGAATAAGACGTTGAACCGTCATTTTTAATATCAAAATTATATTGCGCAAGAAGTGCACGTATCAATAAGTTGAAAGAAATCGACTATGACGTGTAGTCACGGTGGCTCAATTGGTTGGAGCAACAGCACGAAACGCTGTGAATGCCGGTTCAACTCCCGCCTGTGTCGTAAAATTTAATCTATAATCGATGTTTAATTTATATAATGTAAACGTCTTACCGGCCACGTTTGACAGATAAGCAAGGTTAGGTACCAGGGATAGTTTTGTCTTTTGAAGAGTAAGTACCTAGCGCGCACTGGTGATTTTTGTCTGGTCAAGTCCTCGAATATGCATGGAGGTGCGCACATGTTACGACGTGACAATTCGGTGACATTTGTGTTCGCCGTCTATAGCATTCTTACTTAATCATTATTAATGATAAAAATGATTAAAAATGATTATTATTTATAATAATATAATAGTTTAAATATTATTATTAATAAGAATTATTTATTTGAAAGTTCGTATTTTTATATATTCACGTCCTAAAGTGCGTAATAGTAATAATTAATCAAGGCTAGAAGCACTCATTCGCAAATATCTAAAGAATCCTTAGGATATTCTCGAAGCTTATAATACATAGTGTAGATTTTTCCACGTAGAAGCCTGTCATTCCCAAGGGGGTGTACCCAATATTCTCTTCGTTTTCTTGCTCCCAAGTCTCAAGAGTTCACAGAGAACGACCGTCTCTTCGAAATCCAAGTGGCAAATTTCTTTTCCAAGTGACACTTTCGATTTCGAAAATGTTTTGTCACTATCTCTATTCGTGAGCGCACTCCACTTGGGAAACGTGATGTGACAATGACAAACACTATAAAGTCACCGTGACAAAAATCACCAGTGCGCGCTAGCCCTAACTGGCCCTAATTATACTAAAATGAGCAACATAACTGAGAAGAACACCCAAGAAACTCACTACTTTTCATAAAATTTTCATAATTATACTGCGACATACACAGTAAATATGCCGATATTTTTAAAGTTTAATGATTCCCGAGATCCCATTCCATACAAAGCCCGCCCTTTTTTTGCAACACAAAGATACATTCGATGTCGGCAGCGTTACTACACAGTAGTATGCCATATGTCATAACACTGGAAGCAGCTGAAGTAGACTAGACGCTCTATTTTAATGTCTGTGTTTGATCTTTATTGACTTTATAGACGTCTAGACTGTAATTAGAGACGGAGATATAAAATTAATTTAGTTTTCTCAACTGACATCGTGCCTATTCTTATCTTTATAAAACATAAATGATGAAATAAAAGCGGCATTCGTAATTGCATATCTGAATTTAATAAATTTCGAGGTCAAAAACAAAATTATAAAAGCAAAACGTTTCGAATTATTGAAGGCTTAAAACTAAAACACCTTGGCGTCTCATTGCTGTCAGCTGTCACTTTGACGTTACTGCAACTGTCAGTATGATGTCTAGTAAGCTTTTTGATAGGTATAGTTGTAGTTGTTAGCATTGCTGTTGGAATTGCTATTGCTGTTATTGTTGCTGTAAGAATAAAAATTGCCTCCACCATTGTTTTGTACAGCTTGATAGTTTGTGGAAGAAGATTCATTTGAGGTGTTACTATTTGAGTTGCTGTTATTCGAAATGTAATACGAGCTGCCATCGCCGTTTTGAATAGCTTGATAATTGCTAGAATGAGCTTCATTTGAATTGTTGCTGTTAGAATTTTGGTTATTGTAATAATATGAGCTTCCATCGCTATTGACAGTTTGATAGTTGGTAGAAGTAGCTTGATTTGAGCTATTGCTATTAGCATCGTTACTGTTGTAATAATACGCGCTTCCATCTTTGTTTTGTATAGCTTGATAATTAGTTGCAGAAGCTTGATTGGAATTGTTGCTATTTGCTGATTGAGAGTTATATTGTGTGAAGCCTTTGTTATTATTAAAGTAATAGTTTTCTTGAGAGGCGTTAGAATTGCTAGTAGAGCCCGATTGTGAATTTGAAGATTGATAGTAGTAGTTTGGTGAATTTGCTGGAACTTTATAATTTGGTGGTAATACGACGCCCTTATAAGCATTCCCGTTAGAGTTGGCATAGCCGTAACTGCCGGAAGATGAGCCTCCGTTTCCAGAATTTGAATTGCTGCCAGTTCCACTGCTGGTTCCAGTGGTTGACGTAGTACCTCCGTTGTTGCTTGTGGCACTTCCGTTAGAGTTGGCATAGCCGTAGCTGCCGGAAGATGAGCCTCCGTTTCCACAATTTGTATTGCTGCCAGTTCCACTGCTAGTTCCAGTAGTTGTAGTAGTGCCTCCGTTGTTGCTTGTGGCACTTCCGTTAGAGTTGGCATAGCCGTAGCTGCCGGAAGATGAGCCTCCGTTTCCAGAATTTGAATTGCTGCCAGTTCCACTGCTGGTTCCAGTGGTTGACGTAGTACCTCCGTTATTGCTTGTGGCACTTCCGTTAGAGTTGGCATAGCCGTAGCTGCCGGAAGATGAGCCTCCGTTTCCAGAATTTGAATTGCTGCCAGTTCCACTGCTGGTTCCAGTGGTTGACGTAGTACCTCCGTTGTTGCTTGTGGCGCTTCCGTTAGAGTTGGCATAGCCGTAGCTGCCGGAAGATGAGCCTCCGTTTCCAGTACTAGTATTGCTGCCAGTTCCACTGTTGGTTCCAGTGGTTGACGTAGTACCTCCGTTGTTGCTTGTGGCACTTCCGTTAGAGTTGGCATAGCCGTAGCTGCCGGAAGATGAGCCTCCGTTTCCAGTACTAGTATTGCTGCCAGTTCTACTGATGGTTCCAGTGGTTGACGTAGTACTTCCGTTGTTGCTTGTGGCACTTCCGTTAGAGTTGGCATAGCCGTAGCTGCCGGAAGATGAGCCTCCGTTTCCAGTATTTGTATTGCTGCCAGTTCCACTGCTGGTTCCAGTGGTTGACGTAGTACCTCCGTTGTTGCTTGTTGCACTTCCGTTAGAGTTGGCATAGCCGTAGCTGCCGGAAGATGAGCCTCCGTTTCCAGTACTAGTATTGCTGCCAGTTCCACTGTTGGTTCCAGTGGTTGACGTAGTACCTCCGTTATTGCTTGTGGCACTTCCGTTAGAGTTGGCATAGCCGTAGCTGCCGGAAGATGAGCCTCCGTTTCCAGAATTTGAATTGCTGCCAGTTCCACTGCTGGTTCCAGTGGTTGACGTAGTACCTCCGTTATTGCTTGTGGCACTTCCGTTAGAGTTGGCATAGCCGTAGCTGCCGGAAGATGAGCCTCCGTTTCCAGAATTTGAATTGCTGCCAGTTCCACTGCTGGTTCCAGTGGTTGACGTAGTACCTCCGTTGTTGCTTGTGGCGCTTCCGTTAGAGTTGGCATAGCCGTAGCTGCCGGAAGATGAGCCTCCGTTTCCAGTACTAGTATTGCTGCCAGTTCCACTGCTGGTTCCAGTGGTTGACGTAGTACTTCCGTTGTTGCTTGTGGCACTTCCGTTAGAGTTGGCATAGCCGTAGCTGCCGGAAGATGAGCCTCCGTTTCCAGAATTTGAATTGCTTCCAGTTCCACTGCTAGTTCCAGAAGTTGTAGTAGTGCCGCCGTTGTTGCTTGTTGCACTTCCGTTAGAGTTGGCATAGCCGTAACTGCCGGAAGATGAGCCTCCGTTTCCAGAATTTGAATTGCTGCCAGTTCCACTGCTGGTTCCAGTGGTTGACGTAGTACCTCCGTTATTGCTTGTGGCACTTCCGTTAGAGTTGGCATAGCCGTAGCTGCCGGAAGATGAGCCTCCGTTTCCAGAATTTGAATTGCTGCCAGTTCCACTGCTGGTTCCAGTGGTTGACGTAGTACCTCCGTTGTTGCTTGTGGCACTTCCGTTAGAGTTGGCATAGCCGTAGCTGCCGGAAGATGAGCCTCCGTTTCCAGTACTAGTATTGCTGCCAGTTCCACTGTTGGTTCCAGTGGTTGACGTAGTACCTCCGTTGTTGCTTGTGGCACTTCCGTTAGAGTTGGCATAGCCGTAGCTGCCGGAAGATGAGCCTCCGTTTCCAGTATTTGTATTGCTGCCAGTTCCACTGCTGGTTCCAGTGGTTGACGTAGTACTTCCGTTGTTGCTTGTGGCACTTCCGTTAGAGTTGGCATAGCCGTAGCTGCCGGAAGATGAGCCTCCGTTTCCAGTACTAGTATTGCTGCCAGTTCCACTGCTGGTTCCAGTGGTTGACGTAGTACCTCCGTTGTTGCTTGTGGCACTTCCGTTAGAGTTGGCATAGCCGTAGCTGCCGGAAGATGAGCCTCCGTTTCCAGTACTTGTATTGCTGCCAGTTCCACTGCTGGTTCCAGTGGTTGACGTAGTACTTCCGTTGTTGCTTGTGGCACTTCCGTTAGAGTTGGCATAGCCGTAGCTGCCGGAAGATGAGCCTCCGTTTCCAGAATTTGAATTGCTGCCAGTTCCACTGCTAGTTCCAGTAGTTGTAGTAGTGCCTCCGTTGTTGCTTGTGGCACTTCCGTTAGAGTTGGCATAGCCGTAGCTGCCGGAAGATGAGCCTCCGTTTCCAGAATTTGAATTGCTGCCAGTTCCACTGCTGGTTCCAGTGGTTGACGTAGTACCTCCGTTGTTGCTCGTTGCACTTCCGTTAGAGTTGGCATAGCCGTAACTTCCGGAAGATGAGCCTCCGTTTCCAGACATATTTGAATTGCTGCCAGTTCCACTGTGCTAGTTCCAGAAGGTTGTAGTAGTGCCGCCGTTGTTGCTTGTGGCACTTCCGTTAGAGTTGGCATAGCCGTAGCTGCCGGAAGATGAGCCTCCGTTTCCAGAATTTGAATTGCTGCCAGTTCCACTGCTGGTTCCAGTGGTTGACGTAGTACCTCCGTTGTTGCTTGTTGCACTTCCGTTAGAGTTGGCATAGCCGTAGCTGCCGGAAGATGAGCCTCCGTTTCCAGAATTTGAATTGCTGCCAGTTCCACTGCTGGTTCCAGTGGTTGACGTAGTACCTCCGTTGTTGCTTGTGGCACTTCCGTTAGAGTTGGCATAGCCGTAGCTGCCGGAAGATGAGCCTCCGTTTCCAGTACTAGTATTGCTGCCAGTTCCACTGCTGGTTCCAGTGGTTGACGTAGTACTTCCGTTGTTGCTTGTGGCACTTCCGTTAGAGTTGGCATAGCCGTAACTGCCGGAAGATGAGCCTCCGTTTCCAGAATTTGAATTGCTGCCAGTTCCACTGCTGGTTCCAGTGGTTGACGTAGTACCTCCGTTATTGCTTGTGGCACTTCCGTTAGAGTTGGCATAGCCGTAGCTGCCGGAAGATGAGCCTCCGTTTCCAGAATTTGAATTGCTGCCAGTTCCACTGCTGGTTCCAGTGGTTGTACGTAGTGCCTCCGTTGTTGCTTGTGGCACTTCCGTTAGAGTTGGCATAGCCGTAACTGCCGGAAGATGAGCCTCCGTTTCCAGTACTAGTATTGCTGCCAGTTCCACTGCTGGTTCCAGTGGTTGACGTAGTACCTCCGTTGTTGCTTGTGGCACTTCCGTTAGAGTTGGCATAGCCGTAGCTGCCGGAAGATGAGCCTCCGTTTCCAGAATTTGAATTGCTTCCAGTTCCACTGCTAGTTCCAGAAGTTGTAGTAGTGCCGCCGTTGTTGCTTGTTGCACTTCCGTTAGAGTTGGCATAGCCGTAGCTGCCGGAAGATGAGCCTCCGTTTCCAGAATTTGAATTGCTGCCAGTTCCACTGCTGGTTCCAGTGGTTGACGTAGTACTTCCGTTGTTGCTTGTGGCACTTCCGTTAGAGTTGGCATAGCCGTAACTGCCGGAAGATGAGCCTCCGTTTCCAGAATTTGAATTACTGCCAGTTCCACTGCTGGTTCCAGTGGTTGACGTAGTACCTCCGTTATTGCTTGTGGTACTTCCGTTAGAGTTGGCATTGCCGTAGCTGCCGGAAGATGAGCCTCCGTTTCCAGAATTTGAATTGCTGCCAGTTCCACTGCTGGTTCCAGTGGTTGACGTAGTACCTCCGTTGTTGCTTGTGGCACTTCCGTTAGAGTTGGCATAGCCGTAACTGCCGGAAGATGAGCCTCCGTTTCCAGAATTTGTATTGCTGCCAGTTCCACTGCTGGTTCCAGTGGTTGACGTAGTACCTCCGTTGTTGCTTGTGGCACTTCCGTTAGAGTTGGCATAGCCGTAGCTGCCGGAAGATGAGCCTCCGTTTCCAGAATTTGAATTGCTGCCAGTTCCACTGCTGGTTCCAGTGGTTGTAGTAGTACTTCCGTTGTTGCTTGTGGCGCTTCCGTTAGAGTTGGCATAGCCGTAGCTGCCGGAAGATGAGCCTCCGTTTCCAGAATTTGAATTGCTTCCAGTTCCACTGCTGGTTCCAGTGGTTGACGTAGTACCTCCGTTGTTGCTTGTTGCACTTCCGTTAGAGTTGGCATAGCCGTAGCTGCCGGAAGATGAGCCTCCGTTTCCAGAATTTGAATTGCTTCCAGTTCCACTGCTAGTTCCAGAAGTTGTAGTAGTGCCGCCGTTGTTGCTTGTTGCACTTCCGTTAGAGTTGGCATAGCCGTAACTGCCGGAAGATGAGCCTCCGTTATTTACATAAGCATTGCTGCCCGTTGCACTGTTGCTGCCGCTGCTAACATTTGATCCACCATTGTTGCTTGAAGCATAGCCATATGAGTTGCCATAGCCATAGCTTCCAGCAGATGATCTTCCGTTATTTACATAAGCATTGCTGCCCGTTGCACTGTTGCTGCCGCTGCTAACATTTGATCCACCATTGTTGCTTGAAGCATAGCCATATGAGTTGCCATAGCCATAGCTTCCAGCAGGTGATCTTCCGTTATTTACATAAGCATTGCTGCCCGTTGCACTGTTGCTGCCGCTGCTAACATTTGATCCACCATTGTTGCTTGAAGCATAGCCATATGAGTTGCCATAGCCATAGCTTCCAGCAGGTGATCTTCCGTTATTTACATAAGCATTGCTGCCCGTTGCACTGTTGTGGCTGCTAACATTGATCCACCATTGTTGCTTGAAGCATAGCCATAGAGTTGTATGGCCATAGCTTCCAGCAGATGATTTCCGTTATTTACATAAGCATTGCTGCCCGTTGCACTGTGCTGCCGCTGCTAACATTGATCCACCATTGTTGCTTGAAGCATAGCCATATGAGTTGCCATAGCCATAGCTTCCAGCAGATGATCTTCCGTTATTTACATAAGCATTGGCCCGTGCACTGTTGTGCGCTGCTAACATTTGATCCACCATTGTTGCTTGAAGCATAGCCATATGAGTTGCCATAGCCATAGCTTCCAGCAGATGATCTTCCGTTATTTACATAAGCATTGCTGCCCGTTGCACTGTTGCTGCCGCTGCTAACATTTGATCCACCATTGTTGCTTGAAGCATAGCCATATGAGTTGCCATAGCCATAGCTTCCAGCAGATGATCTTCCGTTATTTACATAAGCATTGCTGCCCGTTGCACTGTTGCTGCCGCTGCTAACATTTGATCCACCATTGTTGCTTGAAGCATAGCCATATGAGTTGCTATGGCCATAGCTTCCAGCAGATGATCTTCCGTTATTTGCGTAAGCATTGCTGCCCGATCCGCTAGTACTACTGCTTGTAGTTGTACCACCATTGTTAAAGGCGTTAGAGTTTCCATAGGCAAAGCTGTTTCCAATCGGACGGTTTAAGTCATTTATGAGCGGGATAGGGCTCCTTCGGAAATCAAAGAATTGTTTCCCCAGCAGTCTGTAAAGGGGATAGGGCTGGGGTCGATGTATGTCCTCATACTTCAGGAATATGTTGACATTGGGTTGAACCTGGCACGGTGAGCAGGTCCTGATCGGACCAGGATTATCTGTGGAAATAATACCGAACAAAGTTTTTTAAATTGAAGCGGTAGATGTAAAGCTTATGTAAAGTTAGTATGTCGGGCTTTGTAAAATATGAATTAACTAATATATATATTAATATAGTGTTTTATTGAACCAATTTATTTCAGTTTCACAAAAGATATAACAAATACAAAAGAGTTGTGAAATGGAAGAAAGTAGGGATTCGGCTCGTTCATTATGCATTGGGAGGTGAGCAAGAGACTGAGTTCCAACAAACTTAATAAGAAGAAAGAATTCAAAAATAAGAAGAAATGATGAATATTGTCATACTTACAAATTCTCGGCAAAGCAAAAGCCGAGACAGTTGATCCTGTAAACTAAAGATACAAATATTTAATTAAAAAAACCCGCTCCAAAAGTTTTTATAATAGAAATCAAAATATCGGCAATAATCTATCTATCTATATTAATATATAAAGCTGAAGAGTTTGTTTGTTTGAACGCGCAAATCTCAGGAACTAAGGGTTCAAATTGAAAAACTGTTTTATGTTGATTAGATTGATAGAAGCGCAGATACACCGGAAAATGTGAATAAAACGGGGGAAGTTTTTCGTCTTCTTGGGTTTCCGATGTGTAGGCTGCGAAAACGGTTCAAGACACCCAACAAATATGTATAAAAAAGCCGTAACGCTAGTCTATCTTGTAAGATTAACTTGCAAGAACGACGGGAAGAGATGCGACCGACGTCGTGGGTAGTAGCTTAAGTTTATAAAGATAAAGCGGTTTGCAAAAACTAATTTGGATGTCCAAAATAAATATTCTTAGCGGACGAAGTCGCTGGCACAGCTAGTTTAAAATTGATTGCTAAAATTCATAATAAAGGCAATTTCTAATTTGATGTAGATTCAAGCCGACGAATCTCTTTCATTGACAATCTATCGTGTCGCCGTTTACTCTAAATAAATATTTAAAAAAAATAACACAAAAAAATATGAAAAAAAAAAAACAACTTTTCCAAAAAAAATACTTTGAAACCAGTTCAAAAAAATTTTCCCGAATTACTTTCTGATGATACAAGAAGAAATAAATTTATTTACAACTATAGGCCACAAAAAAATTATTCTTAGAATTATTACTAATCAGAAAAATAAAGCATAGTTTAATCTTAACAGTATAAAGTAATTAGTGTGCAAGTTGGTAGAAAGAACTCAGCTTATATCAGGCCCTTTGTTGACTTGAAACAGATTTTCAGTAAGTCCTTAGAGTGGGGGCAGCAGTATGTATTATTTAGTATTTCTGTATGTACAAAACAGATAAACGAATGGAACTTTGACACGTCTGTACATACAAAAATAATTGGATACAGGTACTCGACTAATACAATATTAAGTAATTTTGGACACCAAAATAACATTTTTGTTATATCTTAGTTGAGGAGACCAGGGACGCTTTTGGGTCACTTGATAGAAGGTGCAATACCTTAGCCATATACATCTAGATAAAAAACAGCTGTCAACGTATTTTTGCTTTGGATATTCGGAAATCTAAACTGAAATGAAACTTCACGGCTTTTTCATCTGTGAACGTGGTTCTCGACTCAGACGTAATATCGATATTGCTCTACCGATCCTATTTTATATAAAAAAATGACCGGTTGATTATAAGCCATACATTGCCACTATTTTTATTATTATTTTTTGAACCCTGCTTAATCTTTAAAAGAAAATATGAATAAGATTGTGTAATTCTAGCATCGAAAAATATTGGTTTGTTAATTTTAAATAAATGAAAACTCACCAAACACAGCAATGCCACAACAAGAGCCATCTTTGAGTACTACAATCCGTATTGCAATTCTGCCTTTTATATTACAAAAACAAAAGGCTGTTTTCCATTATTCAATAAAATGCGACACTTGTTCAAATATGTATAAATTTTTAATTAATTATTAAATTAATTGCTAAATTGTCTCTTTCAACATTGAGAGGTTTAAAAATTATAAAACATTTATGTGCTTAGACGTAAACGAATACGATCACGACGTAAGTATTTACGTAAATGTAAAAGTCATTAAACTAAGACCAATGTATGGGTAATATTCACGGGTCGTATGTACGATCCCCACCGGCCCCACCTCATTTCACTAATCAAATAAAACCTGCACATTAAATTTTCAAACTATATAAATCGTACATAGGCCGACATCCGACACCGCATCTAATACAAATATCTATAGAAATAAATTTAGTTGAAGAGATTGTTTGTTTTAACGCGCTAATCTCTGGAACTACTTGTTCGAATTGAAACATTGTTTTTGTATTGGTTAGAGCATCACGATGCAACTTATTAGAAGCGAAGAAACAGCGAAAAACTATTAATATTTGTGGGTTTCCGTTGCATATAGAAAATATATAAATATATACATATATATATGTATGAATAAGTGATTCCTCTTTATATGGTCTAAAAAAATGTTCGCGACGCTATGTTGTTGTCTATCTTCTAATATTAACTTGCAAGAAATTGACGCGACCGACGTCGTGGAGAATATTAAAATCTATAAAGATGAAGTGGCAATTTGCGAAAATAAATTGTGATGCCCAAAACAAGTATTCTACGCGGAGGAAGTCGCTGGCACAGCTAGTTCGGTTTAAAGACATTTATTTCCCACTAAGATTACAGGAATCACTTATATGAGAAACTTATTAATAAAATATAATATATAAAAAATATAATATAGTTAGGTATATAGCTGGTGTATTACACCTTCCGTCAAATGAACCCCGCACTTGTGTGTCTATAGTTTACGCGAGTAGTAACATTTAAATAAAAACTTTAAGGTTTAAACGCGATATATTAGTTAAACTTATTTTAAAATGATTTCTAAGTTCGGCCCGACGTTTCGGATGCTTTGCAGCAGCCGTGGTCACGGGGAGACTGACTCTGTCTCCCCGTGACCACGGTTTTTTAAACCGTTAAAGTGTTTTATTTAAACTAATACTAAATTTACAATCATAGTATAATAATTGTGCGATGATATGTTTGTACTTCTCACCTCCTAAACAGCTTATTCGTAAAATTTAGCGCCAACGGAGCATTCAGAGTTTGAAGTATTGTAAAATATATTTAAAGGGAGAAATAAAACTGAAAGGATTTTTAAAACTTTTTAACAAATAAAATAATAATAATTGCCTTCTTGGTCTAGTACTTTGAGCACTCCAGTGGTACATAGAATCAAACGGAAATTTGGAATTGGAGATGTCATCACCCTCGTGTCTAGCAGAACTTGAGTTGGAGTAGTACGGTGGTTCCAGAATCTACAAAAACCTTTATTGCATAGGAAAAGATATTATGTTATGTGTGTCCTAGCATTGGGACTATTATTGGTTAGGACTAATTCAATAAATAACTTTCTTCCTCTTTTTAAAAGTTTTCCTCTATTAACTTCAAATAATCTACAAAATAAATAAACAAAATAATTTTTTCACCTGTTTAATAAACAGTCTTTTCGTAAAGTCGTAACATAAAATTTTACGTGTAAATTTATATTTAACTCAGGTTGTGTATAAAACGATTTATGGAGAGTTTCCGCCGAGGGCCATGTGGTTCTGCGCGAGCGCACTCGTGCGACCACGAGTTTGGAAATCTACGGACATAAATGAGTCGAGTTTAAGACGCGACCTGTCTTAATCCCCTACAATAGTTGTCGTGTAAACGAGTTATAATATAATTATCTAAAAATTACTTTAATTCTTACATTGAAAATTCCTTAGCTAATCTATACTAAAAAAGCGCAAACTGACGCAGTTTTATTAATACTTAACTCCAGAAGTATTGAGTACAGTATATTAAGAAATTCCGATCCGATAAGTCTTTAATTAGGAATATTTTCCTTATGTACAGTTATATCTACTTTATTTAACATTAAAACTAATTTTAATTTCTTTTTTCAGCTCTCACCATTTACAATTACATTTACAAACATGGTGACATTTTTAAAATAATTCTGTCAGAATTATTTTAAAATTGTTTTGAAGTTTGAAAATATAGTAATAAAAAAAAAAAAACTGTTTATGACTTGACATTATATCTTTATTAGGGCTTCATCGCTTTTGTGGTAAAAGCTCCCGCGTAGTCAAGTCTGTCTTTTGTGCTTCTTACCCAAATCACACCAATCCTTGGAGTCGTTCTGCCACCCGCTAACCAACGGTTTTCCTTGACTCTTAAGGTGTCTAGACCAGACCCTTCAGCTTTATTGTTGTCTTCCTAAATATATTATGTTTGATATTCCGTTGGCAAGTCCTGAGTTTAAATTGGACATGCATAAGAAGACACGATATCAACAATATTTCCCTTGCTTTTGTTTAAATGATTAAACACGCAACGTCAAGTTTAAATCGTGGTCACCCTACACGTAACAAAAATACACTAGTAATTTGTTTTATAGTTACAAATTAGGTATTCTACTTTGATGTTTAGCCAATTGACTTCTGATTCATACTTCTTACGGAAAGCCGCGTTGGAGTATTACTTTTGTGGAATGGTTGGGGTTCGTACCTCGTCCGTGCACCAGTACATATAAATTTGTCTATCTATCTATCTATAGTTCGACGTACTTTTCCATGAAGGAAACATATTACACCATGAATTGGAGGAGGAGAATCAAATCCCAGCTGTGAGCTGTGGGAACTGATAAAGGACCATTTAATCACGAGTCTGATGACAACTCTTCATTTGTTCTGGTACTTAATTGATTCTACATTCGTCTTCTTTTATGACAGACAAGTATCGGCGTCACCTGATTAAAGGTGAAACAAACCAGACATATAATAACATCTTAACAGGTTGCACTGTCAACCTATTTGGCTTTGGACCTTCGGAAATCCACAGACTGAAGACGCGATTATAATATACGATTTTTACGATACGATAATAAATTGAAAAAGAATAGGACTCTACTTAAACCACCGAGTCATATCGTTATGTCGTAAATATCTGTATCTTTTATGATTGATTGAGTTGTGTAGATTAGTCTTAACAAAACAACGCTGCAGGACGCTACAAGTATCAAGTGAGTATAATTAGAGTATATTATTATTGATTGTATTTACGACTAGCTGGCCTGTATGACGATAATTTTCCCCGTTTTTTCCACATTTCCCACTGTTTCTAGGTTTCTATTCGACGCATTGTGATTTTACAGCCTAAAGACTTCTTTGAGTACTATAACCAACACGAAAAGAATATTTCAATTCGAACCAGTAGTTCCTGAGATTAGCGCGTTCAAACAAACAAACTCTTCAGCTTTTTATATTATTATATTGCATAGATTAATATTCCATACAGTTTCAAAGCATTCACATCACGCCGCTTACGCTGATGCTGATAGAAATTTCCTTAATTTTTTTTCTTGTTCTTGTTTTTCGAGAATCGAACTCTGGGCATTGAATAAATAAATTATTTGTTTATTAACACTAAGTACGAAATTTATAGCTAAAACCTTCAAATAAAACAAAAAATACAATAATTGAAAGATAGAAAAAACAGGACAATTTTAACTTTGGGCTGTAAGGCAACAAGACTCAACTTGTCAGCTGGCTAAGCGCTGATTTTCAGTCTGTCCCTTATGATAACGAGTAGTACCAAAATTGTAGAAAGTTAGAACGTAGTTATCAATACTCGATAGCACTAACCACTGAGATATCGTTTGTTGACGCAGACGCTAGGTCATACAAGTAATATTTTACGTCGCATCATTATTTGTTCAGCTTTTTTACATTGACTGTCGCAAGTGAACTGTTTAAATTTTTTGTTAAATTTTGTTTTCACCGTTGGCTCAGTGACAGAAAATATAAAAAGGTGGGTTGTGACTTCGATTCTTGAATTCAGCTTATTTCTTCACACTAAGATTTTTACTTCGTGGGAAGACTTTGCTGAAGCTAAAGAATTTGTTTGTTTGAACGCGATAATCTCTGGATCTACTAATTCGAATTGAATAATTATTTTTGTGTCGGTCATATATGCCGCAAAACCTGTATCATAGAATGCGAGTATATGCGAATGTGTTGTATACTTTTCAGATGTTTACACAGTAATTAGCTCCTAGGTGCACACAATATGAACAGCTGTAAAGTATAAAGAATTTGCGTCATAAGGTGAATAATCTCTCAGTTTATAATACAATTTTAACTGTTTAAACGCAAAATATTTAAGATAACACATTCTTCATTTTTATTATTTACAATTGATTTTATTAGAGATGGAAGTAACGATGAAAAAGATTTTCCTATTGATAGCAATTTTCTTTGTTCCTTCGCTCTAATGGTCAGCTTTTATCCTAAAGCTGCCTCGATAATCTCTAACCGAACAAAATATTTTTTTAATTGGAACTAGTAGTTCCCAACAACAAACTTTTCACTTTATAATCTAATATATAAAATTCTGTTAGCGGTGTTCGAACTTGAACTCCTCCGAAACGCTCACCGATTTTCACCAAATTTGATATGTGTATTCAGTAGGTTGAAAATAGGACAAAATCTATTTTTTATCCCCTAAGTGATAAGGGTTTTCACCCTTACATTTTATTTATTATTTTTTACACAAAATTTTTAATTTCTATTTTTTTATATACAACATACAAAAATATATACAATCCTCAATTTTCACCCTTCTAGATCAACCCTTATTTTATAATAGACATTTTAGTAAAATTATTTATATGGCAAAACAACTTTGCCGGCTCAGTAGTATTAGTATAGAAAAAACAGAGTAACTAAGTTGCTAGAGTAACAGCGCGAAGGGGAAGTTAGTTCACATCTGATGTGTCATTAAATATTAATATAAATATAAAAAATGTAAATAACTTGCATTAATTTAAAAATCGAAAATAAATGGAAAACATTTTCGATTCGGGCAGGACTTAGACCGGCATCGTCAGCGTTCCGTGCTGTTGCTCAAAATTTTTTTTTCAATTTATTTTCGATTTTTATATTTTATAGTGCCTTCATGTGTAAAAAAACAGTAATTCTTCAGGTGAGTAAAAAAACTCAATTAAAGTATAAAATTATTTATTTTGGAATATTCTTTGGTACAACATTTCAGTTCGTATAAATTAAAACACATTTAATATTTACAAAACTAGCTTAACATTATTTAAATCTAATCTACATAAAAATTAAATATAGACTTCAGTTTTTAAATACTCATTATCTTAGTATATTCTTATCTCACGAATGGTCTTAGGTTCGAGTCCAGAAATCATCAAGATTATATAGTTATGTCTGTGGCCGCTATAACAATAAATAAAAAAAACATACTATTTGACGGACTCATTCATCTAATGGTAGCATTATATGGCTAATAATAATCAAATGGTCATCAACTAATAGTTTTCTAAAACACGTTGGTCTTCGTCTGGAAGTCTGGATATTAAAGGATGGTAGGGATATCGAAAATTCCGTCCGACTCACGAATTACCACAACACAAAATCCGTGAAGCTTAATCGCGTTTCGGTTGCCGTCCGATTTAGGAATTTCGAAAGCCAAAATAGGTCGATAGCACATCCTGTCGAGATGTTATATGGCTGGTGTATTTAACCTTTCACGAGCGAATGAATGCTTGTCTGTACTCCTGTAGAAAAAAGTAATTAGTGTAAATTAGTATTTTTTCTAGATAATTATTAAGTATAATACATATAAGAGCTGTCTGTAGTTTACGCGAGTAGTATACATTTAAATAAAACACTTTAACGGTTTAAAACGCGATATATTTTAGTTAAACTTGTTTGAAAATTAGTTCTAACTATGGCCCGACGTTTCGGATGCTTTGCAGCAGCCGTGGTTTCCCCGTGACTGATGAAAATGTGAAAAAATTTTAAAACAAGTCTAACTAAAATATATCGCGTTTTAAACCGTTAAAGTGTTTTATTTACAAAGAGCTATATTTACAGAAAAACACATTGACTGGATTTCTTAATTAATTCTGTAAGTTCGTTTCGCTTTTCAATTCGAGCGCCCAAACGTGCTGAGGCCAACCTGTTCTGCCTTTGCCCTTTTTGTCTGCTGAGTTCTGAAACAAATATAATTCATTAACTCGTGTAGGGATTCCCACTAGTGGGATTTAACTCGCATACTGGTGGCCCGCCGACAGCAAAAATAATACTTTATTACTAATTGAGTTATTTGAATCAATTGTTTATAAATTTTAATACATTATGATTCTTTATTGCCTTAATTACTTATACTTCTGGCGACCCGCCACCAGTTCATGATTTGCCCGAGTGGCCCAGTCTGTGCATCCCTGAACTAGACGATACTGTGATAAAATGTTATCCCCTCAGCCTCCATAAAAACTACCACACTAGCATTGTAACGGCGGCAATAACATTTGTCATTCTTATTATCATTTTGTGACGTTCTTCTAAATTTACCGAAATTGATTAAATTTTGCGTAGTGGTAATTCTTAGTTTGGAATAACGAGAGTTTTAAATATGTTATTCCTTTTAATAAAACACTATTTAACGATTTAAAACGCGAATAGTATTTGTTAACGTATGAACAATTTATTGCTTCTTTTATTAACGATTATAGATTCACTATAATCGTTAATTTATTTAATTTTAATAATTAAATAATTTCAATCAATTACTTTTTTTAATACGTGTAAAACGTGTCGTCTGTAAAAGCTGGCTGCATAAAAGAGAACGTGACGTGTAACCTTGTTACAGTTTCAGTAATTGCCAAAATAGGCCGGCAGCACATCTGGTTGTCAAATGAACCATGTTTGTCCTCATCTATCATAAAAAAGCGGCGCCGCGGAGTGACTTAAAATATTTGTCAAGTACCTACTTGTTAGATTATGCATACGGGAGTCAAACGGTTCTTGAGGTTTGAAGAGATAAACAAATAATGCGGCCATCAGTAACAAATGGGTGTGTACTGAAAACCAACTGAACAGACTGAATATCAGCGCTTATCAAAACACGCTGAGTACAGGCTGAATTTGACATCTCTTAGAACAAAGTTTAAAGTTATTTTTCATACTTTGATAGTTGTATTTTATATTTTATTGAAGTATGTTGTTTTTGTTTGTTAATAAACGGATTATTTAGCTTGTAGATTCAATGGAACATTTTTAACGCGATATACTTACTTATACGATAGACGATATACATACTTTTTAATACGACACAACTATTTACACACTTCTTACCAGTATCTAGTTTAAAATACATTGCATTGTTTAACAAAATTTTAATTTTCAATTCTTGATCGGGCTTTAAAAAAAACAGGTTCAATTCAGTAATCCACATTATACATTTTTTCAGGCCTATTTAAAATGCGTCATAATTTTGTTTTTATAACTTCTATCACACAATTCACTATTGCATTGTAAATCAAAATTTGTAACAAACATACCGACAAAAACATTACCCTCCATGTTGACTTATTCGGGTAAAAAGTGTTTGTTTATTGTAGACCTTCGCGTATTTAGGTCAGGTACCTGCTTGTCTATGGCTGATCGACACGTGCTTGACTCTTCCTGTTTACGTATCGACCTCGGTCTACTGTCTCTGGCTTACGTCGGGAGTCAAGTGGGCGTTTTTGGAATCGATACTTCTTATTGACACAATCAATTTATTATTCCACGGATGTAAGCAGGGATGTGAGGATGTTTGCTCCAAATGTTATATAAACGGCTTGACCGATTATGATGAATTTTGTCAAAAATTCTTTACGTTGATTTATAATTCAACCAGTTACAATTAAAGGATTAAAGCTAAAGTGATTAATACGTTAGTCTCGTTGGTATAATAATGCAAGGGTCCTGATTTGCCTTCTCACCAAGTTTAATTAATATATTTACATGTTATTAAAAATCACATTCCCGAACAACAACAGATAATCAATCAAGAGAACTTTATGCTTGTCCTTTATAAAAATAATGACTGCGCTGTTTCAATTAAGAAAATACTATACCATTGTAATTTATCCGAGTTGCACCTAAATATTCAAATAAGTCCACTTTTAACGGTTTATAACGCGAAATATAGTTTCTAATTACTTTAATTGTCAGTACTCCCCCGTGACACAGTAACGCATTCGAAACGTAGAGATGTAGTTACAATAATTTTAGAAAATTTGCGTTTTACCGAAAAAGTGTTTTATTTTTATAGTTTATATTGTTTTATTTCGAAATACGAAATCAAGTGTAGACTACACTCTACACTTCTACAGTATAGAAGCGTACGCAACTAAATATACCCCAAACGAAAACCAGACACCGTATCTTTATTACTCGCTAATCTAATAACCACGAACCACATGGCCCGCCATTACTAAATTACGTGGCACCAATTTTATTTCATCTCGTTCTACGAAAGAAATTTCTAAAAATATTTGGACAAAAACGCATATATATATATTAGTTAAACTTATTTGAAAATTATTTTAAATACGGTCCGACTCTTTCGAAGTCCCCCCGTGTCCACGGCTGCTGCAAAGCATCTGCAACGTCGGGTCGTAGTAGTAGTAGTTTCAAATAAGTTTAACTAATACATATATGTCGCGTTTTAAACCGTTAAAGCGTTTGATGTCTTGTCTCTATGTATAAATCTAGCTTAACCGCTTTTGAAAAACTTAATAAAATAACCCGCTACATTTAATAAACTTCAACGTTTTAGAAGTCGCGTATGTATCTTCGGCGCTCAAGATTAAACCATAGATTAAAAATAACCACAGATAGACATCAATTAGTGCACTGATACAGATTAAAAATATCATTTACCGTTCCACTTGAGAATATTCTCAAGGGAATGCGATATGCACTTGTAACGTGCACTTACAGGCGCCCGATTGACTGCATTATACAGCGTGTTTCAAATGACACGACATTTGTCTCTTATTAATAAATAGTACGTTATTTTCATCAAATAATAATGACCTACAATTTTGTGTAACCACGTAAGTAAGATTAAAAAAAACTGTTCAAGTCATTTGGCCGTAAATATTAGCAAAGATTTACATTATGAGCAAGTATTTATATTGTTAAATAAATAGTAGATAGTAGTAGTAATGATTAAAAAAAAAAAAAAAAAAAAAAAAAAAAAAAAAAAAAAAATTATAGTGAAATTGGTCAAGTAATTTTTTTGCAACGGTTTAAAATTGCGTTTTAACCGTTAAATTAGTATCATCTTTATTACTCTCATAAATGATAATTACATTTTCTTTATGACAGAGGTCAGACAAGCATGGGGTTCTCTTGATGTGCTATCGACCTATTGTGCTTTTTATATTCGGAAATCCACTGACTGAATGTCGTGCTTAAACTTCATGGCGTTTTCATCTGTGGACGTTGGTTCGTGACCCTGACGGAATCTCGATATTCCTACCACGCATTTAACATTTAGATGTCCTGATGAAGTCTAACATGTTTCAAAAAAATATAAATTTAAAACATGTTAGACCTGGTGGGTTTCGAACCAACGATCCATTGATTATAAGCGATGCATTGCTACAATTAGACCAACAAGTCTATATGATGGTTCTCATGTTACCTGGCTATGGTCTGTTGTCCTCCGTCTTGGTGGTGTGTGATGCAGCTCAGCTCGGAATCCACCGGCTGGTTCTCCATCACTTTCCAACACTTTTAATAAGTAGGAGATATATGATGTCGCCAGTCGGAGTGTTTTTATCTGTGAAAATAATATAATCTGTTATATTTGCATATGACATTTGTCTTATGCTTATAGTTATATTATCTGTTATCACATAGATTAAAAAATCTAATAAAACAATATAGAAAGACACAGAAAAGAGCAGACACATATCTGTGTCCACTAATTGATTCGATTTTTAGGTTTTCGACCGAATGCAGTCCCAGTCCCTTTTAACCGAAATAGTAGTTTTTTCAACCGAAACATGCTTAATCAAATATTTAATGATGTACTAAACAGTATTATTTTACAAATTCCTGTTCGATTCTTGGCAAAAAAAAATCACCAACAATCACTTCACATATTGTAAATGATTAATACCTCAAAAAATAATTTCTTAAAGATGGCTTATATTAAACGGAGATAGATAGATTTTAATGGAACTTATGAGGAGTGTAAGCTTTTTTCGTAATAAATAGTGATGATAGCTAAAAATACAAAAAAAAATCTGTCCTTAACTGAACATATATATATATATAAAACCTTAACCTCTTTAGAAAAGAAACAGATATGAAAATAATTAGATGCAACAGATTATGCCATTAATAAAAGATTTCAAGTATTTTTTTCTCAAAAAAGTTTTTTTATTTTTTTTTGTAAAATGTCAAATTCGTACCTTAGAAAGTTTTGTATCAGGCGGGACGTTAGGTATACGGCCTCTGAGGTCCGTAAATGCTGTATTTATGCTTTCCGTCCTTCGCCTTTCTTTCTATAGACAATAAATTTATTCTTTATTAAAAAATAACGAACCAAAAAGGCATAATTTAGATTAAACACTTATAAAGGTTTAAAACGCGGTACATATATTCGTTTTAATGTATTTAAACTACGGCCCGACGTTTCGAATGCTTTGCAGCAGTCGTGGTCATGGGGGGACTGAAAGGGAGTGTATCTTCAATGTCATATATATTTATATACTATGTATTGTTCCTATATCTGTGTTCCTTCGTTTGTATGGTAAGTAGGTGACACCGGTTTATAAAGTATAATAATACAATTAGACAATGTATAGTGACATTTTAATTACCTTTGATAATTTTGTGTCCGGCGGCACATTCGGTATACACTCTCGTAGATCTGTGAAAGCAGTGTTTATACTCTGTGTTCGTCTTCTCTCCTTTTTATTAGCTGTGGTCCTGCGTTTGACAACTCGGACGAAAGATGGCGGCGCTCGGTCAAACCGTGGTAAGGATTGCATGTCGCAGTCAATACCTGTTGACAGGTAACAGAATATATAGCAATAAGTAAAAGGTAAATATTTTGATGATAAAGGACGACTGACAAGTTGTACTATGGAATGTGAAGTAGTCCAACCATGTAACATCTCACAGGATGTGCTGTCGGCCTATAAGTGTTTCAGTTGCAAAAATACATCGTACTTTGGCTTTGGATATTTAGAGATCCACAAATTGAACCCGAAATGCCATTAATCTTCACGGCTTGTTTAAAGTTCGTCTAATAGTAGAATTGTATAACTAATTATTTTAATTTTTACTGCCACGACCTTATTAGGTCGTGGCTTCGATCCCTACCTATTCCAGCATATTTTCACTCAATTTATTATTTTTCTAAAACATGGTCTGAAAATCTAAATATTAAATATAGGTAGGAATATCAAAATTCCATCACGGGCACTGACCATCGGCCACCGTTTAAAAAGCCCGGAAAACTGAAAATTAATCGCGTTTTGGTCTTAGCAAAGGGCAAAATACGTCGACAGCGCATTTTCTTTATAAGTTATATATCTGTGGTATACCTTTCATCAAGTGAGCCACAGGTTTAACTGTCCTCCTTTATCATAAAAAAACTTCAAGAGGACATGCGTCCCAGCTATTTGAACCATAAGATAACTTACCAGAGCCATTTTGTGAATAATTGTGATGAATGATGTTGTGATGATAACTGTCATATGGTTCGTTTGATACTTGCATTTCGTCGTAACCTGCGAAATAAGTTACTTATGTAAAGTTCGAAGAATTACTTATGTAAACCCTTGTTACACAATTTAAATATGAGACAAAGATATCGACTTCTAAGCATCAATAATCGGTGAGTGATTTGGACAATAAATATATCCTTGAGATATATTTATTGTATACGAAAGACAAACATTTATTATCGTCTCGTCGAGAAGGAGTACGAGACAAACACATTATGTGTGTCCGTCGCGTGGATCTAAGTCATTTTAGCGCAAAACTAAAAAAAATTTTTTCTTAAAAAAAAAAAAAAAAACTACTTGTGTTTTACAGGAATCAAATTATTTTCCAGTATCCATTTTGTTTGAAGAAGACAAATAAAATCTGGGGGGGTGTTTTTTTTTTTTTTTTGATACGACGAATGAACGAAACTATGTTTTTAACCTTTTTCTGTCTGTTTCGTACAAATTATAATAGTATAATATTATTTGAAATCCTACAAAACTCACCATAACTCCTGCTTATATAATTATTTGTGTCATTGTACATATCCTGGGAATCGAACTCGTGTATTTCGCTAGAATTCGGCCAGTAAACGCCGCCATCCATTGGGCTACCTAAGAATAAAGAATAAACTTACTCATAAATATATTACATTCATTTAAATTACACTACTATGAATATTATTTATAGTAAGTAAGTTTTCCGTTTTTACGTATTTAGAATTAGATTAGAGGACTTGGATATATTGATACGTATGTAAAAATTGTTAAATTGTGAGCAGTGTAAGGGGTTGCAGTATCGACAATTATCCAACTCGCGAGATTAAAACGTTAACATATATAAACAATATCCTACCTTGGTGTGTCTGTTGGCAGTAAAAGGGAGGCTCGTAACGGTCAAAACCTTCATCCGGTGGAGTTGTGCTTCCATAACTCGACATTTTCTGAAACAAAGACCGCTATTTCAATGGCTAAAATATAATAATTATATTTAAGTCTCTGCCTTTATGATTAAATCCCATTACCACCAGTGGGGCGAAAGGTGTCCCTTCTGCGAAGTATATAAGACGCTATAGAGATTTCCAGGTGGACCTATGACTGTTGACATTTTACTGATCGGTTTTATTTACTGTGCTTTGCCCGAACGGAAAATTTATTGTTTCCCTGGTATTCGAACCCAGGACCTCTCGCGCTTAACGCAACGCTCGAAAGGCGGTGTATGTATACAAATTATACGTAGGTAAATTACATATTAGGTAAAATATATGACATCGACTAAACAGATCTCTTTTATCATAGAAAAATTAACAAATATATCTTTCGTCCAACTAGAATTACCTGCGTAACATTAAGACCAGAAATGTGCTATGCAGCTATGCTGCGAAGATATGAAATCTATTTCCTATATAATAAGTGACCGTTTCCACCACGAGAAAGATGCGTATCTCAAGCAAGCTTTGTATTGTTATTAGGAGAAGCAGCGCGATCTCGCTTTCGCCTTGTCCGAAATGGGCTTTGATGCTGGGAGCTTTGGAGTCGTACAAGTAATTCGTACAAGTGTTTAGTGGTTCTCGCTATACGATATACCACAATCCCCAAGTCACTATTGTCCGACGTGGGCATAGCACACAACATAGCACATCTCTGGTGGAAAAGCACCCTAAGGCTTTAAAATTATACCTACTCGTGTTTCATTTGATATCAAAGCGAGCTATAGACGTGTAAACCTAGGTAGGTGAGATAAATTTTACGTAACCTATTCGTCTAGATAACAGGGATGGTCCGCTATGTCCAATAGGAGAGGAATACCAATTATGAAGACTAAAGGGTACAACTATAGCATCAAGTACACCTTCGGTTGTACGCCCTTCTTTCATGTTAAATATTGCCCTCCCTCAAACACGATTCTGAGTGGATGGATGTGTCATCAACTTTATGCCTATAAGTCTACGTAAGTAATAATCTACCAGTCGAGCGATGACGCCCCTCATAAGGGAAAAATTATTCCACTCATTACTATTGGATTGCATCCAACGATGATACATGATAAAATTTTCACTAAATTCTTGTTTCACTAAGCTTGAAATAAAACACTTTGAAAAGTACTGTCTGTAGTTTACGCGAGTGATTTAACATTTTATTGACAATTTTTTTTTTTTAACTTCGAAAACGTCGGGCCGAAGTTAAAAATCATTTCCAAATAAGTTTAACTAATATAACGCGTTTTAAACCGTTAAAGTGTTTTATTTAAACTTTGAAAGGTTTCAAACACGAAAAATAGAAGTTTATTTTTTGTCAATCAAATGTCAAATCAAAACAGCTGCTGCTAGATGGCAATAGTGTAGCAGTATTGTCTTTGATATTACGGACAACCTCCATTATTAGGCGCCCAGTGACCAGAATTGCTGCAAAGCATCTGAAACCTCGGGCTGTAGTTAAAGTACATTAAACATAAGCTATCTAATATAATAAAGTTGTGGAATCTAGGCTACCCAAAATATGTTACCGTTACCACCAATACTATGCTAGTTGCAAGGAAGAAATGCATCTCTTGACTCTAGTTTGTATCGTTTCTAGGAGGGAAACCGGGAGGCGAAAGCCCATGGCAGGCATCCTTCTATATAAAATTACATCATAGTTAATTCCGTTTCCACCTTTGCTGACCTGCGTGCACCAAAGAATATGATTGGTGCACATCAAACGCATCCATAGCATCGTAGCATAGGACGTCTCTGATGGAAAGGCACCCTAAGCTTTCAAAAATATACCTACTCGTGTTTCATTTGGTATCAAAGCTAGGTAGGTGTGATTAACTTTAGGTATCCTATTCGTCTAGGACCAATGGTACGCTAGGACCAATAGGAGCTACCTGGTATTGGTGCAAACTGTCACATAGGTATTTTGGTAGCGTAGGTTCCACATTGTCATCAAAAAAGAGAAATTAAATTTATTTCACTTTAACTACAGCCCGAGGTTTCGGATGCTTTGCAGCAATTCTAGTCACTGGGGGGGACTAACAGTAGCGTAGCTAGGTGGACAAGGGACCCCTGTCTACCAATTCCTAAGGCTCAAGAAAGAATTGGGTCCTCGACTAGGGTAATTAAATGATAGACTTTAATAACATCAGTGAACTTTGAATGCGCAGGATGGCATCGTGAGTTTGAGAGAGACGTCGTGAATCGACACGTTACGACGTCGTGTCGTGAAACGACGTCGCATCTTGCACGTGGCGTCATCGTAAAGTGTTTGTGTGTTTGAGCCCTTATTGGTCCTAGCGAACCATCCCTATTGCCTAGACGAATAGGATACCTAAAATTATCTCACACCTACCTTTACTCGCCTATAGCTCGCTTTGATACCGAATGACACAGAGAAGGTATAATTTGAAAGTCTTACGTTGCTTGTCCACCAGAGTGCTATACTTTGATGCTATGGATGCGTTTGGTGTGACCATGTAGATGCTCGACACGGCTTTAACTAAGGTGTATTTTTAGATTGATTTGAAATTATTTACTAACATATTTCGTGTTTTAAACCGTTAGAAGTGTGACCGTCAAGTGCAATAATGTGTGAAAAATTAATGTTTTTTCTTTTGCCACAATCGTTACTTTTGGAACAACCCATTTTGTTAGTATTTGTAGGTTTTGACATCATTTAACGAAAATATTAACGTTTCAACGTAAACAGATAAAATGTGTAAAGCATGTGTGTTTAATTGCTTATCATGTGTGCACCGCGAAAGGCTAAGCGTGTGTCGGGTATTTTACAATAGATCCGCATAGAATTGAATTGCTTTACAGTATTTTATTCACAAGTTGGTGCAAATAAGAACTTTTTAGGTATTAATCTACATTAAAAAATTTAAAGCATTTAATTTCGTATATCTATAGAACAAGCTGGACTCGAACCATGGACAGATGTCGTTGCTCTATTTTTAGAACTGGTGCATAATCGAGCTCATTGGTCTGTGGAATGATAGCAATGTATGGCTAATAATCGACGGGTAGTGGATTCGATCCCCATCGGTCCAACGTTTAGATAAACTGAAACATGCTGTAGCCCAGCTGTCTAAAAACTTGGATATTAAATTGGTGGATCAGTCAAGTTATACAAAAAACACACGTTTAGTACTGACCTAAGACAACATATTTTTATCAAATATAATTAAGGATCCCTAAAAATTACTTCCGGAAAGTATTATGAGAAAATGTTTAGATGCTAAAACAAGAAACTACAGAGTGGTACGAAATATGCCTATTGCGGGTTCGAGATTCGCTTTCATAGATCGCAGTAATTATTTCCCTAAATATTTAAAGCATATTACTGATTTTCTTATTTAACTTAGCTATAATATTATGTTCCCTGCCCGAGCGAAACTACTGCGTTCCTGGTTTCGAAAGTAAGACTATTCCCGCTTCAGGCAGTGCGTTTAATTACTTAACCACAGTGACTGTTGCTATACCTACCTATATTTTTTGGGATATCTCTATCAAAGTAGGTAAGTAAACATGTGGTAATGCGCTCTACCTACTTACATACAATTTTGGTATTAGGAGCGCGCTCAACGCAATATAAAACGAGGCAATACGCAACTAAGGCACAAATTATTAACAAAATGTTAATGAATACAATAGTTTTAATTAAGTTAGTATCTACTTACTTTTTTTTAATCAAATCTATTTTTCAGAATAAGCCAGGCAACACACCAATATTTTACATATCACAAAATTTTCACAGTCAACACTATATTATATCACTTGTAAAAAAATATTATTTTCTTAAATTGCGGATATCAAACCTTTTTTTATTTCACTTTTTTTAATACTGGCTACTGATAAAATAATTATCTTTTTAATATACTGACAGCACAAAGACGTTGTTAGAGTATGACAGATATACGCGCGGGAAACGTGAAAGGAGGTTGAATTCTAAACAAATACTGGAGATGAATCCCTGCTAGTTATTTCCGATTGGTGGTTGTGGGCGGGGCGTATTCTGTCCATTTTAAAACGTAATATGTCTCTGTCGCCTGTATTTACTAAATTAATATTTATTATATTCCTAAAATACTACTGTTAGTACAAGTATAGTAATATACTAGCGTTTGAGATAGTTATTCCTTACAGAGCTTTCGTGCGCTAGTAATACAGGAAAACATTTTTTGTACGTTTTTGTTAATTAAGTTTCAATGAAGTCTATTTCACATAATCTATGTACACACGTACCTATATCCTATTATAAAACATAAATGTATAGATAATACAAAAATATACAGAATAAGTATATTTGTGAAGAAATTAAAAAAGTGGGATACAGTAATAAAAAAGTAACTTATTTAAGTTCTTCTCCTCAGTACAGTCAGTTTATACAGATAAAGTAGCTTTAAGGAATAAAATGTTAATTCCGATATAAAACCTCTATCCAATTGCATAATTTTAAGTAAGTATTATTTATCTAAACTTCAAACAATAAATCTTTCTATTTGACAAGCGTGCTCACACACGCGATTGGTTGACATTCAACCAATCGGGCTGAGTCTGTGATTGGGCGGGAAAGTCGGGGGTACAGAGCTTTTCATATTTTACCCGTGATAACTTTCTTAAATGAATTTAAACTTTATTATTATTTGCACAGAAGCTATTTTCGAAGTCTAATGCGTGAGACATTTCAATTTAATTTTCGCCAGACATCTTCTACAGCCTCCTAAGTTAATTACATTAACATTATCTGCTTTGCCGTCATGTGCAACAACATGTAAAAAATATTAAAGTTTTCAAATAAAAACCTTTTTTTTTTTCTATAATTAAGTATATCGCAATAGTTGATAAGGTTTTATAACCGACGATGAACTAAACTAGAATTAGAAAATAAATTGCCGACTTAAAGCTAGTGCTACACAGTAGGTACCTATAGTGTTACAAAGGTTGCCTTGAAGAAGTTGCAATAGGCGATAAGGCCGTCTTAGAACAAACATTTATATTGCTATTGTTTTTTTTTTAGGTATCTATTTTCTGCTTCGTTGTAATTATGTTTGTGAATAATGGGTTTTGATTATAACTTATTAGACAAAACAGTTTTGTTACTGCGCTATGAGCGAGTATGCGAACAATTTAATTTCTCTAATAAAAAACAACAATCCTACCTAATTGCATTGCGCATTGTTTGACATTTTTTGTCAGTCTTGGCGAGTTCTTACTTAAGTATCTTTCATAGTTTTGTCGTTCGCGGAAATATTTCAGTACCTATCATCCATGGGGCCTCTTTGAAATCTGATGTTGCAACGATAGCGTTATGTGATTGTATAATTTCTGTATCTTTAATCTTTGTTTAACATTGTTTTAGTATTCATCAAGTTAACCTATCCTTCTCTATCAAAAAAACCAAATGGATAGACATATTTTCTTCGCTGGTGGTTCACCTCGTCACATTACACGAAAGATCCTCAGGTCTAATATGTTTGGGTAGTAAAAAGCTTTACCTATTTTTAATGGCCAAACTCAAAGTGATTGACAGTACGACCTTATTCGTCGATAAGAGTGAGAATGAGTAAGAGAAAGAAAAGATTAGAAACATGTTGGACACGATGGGTATCGAACTTGCGACCAAGGAGTTCTTCATAGTTAAATGTGTGTATAGCTGATTTTGCTTCCTCCTTATTTGTTAAAAGAATAGAGAAGCCTGAAGTTTAGAAGATAGACATCTCTTGTTTTCTTTCTCCATACGTTTCTATATTCGAACTTCCTCTTTTGAATATTTGAAATAAAAAGCGATAGATGGCGCTCAAACTAATAATACAAACGTCTATTTAGTTTATTAAACTGTACGTTGCTTCAAGGAAAATAAATAATCGAATTATCCTTGTACTGGATTTATAGATTAAGCTGCCACATAAAAAAAATTGAGAGTGGATTTCCGAAAGATGTCAGTTTCACATGGGAATTAATACAGATAACCTCGTTGTTAAGACTGAATAGTCCCACGTATCTTCAATAGATGTCACTGTAGTTAATCTACTAAAAGTTTATTAAAATTACAACCGTCATTTAGAAATACATATTAATTAATAATTCTGATTGTGTAATTATATAATAATTATTATTAGAATTGTATTTTCGGAGCATAATTAGTATAAAAAAAAACACCATTCCCCTTTAAGGCCATAAATAAAAGATTTGCATAAATTATAAAATTATCATTTATTAAAATCTTCACGTGTAAAACGTAATAATCACCAATGTTGTAAAACATGGATAAATTGATACAGATGTACAAGTTCACATACATACATTAAAATCTGAAACAAAAGAAAAGTACAATCAATCATCAAAGAATTTAAATAGATTTGAAATTGACACGGGCAGGACTTAAACCGGAATCCTAAGGGTTCGTGGTTTTTCCAATTAATCGACCATGTCTTACGCGTCAGCCGCGACTTTTTTCAACCTATTAAAATTTCAACATGCTTCTCTCACGCAAAATTTCCAGATAAGTATTAACACTCATTCTTCAATCTATCAAAGCAGACTAACAAACTCAAATGAATTAATTATTTCCATTGTAAATAAATATTTTAATAAACATTATGTTGTTCGTTAAATATTAACATCTGTTATGGTAATTCTAATAAAACTCACTTATTCAACAGCAGACGTGTCCAAATTAACATAACTGGCCCCCATATTCTCCTTGTGTCGAGATGAAGCTACATGCTTCTTCGCATTCTCTCCCTCACTAACATCACTAGCACAGACACCGCACTTCAACTTCCCGAAGGCATAATACACATACTTATTCCGAGACAGCATATTGATGTTGTGTTTGAGTTCAAGGTAGAACCGGAATATATTCTCAGAGTTCAACTTCTGCTTGAAATGCTCAGCGTACACTAAATGGCTTAAGAGCGATCGGATTGAATTCGACACATTACCACATACAGTGCATTCAAATTGTGAGCCTTCTGAGTGTAGTATATAATTTCCATTCATATAAACACTGATAATATCTCCCTTGTTCGCCTGAATCCGCATTTCAGCTATTAGACTCTGATGGTTAACATCTGATAGGACATGCTCAATCGCTTTTCCTACATCGGGAAAGACTATGTCACACACTTCACACTTGTTTGAAAATATTTCATTAGCTTCCAACAATTTCAAGTCCTCCTCAGGGTATAGAGCTGAACGGATCAACTTCGATATAGTTTCAATATGCATGGGGCTCTCAAAATGCTGGACTATTGATGAAAAGGATGCAAAAGCGACATGGACTGGACAGATGGTGCAAACAAAGTAGTTTCCAAAACTGGCGTAGTACTCGGCAGGTCGGCATTGGTTCTTGTACAGCAATGACAATTTAAGTGGTGCTGCATTTCTCAAATGCTTTTTCTGGCGGATGTGGTTAAAAAGGACTTGTCTAGGACCCTTCAAGACCATATCACAGCATGAGCAATAGTTGGCAACCTTCCCAGCTGGTCTGATAAAGTTTTCCATGACCACATGGTCGTGGTTATGCAGTGGTTTACCAACACTTGCCAAGAACTTAGCCCAGTCGAGACATCTCGGTCCCCAGTCTTCTTGCACTTCGTTTTTCATCTTCTTATACATTTTGTCTGATAACCTTCCAAGGTGGTTTTCATCTAGGATATGTATGACAACTTCTTTAGAGTCAAACTGAAGCTTACACAGGCTGCAGTAGAAAGCATTTCCCTCAGCCGAAACATTGTTTTTATTCAGGAACTTTATGTTCATATCTTTAATGCTGTCAATACTGGAATCCTGAACGAAAAAAGGTATATGCTTGTCCGCTGCCAAAATACATGATAAATTATGAATATGGGTTTCGCTGAAAATATGGTTCAGCACGCTGTCATATCTGAAACGCAGCGTGTAATACTCGCAAGCCATGCAGAAAAATGCAAGTTTCCCTGTACGATCGTCAACTAGTGTCAAAAGCTTGTGATTGGTCAGCAATTTAGTGATTAGGTTCTCTATTGGTCCATAGTATCTGTATTTTTTCACTGGATTTATTATTTGTTTCTCAGGTACCTCGACTTCTTCATTCTCAAAGGATTTGTTTGCATCAAATGCAAAATTCTGGTTAACATTATCTTTGATGCTCATAATTATCGGGGCTACGGAGCTCGCCTGACTGGAAAAATCAATTTTGCCTATGTCCCTACAGAGTTGATTGTAAAGCCCCTGGTAAAATTTCACAGCTGCATCTATGCTGGCTTCCGAATTGTCTGGGAGAAGTCTCACTAAGGATGCCTCTAGCTTACCAGAAAACAGCTTATCCAGCCTTTCTACAGGTTTAAGCTTTTCAATATTTTGCAAAGGCGTCTCTCCACACTCCATAGCGGACAGACGCCTCGACATGTTTGGCAGGATAATGGGTTCTGCCACGTCAATACTCTCCCGCTTCAGCTTAGGTTGATGGATTTCCAGATCAAAGTGCCTCTGCAAGGACTCCATTAATGGTTCCTCATCATTAATCTCTATTTCTACATTGCAATCAGTACATATGTGCACCTGTTTAGCGTTTTCCACTGTCAGCTCAGCTTTAAGCAATTCAGGCACTTCACTTACCGGTAGGCTATTAAATCTCTGCCTTTGTAGACTGCTCTTCTTCTCTGTAGTGAAGATATACTCCACCTCCACCCCATCACGGGGTGCCAGAAAAATTCTCTTGTGAGTCTCATCGAGATCTCTTAAGTACCGAAGAATTATCTTGTTCTCCTGTGTTTTGGGATCATTTATGACCCTGCAAAAATGCTGCGCCAGTCTTTTGACATCATCCAGTTTTCTGAACGATAACACTGTTAATTCCGACAGTGATTTGGTGACTTCTTCAACTGAGTTAGTCATGTTGTCTTGGAACCAAAATATGTTTGGATAACCAAGGTTAAATTTTGACGTATCTCGGTAGACCAAGAATTCGAGTCGGTGGATTTTGCCCGTACAGATGATGTGCAGTTTGCCGAGAGAGGTTTGAATTACTTTTTGAAATGATCTGATAACTATCACCGCATATCAAGATCTGGAAAAAAGAGGGATTATATTTAAATAAACATTTACTTCATTTAATAGAGTGGGCCTATGCACTGAGATGAGAGTTAAAGCAATTAAAAAATGTATGGAGCTGAGTATAGTTAATTAATTTATAAAAAAATAAAACACACATATACAAGTCACTTCTTTATCACTATTCCTCATAAATACATGGAAAAAACTCATTGCTACCCTTTAATATGATTGTTTGTTTTCTGATTCATCATCAACATCTCCCATGTTATAATAATATGTATCTTCAAATAAACATATATTAGTGTTTAAAGAATAACCATAGCTTGCATAAAATACAAAAAATGTATGTGTGTGCTGTATGTGAATTGGCATTAAAAATATAGGTATTTGTTAAGAGTCTTAGGTTTAATTTCTAGATAAGAATGTAAAATTATATAAAAAATAGAATTTTGTATAAGCTCAGAACACTGGTTTTATATAACAGAATCACAAAAGAACGCATGTTCTTATATAGGGTCAAAGTCAAAAGTAAAAAATGTCACAGAACTAAAGAATCTAACTTTATTTTTTCTAGATTTCTTTATAATAAAAATTGGACACTTAGCCAATGTGGAGATGTGATAAAAGACACCTTAAACCTTGGATTTCATGTATACTGAATATGCTTTTATTTTCTGAAGCATACCATATATAACTAACATATACTATTACCATAACTTATCAATATACATATAAAAAGTAATATAGATACAACTTTCTCATCATCACAATGAATTTTTCATAATCTTTTTTTATATATAAAAAATACTAGTATAATATATGTCTTTGGGTTACTCATACTAAGCTCATATTTTTATATCCTGTGGTATACTATGTAAATAAGCCTTGACTGGGTATTTACTAGATTTTCACCTCTAAACATACTTTAAACAGATAATATGGTAATTTGTACCTTGAAAACCTTAGCTTGTTATCAATCGAGATTATTTACATAAACATATAAATTACAATAGTAAGTCTACATTTTCGATCTTTCTAGTAAAATCTGTTATGTAGAAAAATTAACAACGGGCGCTATAAAAGCTCTTAAACATGCTAAATATTTATTGAATACTAATATAGAGGGTATAGAATTAGGTTTTAATTGCAAAACAAGTTGGTTTCAAGCTAAGTTACAAGGTGAGGTTAGAATGATGTAGCACTTACGAAAATGTTTATACACGTTGTATTTTTTATATACAACGCGGAGATTAGTATAAAGTATTTAATATTTTACCTTATAGTCTTGATTTTGTGCATGGCAGCGAGTACCGCCTATAAAAATTGTACGGGCATTCGGTGACAGCTATGTGGTGACATGATAGATGACCTAAGAAAAATAGACAATAAGATAATAGAGATAAGTGGTGCTACAGATAAGGAATAAACAGAGTAAAGAAAAGCCTTAGACAATATTTCTATCTCCATTTCCTGAAATCGAACTTATGATATTATTACACAATATGAGACTGAGAAATGTTCAATAATTTTTGGTTCATGCTAAATTTAACAACCACGTTTTAGAGACGATAGATGAATACCAAAACGGTAAAGTGAATGAAACTGTAAAATCAAGTCTTAGTCATTGATCTAAATGAAAATAAGTAAACCGCTTTAAACTTATTTGTGCTCTAAATCTTTTGGTAAAAAGGTAAGTTATAATTTAATGATAATTTATTATCTTTAGCCTATTGACAGCTGTCAACTTGATGTCAATTGCCAATGATAAAAGGTATACCAAATAATTTAAACTGACACGATTTCTTGGACACGATATGTCGATATACAAATAAAATATAAATTGTAATTAATGGATTTAGTTTATTAGTTGTGGTTTTATTATTTTATATAAATCGTGCCTGAAACAATGGATTTGGAGATAATTGACGACTCCTTTTCATATGCTGATGCAGATACAGTATGCAACATTTGCTTCGCCGAATTTCTCGATACGGAAGACCTGCAAACGCATTTGTTCCAAGTTCACGCCAACAATGAACGCTTCTGTTCTTATTGTGTTAAAATTCTGCCGGATATCGAACAATTCATGATGCACATTCGTGATAAACATTTAATTAAAATGCATTGGTGCAAATACTGCTTTCGTTTGTTTCCAGACGTTGAATCTAAACTTGTGCACACAAAAAAACACAATTATCAACCAGGTATGACAATATTCTGTTCTCAATGTAGTAAGTGTTTCGACGCGAACAACGATATAACGCAACATGAATATGAACACGAAAATGTCGAGGGAACAGCTATCTATCAAGGCTTTTCTCTCCTTTCCTCATTACTCAATATGAATGTCAAGGAATTCCTTAAGTCCATATCAAACACTAGCAAAAAATTTGTATGCGCTTGCTGTAAGTTTGCTTGCCGCAGTCCACAAAAATTTATTGAACATTCAAAGAAAGCCACATGCCGGTCATTGGTTTGTGACATATGCTGTGCTGTTTACCGTAAAAGGCGTCATCTTATACAACACATTAACGGGCACAACAAGAAACGCTGGACAAACACATGCCCCAAATGTAATGCTACCTTCACATGGAAAGGTTTACGTGAACATAAAAAGGTTTGCTATGAGATAAAGTGTTCAGATTGTCACATGCAGTTTGAAAGTATCGAAGAATTAACAAGCCATACATCTAAAGAGCATGTTGGTACAATAACTGTGGAACGGTGTAAGTTCTGTGAAAAGCAAATTATTGGTAAGGACATGCTAAAGAAACATTTACAGTATGCCCACAAAGGAACCTTACATCTTTATAAGTATAGGTGTATTGACTGCGATAAGCTCTTTAAACACCCTAAATTGCTTTTTGCACATTTCTTTTCAACGCATAAGGACTTGATGCCATATACTTGTAAAATCTGCAATATAAACTTTAGAGTACGCAAGAAATTTACACTGCATGTCCGTTTGGACCACAAGAGTGCTGGTTTTGTTGAGTTTGATGAGAACTTTCATGTTTATTTTGTTGAGAAGAAATCAGAGAACCCCTTCGTGCCAAAGAGCATTTATTTTGATGAAGCTATTGATGATGAAAAAGCCAAATGTATAGAGGGCACAGATACAGATTTAACCGAAGATTGTACTGACACCAATGATAGAAAATTAACCAAAAAATTTAAAAGGAAATCAAAACAGAAACCGCAAAATATCATCATGGATTCTTCAGACTCAGATACACCTTTGTTGCAAATTAGGCGAAGAAGAGGACCATATTGGAAGACATCTCACAAAAATCAACCAAAACCAAAATTTGTATGTAAGATTTGCAAGAAAAATTGTTATACTGCTCAAAATTTTAAATACCACATGAATACTCACAAGAAACGATTAAGATGCATCAAATGTCATAAGACATTCTCAACCGACATCCGTCTGAAAAGACATATTGTGGAACACCATTCGAGCTCAAAACTGATTGACACATTGAAACGAATACAAGAGAGGCGCAAGGCTATTGTTCTCAATGAGCCACCCAAAAATCCCTTTGAGGATACCCTGAAAAAAGTACACTGTGTAGTCACGGACACACCCGCTAAATTAACTTTAGTTAAGAGCAATAATGTTTCAGTCAGAAATTTCTATGAGAGTTTTGTTCCAAGCAAGGAAAAGATCAACATTGAAAGTTCTGTAACAATGAGAATAACTTCAGAGCACAAGGAACCAGTCATAACTTTGAAAAAATGCAGAACAGATGTTGTATTTTACGAAGGATTGAAATTGCCTGTTGAAGTTCCCCAGTGCCCATCCGACACGCAGGCCACATTGAAGGTTGTTCAGGGCGAAATTCAAAGAGCTAAACTGAATTATGGTGACCGCCTCTATAAGGAAGCAGATATAGCAACAATGGAGACAGATCATTCGTACTGTGAGGAATATTTTGACTGTGATCAAATCAATGGTGAAGAAGCAAAGATGATTCCAGAGGTGGCCGAAGAGGTGATGCTTTCTAGTGAAGAACCTTTACTGCAACAGAATATTGTATTACCAAACATACCCAAAGTGATGCAGTCAATTCGTATAGGGACTTTACAGCCTCAAGCACCGTATTACAAGATTTTGAAAATTGAAGATATTATTGATAATGTGGCACCGATGACAGCAGAGGAACCAAATGAAAGAGAAGTCAAGTTAGACGGGATACGTTTAGTGAGAGTGAATCCTCTTGCTCATTTGGTAAGCGAGACTGCTGTGAAGCATCATAAGAAGAGGTATTACAAACCCAAGGAGCGGGATATAAAGATAGCAATGATGAAGGCAATGAAGGTACAACCGAAAAGGCTAAGACCTTATAAGCGAAATCCACAGATTAATTTACACGAGGAACCCTAAAACAGTGTGTCTGAAACAGTTTTATCATTAAATTTATTTGACGAGTTATGTATATAGTAATTTTCAATAAAGACAGAGTGTATTACATTAATGTAACAGCGATCCTATGTAAAGCCAACACATAAAGGATTCAATTGCTTTACTATATTAAGGTATATTATAATTGTAGAATAATAAAAGTATGTTGTAATAAACACTTGTAAAAGTAACTTTCTTTTCACAATGATGGCTACACTGTGCAGAAACGAAAATATATACAAATATTTTCGTTTCCCTGATAGATTTTCTTTATTAGTGATTTGAGTAGTATCGCGCTGTGCCAGCGACTTCTGCGAGAATCGTTATTTTGGCCATCCAAATTAGTTTTTGCAAAACTCTATATCTTATAAATTTAAGCTACCCACGACATCGCTCGCGTCCCGTCGTTTTTGCAAGTTAATCTTAAAACATAGACACAGTGTCGCGGACATATGTTAAGATCATTCAAAGAGGAGTCATTCTTCATGTACATATTTTTTTGGGTGTCTTGAACCCTTTTCGAGCGTACGCGTCTAAACTCACAGAGATGAATGATTTCCCCCTTTTTTTTTCACCTTTCCCGCTGTATATTCGCTTCTATTAGTCACAGCGCGATGCTTTATAGCCTTCCTCGATAAATGCTCTAACCAACACAGAAATAATTTTTTAAATCGAACCCGTAGTTTTCGAGATAAGCGAGATTTCGAACAAACTCTTCAGCGTTATATATTAGTATAGATGTAACCAATATGTTCTGTGCACGCCTGAAGGATTCTATTATTTTCTACTTAAATACGAAATTCACAAATTCATGTTTGATTATGATAGAAATGTGGATTCAAATAAAAAAAGTATAGAAATAATATAAATGGTAAAGAATAAAATTTTGAAAGTAATAAAACAACAAAATAATTACAAAAATATTTATTACAAGCAAAGTTATTCCTACATTTATGCTGAAAACAATAAAAGAAAATTTAATTACATTTAAATTAGCTTTATCATTAAGCAGTACTAAATTGGAAAATAATTGCTCAATATTATTGAGATTTTAAATCAATTGTACAAAGATTAAATTAATGTTGTAGACTCTGTGTTACCAAAAAAAATCTACATTATAATTTTGACTTCAACATAATACAACATTGAATTAATTATGAATACGTAATTTTGCCTCGTTTAAGGGTAAAACAAGAAACATTTTACAATAATTATAAACTTACTAGCTTAATTACTAACAAGAGACACATTACACATACATTTTTACACAGTTCTATAATTACTTACACATAGATATTTGTCTGTGAAAAATAATAATTGGATAAATATATAAAACAATATTCAGAACCAAGAATAGCTTGTAACATAGTCATAGTGTATGACGGAGATAGCTGATACCTTGAATAATAAGATGTCTGTTTCATGAGTGAGAAAATATATTAATTTTGAATGTCTGGAAGGAATCTTTTCACTAGTAAAGTTCTTCTCACCAACATTGTAATTGCCCAATAGATTTTTAGTGCAAAACCAAGTGTACAAATAAACGGTAGGAACAAAGTAGTACATGCATTTCTAGAACCACTATTCATCCTTCAAAGAACCTACTTATAATATAAGAAAAAAAATCTATTAAAGATTTGACGAGAATGATAATTTTAGAATTTAATTCTATTAATCATTATTATACAATAGGATTTAAGAATGCCTGCAAAGAAGCTACGTATTTTGATATATATTCTATTCTGTATATGGATACAAAATTCTACTAGTAATCAAAATTAGTTTCGATTTTCTCCGCTTTTTTGAAGATAATATAGTGTATTTTTTCTAACTTCACACATGACTATGCACACAATTTACATGAATTAAAAAAAATTGACAAGATTACATTGATTATCACTAAAAACAGTTCGAGAGGAGACCTGAACCTTACCTAAACCTAAAAGTGAATTTACGTAAATGGACAGATTAACATTTCGTTAGTTAGACAATAAAGATGGGATGTAAGCAAAGTCAATAAATTATAGAAGGTAGAAGTCCCACTCGTGCAAAATCGCTGAAAAACGTAACAAACGTCGAGTGAAATAATAATGCCAAAAAATTCAAAAAAGGTCATAATAAACCATTTTTGGTTATCAAGGTTGGTAGGTTCATATATAATAGATATTTCGTTCCCTGTATCATCTGTGACAACAACTTCACTCTGTAAAAAGTCTTCACTAGAGTTCTCTATGGTTTGAAATCGGCCGTTGTGGTCTTTTCTCAGGTTAGAAAAATACACTATTGAAATATTTTTTCACATGCCATCACTATTCCTGCGTTTCTAAAATGATTTTATTACAGTTGAACTATTTATTGTACACAAATTTTCTCAATTTCACTTCCGTTTGTGAAAATATTTTTCCCTGTCCTCAACCATCTCCTAGCTCTTAACAGCTGATCTGTGGTGAGACGACAGAGGCGAACTCTGTGCTGATTCGAGGCACATTTCTGACGCTTGGTCGGCTAGGTCCGATGTTATCTGAGGAAAATCATATTTAAAATCAAAAATCATTTATTCATGTAGGTAGGAAGTTCTAGGTAACCTAAGAACGTCATACCAGTTAAAAAGTAAATACTATAAACTTTTTGACTATATCAGTCCCTAAATTAATAGCGTAGAACGACCGAGAAGACCTTGCCTTCACTCCTTTTATTGTCAAGTTATTGTTACAATTCTTCGCACTTAATGTGCATGAGGCATTGTTATCATTTACATATTTATTTATATAACTATGAAAGTATAAAATAAAAAATAGGGCTATTACGTACCTTATAATGCGCTTGCGCGGCGCAGTCCGGTGGCAGGTCTAGATCTCGTAGCAGCGCGGCTAGATGCGCCGAAGCTTGTCCGCCGGCCAACGCCAGCTGGACTAGCCTGGCGCCCATTTCTGCGCGGGCGGCAAGCGCACGAGGTGACCTGTGAACAAAATGAGAATTACTGTTAATATGAGAGTGAGAGACAACGCGATGTACTTTCTTTTTATTGGTTTATTCCCAATAATACCTCCTTAGAGGTAGGATTTAAAAAATATGCTTTCTGGTCACTGATCACTGATCAGTTTTGTTATTACGGGATTCAAACCCAGAATCACTACACAATGACAAAAACACCTTTAATTACTGAGCTATGGAGACGGTCCTATATTAAAATAACAGTAAACAGTATAAAGCTCTTCAACAAATATATCCATGCTTCTAAAAATACTTACTTGCTCTTGAACAATGTTAACGCCTTGCAGGCTGCCGCTAGTCTCGGCGAAAGGGCCTCTAACCGAAACGCGACAGAACTGGATCGGTCCTCGCCTTCCCTAGACTCGGCGGCGGAAACTAGGCCGCGGATCTATTCGAAAAAAGTTATATCAATTAACACATGTCGTCGTCGTGTATAACATTAATTATTGAATATAATGAAGTTTGAATGAAATGAATTTGTAACATCTATACAGTTTGTGTCAGTTAAAATATTAAGAAAATTTTCATCAAAATCAGTGAAGCCGTTAGTGCGAATCCATCAAACAACTGGACCATTATTCTAGCTTAATGTTTCGTGTACATACCTCATCACATACGTATATATAGTGATATAGGGCTTCGCCCCCACCCTCCCAGCCGCTGACTTCGCTTCGGCGCGCCGCCTCGCTCAATTTGTCCAATATCGGCTGAATACTTTTTACGTTATCTGAAAATTAAAACACATTGATTTTTTTCGTTTTGAACTTAACAATGTAAGTAATTGATCAGAAATTTGTGCTCGACCAAAACAACATGTGTGTCTAATATAATACTATGTCTATACTCACCGGACAGTACAGCCTCGGGCAACAAGTGCTCAATAAGAACCGCGTGCGCCGCGTTCCATGCGCTTGCGCCGACCAAACACTCCGCTTCCAGTTGTGGGCGATGCTGAAAACACATCTCAGTCACTTCCACATTCTTACAAGTGCGACTAAGATAAACTAATAGTTATCTAACGTTTGGAAATTTTCTACTTCACCCAATATTTAACTCCATATATAGCTCTAAACCACCTGTCTCTACAAATACCTCCTCATCCCACATTTACACCCCCCCTCCATACATATCTCTAGACTTTACCTCATACTTAGCCCGATGTGCTCTAGCCAAGAGCACCCACTTCTCCGGTACACCTAAATTCTCAACAAACTCCAAACGACTCTTCAATCGGGGATCGTCGATAGACGCGGGCGCATGGCGGGATATCAATTCGCGGATCAAATGGGCACGCCTGTAAAATAAGCACAGTTTTGTGGCTGTTTTATATTTCACAATATAAAGAAATGTAGATGGTTATTGCTAATAAAGACAAATATTAATACAACAAATAACAATGTCAAGGCGTAAAGTTTTATCAAAAAGCGCTTTCAAAATAAAAGCCTTCATCTACAAACATTTTAAATACTTACACAACATCATCCGGGTGGTAGAACAACACCTGCACTGCCAAATGCCACTCGCCATACCCTTCTAGCTGCTCAGCCAGGCCGATGATGTTTTGCACAGAGGGTTTACCAAACCACGCGCCGAGAAGGAAACTGAAACACGAATTGTGCGATTATCTAGATTCTAGAGGCTAGTAAAAATAAAATGTTAAAATCTACTTTAATGATTTAAACCTATTGAATAAGCTAAACTAAAGTGTTACGCGTTTTGAACCGTTATTACGTTTTATTTAATAGACTTTTAAACTCAAACTTTAATACTCGCGAAAATTATAGAAAATATCTCATAATGAAAAAATATAAATCCAACATCTGCCAACATTTTTTTGGCCAGCGATCACGTATGACGTAACGATGCTCTGGGTTTGAGTCCTAACTGAGTAATTTATTTATTTATTTATTTCATTATAAAGAATATTTCCACTTACCTCAAGGAATAGTCTATGGGATGCGGCGTATAAGAAGCCGGGTGAAACTTCGGGCGCAAGTTGAAAGCTCTCGCCCTAATCAACTCGTAGCGAAGATCGAGAACACGACGCGAAGAGCCGTTCTGTAACAAATTATAGACTATAGAGTATTGTCTGTGTCAAATTTAACTGTTTAAAACGCGAATTTTGTTCGTTAACTAAACCGCTAAGGCTGGTGTAAACCGAAACGTCAGGTCGCAGTAAAAACAAAACTTAACTAATACACCTCATGTTTCAAACGGTTTGAAGTAAGTTGAAAATCAATAATTGCTAAATTTTTACGACACGCGCAGGTTCTGAACCGGCATTCACAGCGTTACGTGCTGTTGCTATAACCAATTGAGCTACTGTGTAATTGTTTTTTCTAAATACGATTTTTTATATATTATAATGCCAGCATGTAATAAAAAAGGTTTTTTAATAGTAGATACCTTTTCAATAACAAAACAGTTGTCGTTGCTCGGTAGGGGCAGTTGCATATTGACACTCTCTTCGGCAACAGTGGTCAGGTCCACGTTCGTCTCCTTGCTGAAGAACGCCTCGTAGGTGCGAACCACTTGCTCCAATGTCGGTATTTGCGGACAGAGGTATCTGAAATTTCAATTGGTGTCTTATTTTAACCGTCAATATTTTTTTTTACAATTCACACAATTTTACTAAATGCAGTCAATCCGTTTAGACCTAAAACGAAGTGATTAAACATATATTTAAATAAAACACTTTAAGAGGTAAAAATCGCGATATATATAAGTTCAACTTATTTGAAAATTATTTTAACTACGGCCCGACGTTTTGGATGCTTTGTAGCAGCCCCCTGACCCCTGTTTTAAACCGTTATTGTTTTATTTAAATGTGTACTACTCGCGTAATTCTACAGTCAAACCAAAAGAAGAAAAACTCACCTAGCGCACACATTGAGCACTCGCAACCAATCAAGGGTCTCCAACTCGGCGCTAGGGCTTTGCCCCGCAAGTAGACAAAGTATGGCGCGCTTGTAGCTCGAGACTAGGGTGTCCGCACCACATTCTTGCCAGATATGCAGTTGCCTGGATATCAAGGTGCGAAAGAATGGATCGCCTGAAAAAAATATTATGTTATATTTAAAAGACTAATTTTATCTGGCTCGAAGGACCATTACATGTTAAAGTGAAGATATGATAATGACACTGCATTGTAAAAATTGATTAATGAAAAAGCTCTTTTATAGAAAAAGGCTTCAACGCAAAAATGGGGAAATTAACTCCTTAGTTTCATTCTGCTATTCTTAGGGAAAAATATCAACAAAAACAGAATAAGATACGTACAATCATATGAATTAAAGTTGTCTCCGAAAAGAATTTCATACTGTCTTATATTATGTGCCCATCTATTTTCGTCATCGACTTCTTGACCGCCACTGCAGCCACATGGTTAAACGTGTTGCCTAGCATTGCGTTAAGCGCGAGAGGTCCTGGGTTCGAATCCCGGGGAAACAATAGACCGTTCCGGTTAAGCAGGCCACAGAAGTCTGATCAAACACTTGCTGATAAACGAGCCGATCAGTGAAACGGACACAGAAATGTATTCTCCCCACGGGGGGAAACGGGATTTCACTATGTCCGTCTATTGCTGGTAACACTCGTAAAGAAACATTTAAATCTTACCGTAAGCTTGAGCGATGAGTGTTGCCATATTTAAATCGCCATTCTGCCTGCAAAGCTTGCACGCTTCGAGAATTCGTCCAGCCAACATTAGGGTCCAAACGCGTGCACTGTGCCCGTCTTTCTCTGGATGTTTTTGAAAGGAAATTAGTAATTAAATTGTAATACTTATACGTTTACATTATAAACCCGTCTTTAGACAAGAGGACAACATCTACACAAAATGGGCTGTCGACCTGTTTTTGGCCTTGGATTTTCGGGGTTTTGGTTTGCAGCTCGCCTAGTCTACGTTACATTAACAAGAAGACAAATAGCCAATATAAAAGAAGATTGAGCACTTCGAATGTCGCAGTTGTAAGACTTGTACTGAATAACATCACGACTCCACCTCTGGTTCTTTATCTCCTTACCGTCTTCTGGGTCCACCTCGGCTGGCTGCAAGAGTTCTGCATCAGTAACATCTGCCACGGCTTCCTTCAGCCACTTGATGAAGTTCTCGTGGCGGCCCACGATCGACTGCTCATCCGTGCCGGGTATACCTATTGACATAATTTAAAATATAATGCTTTGTTTATAATTTATTTCTCTGCTCCTCTCTTTCTCACTTTCACTACTCACCATCGTTCAATAGATCATCACCCCAAAGCGCTTCGCACAATTTCCATACTTGTACACAATAGGTACTTGAGACGCCAAACTGAAAAGAAATTAGATAATAAAAATATTAGATTGCAAAAAAAAAATCGACACGGGCGGGACTTGAACCGGCATGAACAGCCATCCGGGCTGTTTGCTCTAGCCAATTGAGCTACCGTTAAACTAAGTTTTTACTATACTTGCACCCTTCCCGCAATGTAATTTCAACCTTAACACTCGCTTATTAAGGTTGGAACTTAAATTACTAAGTTTAAATTAATTTAATCATTTATTTAAAGAGTTTTTACGACCCCGATACATACACAACTTAACTACGTGTAAAGTATCATCAAGTGAACTTCTTTCTTGTATCTCATCTTAAATAAAAACCTACGACCGATTACTAAAACGGACACAGAAATATGTCTACCCCATGCGGGAAGTAATAAAAACTAATTTTAAGCGTACCCTTGCGGTATACTCGTCGCCACTGCACGCATCCTCCAACAACTTGTCCAATAGTCGTTTGCGATCAGTCGGCGACTGTTTCACGTCTAGTCGTGGACAAGTCGCAGTCGTGGATGAGTCGCGAGTCGAAAAGTCGAGCAGGCTCTCCAATTGGCGGCGGAGCGTGTCCTGTAATATATATACTGTTAAATTTTTCTTAGACTCATCTTTTTTTCTCAAAAAGATTACACGGTATGGCTTCTTTCAAAGCACAGAGAAAAAAGTACTTTTTTTATCTCCCCTCAAGGAACTCAGTCCGGCTTCTTTCAACATGTCTTATAAACTAACACATTTTTGTGAATTTATTAATGTAGGGAGCAATTCATATTACTACCAGCCAATGACAAGGATGTCATTAAAGCAATAGTGATGAAGAGGAATGACCTTGTATATGTAAACCAACTGCAGGCCGATTCTACTAACTTAATGACGTTTCGATCAAGTTGCAGTCACGCTGCGACTTCGATTCAGCGGCGATGGTATCCTCTTAATTTGACAACTGCGCATCCAATAAGGTACGCCAGCGAATTTGCAAATACATGCTGGCGTCACGAGAACTTGACGCGAACGTGTTTGAGGTTGGACGAGAATACCAAAACAACACGCGCTGCTGCTTAACTTATATTAATACGAGAATCGGCCAGCTTATCTCAATATTCAAAATTACATTACATTCCATGTCCACCAACGATGAACATACCAAAACGGCTTTGTTGTCCGCCTGTCCAATTTGTATCCTCGCGAGCACCGCTTCGCTCCAGTCCTCGTCCGATCTGCCCGTCACGTATCTACCGAGTTGGTTTAGATCAGCCTCTGTGACAAACAAACGGAATTTATTAACAAGCATGGATAAGTGAAATACCCCAGCCTATGGCATCTAAACAAGATGCGCTGTCGGCCTATTTTGGCTTTCGATATTCACACCGAAACGTGATTAAACTACACGGCTTTATCATCAGTGGCCAGTGGTTAGTGACCCGGGCGGAAGTTGGATATTCCTACCACTCATTTAATATCCAGATTTCCAGATGTAGTCCAACATGTTTAAGAAAAATTACAAATTGATTGGAAAAATGTTGGACTCGGTGGGGATCGACCCGTTAAATATTAGCCAAATATTGTCTGTTAAAAGTATAGCATTAAAGATAGTTACAGACAGTAACACAGGTAAAGTATACTTTTACAGACACGTACTCTTAGTGATCATGCTTTCTTAGACAATTTAACAGACAGACAAACGATATCGTGCTATATTCAGCCGTAGACCAGTATTTCTTGTACTCACTGCGGGGTAAATCGGCGATGACGTCACGAGTTGTGTTAAACACCATGGCGTTGTTTGGACCGAAACAGACGCGACTGTGCCGCGCGCGACAGACTGACATATCCGCTATGCACCCGGCGTTCAGGCGACCTGCGGATAATACAAGAGTCTTATCAAACATTGTCTGTAGTTTACGAGAGTATTACATATTTAAATAAAACATTTCTAACCGATTGAATTGGTTTTTGGAAGATTTGTATTTTCCTGAAGATTTCTGCATTCATTGTTAAATTTTTTTTTTAAATTATTCTAACTACGGTAAGAGGTTTCGCCAAATACCAACTACGACGGACGGAACACTAAACAATGTTTTTGTGGGGAAATTGCTGATGCTGCAAATGGCACACTGAAATCTTTAAAATACCTTTCTAAAAATATTAAAAGAACTTACCAGCTATTGTTTTCTTAAACGGCGGAACTTTCCGGTTATAATTCAATATGACCGTGTGCGGGTGAACTATGAGCGGTCTCATAACTGGCTCTGAAAGGAAAGTCGAAGATTAAAAGAAAAATATTTGTGTGCGAGTTCTTTGCATGTGTGTGTTCGCGTCATAGCGATTATATTGAATGGCGCACAGTGTGTCATTTATGAAATACAACACTATATATATTTTTGTATGTTAGCGGAGAACAGAAAAAAAAACAGTTCAAAATGCCATATATATTATTTAAACTTATTTGAAAATTATTTGTAACTTCGGCCCGACGTTTCGGATGCTTTGCAGTAGCCGTGGTCATGGGGAGAAAAATAATTTTCTAATAAGTTGAACTAATATATATAGTGTTTTAAACCGTTAAAGTGTTTTATTTATCTCACCAAGATGCGCTGTCGACCTATTTTGGCTTTGAATATATATTTTGTCCTTTTTACCCAAAACTTACCCTCAATAGCAACAACGGTATCTTCCGTCACCTCCGGGTGACTTATGGACGGCGGTGGCAGGCTTATCAGGGATGCTGCGGCGTGCGGGACCAATTGATCCCCGGTCGACAGCGAGACGTCATCTTCCATTTCTATAAAATCAAGCATACTAGTGTGGTCTCTTACTTCTCCCTTCGGGAGCATGGAGCGTAAGGCTGAGTTTACAATGAATACTACAGTGACCTCGACATATTTTATCTTAATAGATAGCGTACGAAAAATAAAAGAAAATTTTCCTCTCGGAAGATAAAACTATAATGTAATATTGAAATACAATTATTAAACTTAAAATTCCTTAATCTATTTTCCTGGCAACATAAGTAGAAAGTAGAGAGAGTAGAGTAGTTTTTTATTGTTTAAATTAAGTTTTCATAATGTTTTTTGAAGTCTTAATTTTGTGTTCTATATCATACATATTTTTCTTAATTGCGTAACCCGTTATTGGCTTTAGTTCAATTTGAAGTAATTTTAAGTCATTTTGTTGTTGGAATAACAAATAAACAATAAATAAATAACAACTAACACTGCTCTAATTAGTATAAAACAATGTATAATTAAAAAAAGATAATATTAAACAAAAAGTTCACGACGCCAAAAGGGAGTGCTTCAGCATGTCAGCAGCAGCAAGGCAGCCGAATCTAATTCTAGTCCTCCTGAACTGAGAACATATTACATATTAACTTACCGGTATCAGCGTAAAGGGACGCCTTCATCAACTGAACGTGGTGACTCTGTCTGTGTTCCAGTTTCGCCAACTCAGAAGTGGGACTCTTTACTCCGAATGCTGTAAGTAAGTGTAAGTTTTATTAAATATACCACAAAATAAGTAAGGCTCGATGCGAAAAACTAACGCAATGTCTTTTTCCAGATCAAGGAAAGACCAGCATGGGGCCCGCTAGATGAACGTCTAAGCAAGATGCGCCGTCGGCCTTTTTTCTTAAGACATTAGATTTAAGAATTTTATCTTTATTTTGGTTAAGAATAATAATACTACCTCTGCTTTCATGGTACAAGCTCGGTGCCTCAGTGTTATCCTCAGTTGTGTCCATTTCAAAACCTAAAAGAAGAGATTTAATTTTACAATTATCTTCTCTTCATTGTATTTTTTTGTATAGAGTATTGGTTCAGAAAATAATACCTTTAGACCCGTTCATCAAATTTAGTGAGGTCTGCAGGAACATATCGTCACCGGTAAGCGAAGAGCCGCCGAGACCCAACCCTCCCAGACCCCCCATGGGCCCCGAGAGACCGACACCGCCGAGGCCTCCGAGACCCGGCGTAGACGTTACAGGCACAGGGGGCTTAGGCGCTAGGAAGACATTTTTACACTATTAAGGACAGGTGAAATATCACAGCCATATAACATTTAAACAAGGTGCGTTGTCGACCTATTTTGATTTTAGATATTCGGAAATCGAAACGCGATTAAACTGCACGGCTTAATAATCTGTGGTGTGTGTGTGAATTTCGATATTCTCTCCATCAGATCCATCCCGATTTCCAGATAAAGTCCAACGTGTTTCAGAAAAATTATAATTTAATTAGAAAAATGTTGGACTCGGGGGATCAAACCCATGCCTCGTTGAGAGCCATACATTTCTACCATTGCACCAACAAGGACGTTAAAAGGTTTAAAGATGTATTTGATGAAAATACTTAAACTAATGTTTACCAAGGTCGGACTACGTACTTTTGGTACCTAAAAGATTTTTTATCATACCTATACCTTATATACCTTGGCTGTAAAAGACATTTAGCGACACTCATACAAAAAAGGTGTGTGCCC